CAAACGTAACATGTGTAAATATTTGTATGAACATAACAAGATTCAACAACAGACATAAACTGAACAAGTTCCACAGACATGTGACTAACAGAAACTGAATAATGTGTCCCTGAACAAAGGGGGGGGGTCAAAATCAAAAGTAAGTGTCAGTATCTGGTATTGCCACCAGCTGCATTAAGTACTGCAGTGCATCTCCTCCTCATGGACTGCACCAGATTTGCCAGTTCTTGCTGTGAGATGTTACCCCACTCTTCCACCAAGGCATCTGCAAGTTCCCTGACATTTCTGGGGGGAATGGCCCTAGCCCTCACCCTCCGATCCAACAAGTCCCAGACGTGCTCAATGGGATGGAGATCCGGGCTCTTCGCTGGCCATGGCAAACACTGACATTCCTATCTTGCAGGAAATCGTGCACAGAACGAGCAGTATGGCTGGTGGCATTGTCATGCTGGAGGGTTATGTCAGAATGAGCCTGCAGGAAGGGTACCACATGAGGGAGGAGGATGTCTTCCCTGTAACGCACAGCGTTGAGATTGCCTGCAATGACAACAAGCTCTGTCCGATGATGCTGTGACACACCGCCCCAGACCATGACGGACCCTCCAAATCGATCCCGCTCCAGAGTACAGGCCTTGTTGTAACGCTCATTCCTTCGACGATAAACGCGAATCCGCCCATCACCCCTGGTGAGACAAAACCGCGACTCGTCAGTGAAGAGCACTTTTTGCCAGTCCTGTCTGCTCCAGCGACGGTGGGTTTGTGCCCATAGGCGACATTGTTGCTGGTGATGTCTGGTGAGGACCTGCCTTACAACAGGCCTACAAGCCCTCAGTCCAGCCTCTCTCAGCCTATTGCGGACAGTCTGAGCACTGATGGAGGGATTGTGCGTTCCTGGTGTAACTCGGGCAGTTGTTGTTGCCATCCTGTACCTGTCCCGCAGGTGAGATGTTCGGATGTACCGATCCTGTGCAGGTGTTGTTACACGTGGTCTACCACTGCGAGGACGATCAGCTGTCCGCCCTGTCTCCCTGTTGTGCCGTCTTAGACGTCTCACAGTACGGACATTGCAATTTATTGCCCTGGCCACATCTGCAGTCCTCATGCCTCCTTGCAGCATGCGTAAAGCATGTTCACGCAGATGAGCAGGGACCCTGGGCATCTATCTTTTGGTGTTTTTCCAGAGCAGAAAGGCCTCTTTAGTGTCCTAGGTTTTCATAACTGTGACCTTAATTGCCTACCATCTGTAAGCTGTTAGTGTCTTCACGACCGTTCCACAGGTGCATGTTTATTTATTTTTTATGGTTCATTGAACAAGCACGGGAAACAGTGTTTAAACCCTTTACAATGAAGATCTGTGAAGTTATTTGGATTTTTACGAATTATCTTTGAAAGACAGGGTCCTGAAAAGGGGACATTTCTTTTTTTGCTGAGTTTAGGTTCAACAGAAGGGATAGTGAGAGAGTTAATTGGTTAGCCAGCCAACGTGGAGGGGGTGTAACAGATGCCGTGATCGAGGCAGAAATCCATGATAATCTGCAATCCCTCAGCTGTCACTTCTGCCAGATGCTCAACTACTCAGGATTACACAATTAGAGAAAGTTCCAAATCAAACAGTGTAAGTGCGAGAGTAGGCTGTGGGTGTACAGTTCACATGTAGGCATGTATTGCATACTGTGAATGGCAGGGTACTGGCTACAGTGCATGAAGGACACCATTTCCCACCATGCAGCATTATTAACGTCATCACAACATGTGCAATACATAGTCCACCTACGCATCATAAACATTGCACTCAGTCACAACCAGCACAAGGAGGGTTTCAGCAGCCAGGATTACCCAGAAAGCTACATTTTTATCTACGAGAACATGGGTATAATGTATGCATCAAGGACGATGAATGCTATATTGTGAATCAGATTAGGTTGACCAAGAAAATATAATTATTGATATGAGATATAGCTACTCTGTTTGCATGCAGAACATTGCATATATGGCTACCAGATGGGCAAGAACAAGACACAATCGGACTTGTCTTGTTATTTAAGACAGTGTTTCACTTGTGTTAAATCTATGAAGAAACTCATTTGGAGAAGTGTGAAACTGTTCAATAGGAGATGTTTGGAAGATAACAAACAAACCTCCAAAGATGTTCACTAACATTAGGTGGCAACACCAGACTGTTGACTCTTACCTTTGACTAAATTTAAACCAATGATAATAAAGTTTACAGTATATCTTCGAAAATAATTAACCACCATAGTCATTTCCAATATCCAATGTCATTCAATGTCATCCCTACAAAGCTGTTCTTTCATGCCAAATGCAGCTGGGACTTTATGTACAGTACACAGTAAAACCTGTCATGGATCAAAATGGATCCTAGTTGTTAATTTTGACAATTGACCTATAGTGCATATACTGTATTAGTTAATGTAACATTATTCAACCATGAACATGTTTGTTTATCATGGTTGTGACCTACTACTAAGTAGACTACACAATCCAACAGTAGGTTACATGGCCTAATCTGATTAAATAGTTATTGACATATTGTTTACAGTGCATCATCATCACCACAATAAAGCACACCTCTGTCCACTCATTGTTACAATGTAGCTTATTCAAGTGAATACTATACTTGCATATAGTAACAGAACACATTTCCTTAATTGATGTATAGGCAGGTAGCCTAATAATAAATAATTTTAAAAAGAGAAAAAGTAGCAACCACGGATGTTGATGATAAGGGGTGTGAATATGTAGGCCAACTTCGTTAACTCAAGCAAAACAATAGGCTACAGTAAAGCAATAGAGTGATGTGCAATGTGAAGACAGAGTAGCCTATATGGTTTTGAAGTGCCGTGGTGAAGCCTATCCCAAAGGTCCAATAATTACTTATCTCCATGATGGCAATTCCACCTTTATGCAATAAGGACACATATGATACTCTTATTCTAACAAACTGGAATCCCTTACAAATTGGCACTGTAAATAAATTATAAGGAGACTAATAAAGTGGTAAATGTTGTAGTCTCATGTCATTATATCGACTGATGAGCAGGACTACAACAGCTCAAGAATAAATAGGTCCTGCCCGAAAACAGGAAGAAATTATTAGCTGTATATGAGAAGAATAAATACAACTTCACTCTCAGATACGAGTTTGATGGGTTTTCCGTCTAAAAAAAAACAACTAAAATGGATGACAGAACCAATTACAGATTCCGTTTCTCAAAAGGCAGGGCATCTTCGGAGAGTCCTAAAGCCTCTTAGATTAAATCATGAGGATCCACAATCTAGCCAAATGTACCGTTATGGCTGATATATAAAAATGTATGTCAATGCCATACATGTTTATATGCAGACGCTGTGTATACTTACTAATGCAGCTTGTGTTCAGTTCAGGCGCTTTTAATTCCCGTATTTTACATTGAATTTGAAGGTGATGTGGCTTTTCAAAGTAGTTGTTTAGAGGCAGATATAATGTCGTGTGTTAAATGGGTCTTGAACTGTATGTTCTTCAGAGGTTTTCCATTTCCACAACCGACAGGTTGACTAAAACTGCCGGAGAAAACTTTACTGTTTGACAACCTTGCGCATTTATACAGGACCAATTCGCCAACACCCCCTGTTCTGTGACGTTGGTCTGAATAGGGACTACTTTCTTGATACTACTGTAATGTATATTATCAAATAAACTCATACACACCAAGGAGAGAATAGTCGACCCTCAGTAATAAGCCTATAGTTTCAAAAATAAGTAAATCATATTAAATAGGCTACGGGTTATTGAGGATTGCAAATGCTGGTAGATATTATTGAACAATGGTGGTAAATAATCAAATGCATTTTCTTTATTTTTCCCCACCTATGACCCACACATTCACGTCCATCGTTCTGCAAAACCAGAAAGCGACATCCTAGTTCAGTTGGCGAACGGATATTTGTAACTCCAAGTAAGTACTGTGCCATTGCTAAAAATATAAGCGGTGATAGCAACAGAGTCCCTATTGGCTGAGAAGGGGGAGGACCCGTATTTTACTGGGCTGCAAGGGTGTCCAGTCAGCAAGTAAGTGATATGACATTTTGCAGGAGTTGTGGGTAATGTCGTTCCAACCAGATAGAGTACTGCAAGACAAGTTATTTACAACATTTGCGTGAACTTCGTGCTGAGACTTGTTTTGGGAAATTATCCTGCAGGTGAAATTACATTAGGCTGTAACGTTACCATATAAGATTGGCAGTGTACCCTACTTTTCAAACATCAATATTGTTTTCTGACTGTTTATATAATTGTGTATTTATTTAAATTGTATTTTTGTATACTATATTTTTGAATATGCAACAACAATCTATAGCCACAATTCACATAAGGAGAGTGATTCAAAAGGAAAATATTTGGACAAATCATTGGTACAGAACCAGGACAGGTGCTGGAAGAAATCTACTGAGTAATGAGTATTCTTGAAAGTAATTAATTAATTTTAAAAAATGGATTCCAAGTTCTCTGTCAAAATACATTTTTCAGGACCTTCATCATATTACTGCTGTGCCACATCACAGTCATTGTCTTCAGTGGTTTTGTCAGAATATACATACGCTATTATGTAAATATGTCCAATTAATTTGCATCAATAAAACTCATAGCCCCTTTTAAACAGTAAAGGTGCATAAACTGTATGCTAACTATGTGCAGAGTTTATTTTAGGGAGCACACGAGTTCATTATGGGGTGCTGATTTGACAACAACCTTACAGATAAGTACCAAACAAAAACATAAACTCAGTCATTGTGTATATCTTACATTATTGCAACCACTTTGACAATTGTATTGAAATATTATATTTGGACATTGCGTTATTAGAGTCGGTCGTAATGATTCACAGAGGTATACATTTGTACGCAGTTTTAACACACCTGTCAGGATAATAATAATAGAGGCATTTAAAATAGGGTTCCTGACGTCACCTGACAGCAACACATCTTTGTCAGTGAACAAAATGGCGTCCTATTATATGACTGTCACTCGGCTTCGGGTAAGTGAAACGTTATTTTATATTAGTAATATATTCAACACTAAGCATTAAGTATAGATTTTCAGTAAAAAAAATGAATTACGAGATATTACTGTCCACAGCGAACTTTTTTTAAAAAAATCATCAATATTGTAAACAATCCATCTCAGCGGTTGTTGTTTGGTCACTGTGTCCCAGTCGAGACTGTTACTAACTAGTGCTCCATGAAACGGCTACAAGTTAGTCTGGGAAGTGCACAATAACGCTTTATCTATAATGCTGGTTTACAATACAATGTGTTGTCGAAATGCACTAAATTGAATGCTTCAAATTGCACCAAATGTCCAGCTGTTTGCAAGGTGATTCAAGGTTACTGAAGTTTTAAGTGCGCACTTGTCTGGTTTCCACGCTTAATAACATTTTCAGTCAAATCACGGTGTCAGACAATGCGGCACAAAATTAAGCAATTAATCGAACATGAGATGGTCTTATAGAAACCTCATGAAATTATCTGAATGGACACTGTCCAATACTTTTTTGCTACGTCTATAAAGATATGTGACCAAGGGCCTGCTAATATGAGGTATATTTTATATTTGATTCGGCAAATTAACATTACAGATTTTTGGTACATTCTCAGTTGATTGTGATATTCCATTTGCTTACATCTTTCCACTCTAAATAATCAGGCCTATAGGTTGATTCAAAATAAGCCTGTCTGTCTAACATGAGTTAACATGTTGAGGACGATTTGCTGTGTTGACACTATTGAAAATCATAGCTAGATTAGACACTTGAGCTGTCACAAAATTAGCTGTTCTAATGTGTAGGGAGTAGGTGGCTCCTTTGGGGCTAAATACAAACACTAACTTACCCAACACTTAGGCTACTCATTCTAAACTTTAGGTGCTGTGTGTTTTGGGAAAATGAGAGCCTGACAAGTAGCTGGCTGACAGATTGTTTACTTAGTTAGTGTAATGCAATACTCTTCTCTTTACTTGATTAATATTGCTGTCAGTCTCCATTGTGTGAGGTGATGGAACATGAAAGTCACATGGAGATCACGCAGATTGTAGATGAGTCATTTTATGGTGGCCTTGTTTTTTTATTTTTATATTTTTTGTGAGAATATGAATCCTATATGTCTCTGTTTAAACTTTCTGGTCATTAGGCTATAGACTAGGTTCAGGGTTTACCCTACGAGGTCTGGGAACCTGCTGGTTTTCTTTTCTACCTGATAATATGACTTAAGTCGCTTTGGATAAAAGCGTCTGCTAAATGGCTTATTATTATAATTAATTGCACCCACCTGGTACAGTAATGAAAAAATGCAGTGGAACTGGCTTTGAGGTCCAGAGTTGAGTTTGAGGGAACTAGGTCCAATGTTTGCAATGATTACGAACTTTAAAGCCCCTGTATCCTCTTCCATGATGATGTTTCCAAGTTTGATGTATCATTACTAAAAATGTATTTTAGATTGTCCTTGGAGAAGGGGCAAGACGTCTCCATGTCTCGGCAGCCTTCAACGCCAAGGCCAAGGTGGCCATGAGCCGCTTTGAGCCTGGAACCAGCATCAACTATGAGAAGCTACATGAGAACATCGATGTTGTGCGCAAGAGGTCAGTAGCTGCCTTTCCAACCTCACACCCAGCGTTCCTCTGTTTACAACCACTACTACTATGACATGCCCATTGCAACTGTTCACTAAATCCTTTGACATTTAGCGTGTTGACTTCTTATGGTCAGCAACACTGGCCACACCGAGCTAACTTTAGATTAGAAAGCATTCCTCCTAGTGAGTTAACCTTTTACTGTATTTTAAGAGTTTAATCCTAACCACACTGTCCTCCCATCCCCGCCCTTATCTCACCTCAGGCTCAATCGCCCCCTCACTTTGTCAGAGAAGATTGTGTACGGTCACCTGGATGACCCCGTGGGCCAGGACATCGCCAGGGGGCGCACTTACCTGCGGCTGCGTCCGGACCGTGTGGCCATGCAGGACGCCACGGCCCAGATGGCCATGCTACAGTTCATCAGCAGCGGCCTGCCCAAGGTGGCTGTGCCCTCAACCATCCACTGTGACCACCTGATTGAGGCACAGATCGGAGGGGTTGAGGACCTAAAGAGGGCGAAGGTCAGTAGGGAGCAGAGGAAACTCAAGGGGCTGGCCAGTTGTTTTTGGGCTGTCCAGCTGATTTCTGTTGGTTGAGATCTAGGGTGTTCTACAGAGGATTAATATTTTCCATGGTATCAGGAGTTCCTAGGGGTAACCGAAAGTATTGCGTTGGGGTGAAGATGACCCATATGAGAGGGAATGTTGGTTAACTGCTACACATACATTACATTACATACAAAGAGAAGCCCTGAGGAATATTTAGCATGGGTGACACTTACTACATCCAATTGCACAGAGGTCAAGTTGAGTAACAGGGATTAAAGGGGAATTAAGGTCTGCAGCCAAATATGTGCTGTGACGGTTACATAAAGGGGACTACCAGCTGAAAATATATTCTCCTCAACTCAACTGACACCCCAACCCCTTCTCACTTGTCCTTTTTAATCCAGGAAGTGAATCAGGAGGTTTACAACTTCCTGGCGACAGCTGGAGCCAGGTATGGAGTTGGCTTCTGGAAACCAGGCTCTGGAATCATTCACCAGGTACCTGTACAATAAAGGGTAACTGGTCAGATTGAGCTGCCATGAGACTAATTTGGATTTGGACAATATCCACTTCTGAAATTAGACTAACAACTAGATTAGAGCTCAGGAATACTGCTGTGAAAAGAGTAGCAGAATACACTGTTCACTCATGATATCAAACCTGTTATACATTCAGATCTTGACATTATTGGGCTCAATACGTCAAATGATTGTTGTGCATTGGCTAACAGAGATGTCACTCACCCTTGACAGATCATTCTAGAGAACTATGCCTACCCAGGAGTCCTGCTGATTGGCACAGACTCCCACACACCTAATGGGGGCGGCCTGGGCTCCATCTGCATCGGAGTGGGTGGCGCTGACGCTGTGGACGTCATGGCTGGTATCCCATGGGAGCTCAAGTGTCCCAATGTGAGCTGCTATGACAGTGAACCAACTCACTACATTCCCTTCACCCACTAATTTATCTCTCTTTCTGTATCTATCTCCTTCATACATGTATAAAAAAAAACGGACCTTTCACAAATGTAGTAATAACTCCCTCTTCATCAGGTGATTGGAGTGAAGCTGACTGGTAGTCTATCGGGCTGGACCTCTCCCAAGGATGTTATCCTGAAGGTGGCTGGGATCCTGACAGTGAAGGGGGGCACAGGAGCCATCGTGGAGTACCATGGCCCAGGCGTCGACTCCATTTCCTGCACCGGTGAGGCCAAAAGATAGTAAGGTTTACCTGAACTAGTGAGTAAACTACTCTACGCTGTTTGTTTTAACAATCTGCTTGTTTCAGTTGAGTTTGTCCAGTGGTTTGGTCTTAGAAACGTGATGTGACTTTTCCCACCTCCTGGCTACAGGTATGGCAACTATCTGCAACATGGGAGCTGAAATTGGTGCCACCACCTCTGTTTTCCCCTTCAACCACCGCATGAAGACTTACCTGAATAAGACTGGACGTGCAGGTTAGAACTCACAATAAGACATTCTGGAATATTCTTAAAGCCCTTTATTTCACAATCCATTCAGTGTCAGTCTCACAGCCACTGTTACACATACAGCATAGTCCCTTAGCATTTCTGTATTCTCTTTCGGACTTTTTCCATCTACTCTCAGACATCGCTGCCCTGGCTGACGAGTATAAGGATGACTTGGTCCCTGACACGGGCTGCAAGTACGACCAGGTCATTGAGATCAACCTGAGTGAGGTGAGTCCACTCTGTTATTAGGCTGACATCCATTACTTATATTTATAGAATATCTTCTCAAGGAATAACACACATTGTCAATGCTGTCTGTCTTCTGTCCCTGGCAGCTGAAGCCCCATATCAACGGGCCCTTCACTCCTGACCTGGCCCACCCAGTGTCTGAGATCGGTGCTGTGGCTGAGAAGAACGGCTGGCCCCTGGAGGTCAAAGTGGGTCCGTATCAGCACCAGCAGTCACACGTTATCTTTAACACTCCCTTGAAAAGTATACATTTAGCTTTCTGTTAATATTCAAGAAAAGCCCTATAAGAGAAAAGTACAATAACATTTAATTATCATACATTTCCAGGCTTATTTACATGACTGTTCAAATCACCTGCGCTTCTCCTGTCTTACTCTGTTATTAACCTGATTCCCGGTGGTCCCACTAGGTCTGATTGGTAGCTGCACCAACTCCAGCTATGAGGACATGGGCCGCGCTGCTTCCCTGGCCAAGCAGGCCCTAGACAAAGGCCTGAAGTGCAAGGCCGCGTTCACCGTCACCCCCGGCTCTGAGCAGATCCGCGCCACCATCGAGAGGGATGGCTTTGTGAGTTCAAACCTTTTGGAAAAAAAGTCCATTGCCAAACTAGTTGCCCATTACTTGATTTGTAGGTACATTCTTATGTTTGTTTTTCTCCTTTAGTCTAAGATCCTGAGGGATGTGGGTGGGGTGGTCCTGGCTAACGCTTGTGGACCATGCATTGGCCAGTGGGACAGGAAGGATGTGAAGAAGGGGGAGAAGAACACTATCGTCACCTCCTACAACAGGAACTTCACTTCCAGGAATGATGCCAACCCTGCCACCCATGCTTTCGTCACATCCCCTGAAGTACCAATAATCACAACACACACACACACACACACACTTCTTATATTATGACATCCACACTATGTCCCCTTGTAACTAGTTGCCCTAATAACCCTCCCTCTTCCTATACAGATTGTCACAGCCTTGGCCATCGCTGGTACCCTGAACTTCGATCCTGAGACTGACTACCTCACCGCGGCCAATGGTGAGAAATTCAAGCTGGAGCCACCCAATGGCGACGAGCTGCCTGCCCGTGACTTTGACCCCGGCCAGGACACCTACCAACACCCCCCTGCCGAGAGTGGCTCTGTTATGGTGGACGTCAGCCCCACCAGCACCCGCCTGCAGCTGCTGGAGCCCTTTGACAAGTGGAACGGCAAGGACCTTGACGACCTGCAAGTGCTGATCAAGGTGAGGGAGGGGGAGAGGTGGATGACAAGACCGCTATATGATGAGGAAGGCCTCTTCTCACTGTTTGGCTGAGTTCTATCCTCCACCAAGGACCATGGTTGGAATTGAGATGCCTTCGATGGTGGCATTACTTTCTAATTATTAGAGACTTAGAAACCACTGAGTTGGCAGACAGTTGTTCAGGCATGTGGTGCTGCATTTAGATGGTCATTTACCCTACTGTCTCTTTTCTTCCTTCCTCTTCCGCAGGTGAAAGGCAAGTGCACCACAGACCACATCAGCGCCGCCGGCCCCTGGCTCAAGTTTCGCGGTCACCTCGACAACATCTCCAACAACATGCTCATTGGAGCAATCAACATCGAGAACGACGCGGTCAACAAGATCAAGAACCAGCTGACAGGAGAGTACGGGGGCGTGCCTGATGTGGCTCGCCACTACAAGGTGTGACAGACATAGTAACTGACAGGAGAGGACCGAAAGAGGCTGTGGACTGTTGGGCTGTCCCAGAATCACAATATTTACATTAGAATCTGATTTAAGAAATTCCCTCTCTGCTCCTTCCAGGCTAACGGTCTGTCGTGGGTGGTTGTGGGGGATGACAACTACGGGGAGGGCTCGAGCAGAGAGCACGCAGCCCTGGAGCCCAGACACCTGGGAGGCAGGGTCATCCTCGTCAAGAGCTTCGCCAGGATCCACGGTACGCTTAGAGGTTACATGTGGAGGCACCGAGAGCGAGGGGAGGGTATATGGGTGTGGTGGGGCGAGTGGGTGGGTAGCATGAGAGAAGCTTTTGGTGGGAACCTGCTCAATCTGAGACTATTTGTGTTGAGAGGGAGCTCATGTAGCTATCATGAGACCCATTGCAAAAGAAGGGAAACATGGTTAGAAACAACATCACCCACACACTTTGAATGTGCACATTGTTCTCTATGACCTTGACTTGGCATGTAATGGACCTGCCCCGCTGTGGTAGAGGGCCTCTCTATTTACACAATGGAGCTCGATACGAGCCAATTCCCCAAGCTCCCTCTTGTTCCCCACTTTCTGTTTTTTTTCTTTGTCTTGCTTTCTTTTCTCCTCATTGCCATTCTGTCCTCTTTTCTCAGAGACCAACCTGAAGAAGCAGGGCATGCTGCCCTTGACCTTCGCCGACCCAACCGATTACGACAAAATCCGCCCCGACGACAAGATCTCCATCACAGGCCTTGCAACCTTTGCCCCCGGCAAGGTGAGCTTCATTGATCATTCAGCCTCCAAAATTACCGCCCTCCATATAATGGGGATGGGACTTGGTAGTATGTGTATTTTACACGGATGCCTTACAGTCCAGCTCTCTTTCTCCTCTAGCCCCTGAAGGGAGTGGTGAAGCACGGTGACGGCAGCCAGGACATCATCACCCTGAACCACACCTTCAACGAGAACCAGGTTGAGTGGTTCCACGCCGGCAGCGCCCTCAACAGGATGAAGGAGCTGCAGTAACTGAAGAGGGTGAAGGGGTCCGGAGGGGCGGAGGAGCACAGAGAGGCGGGCCTGGAGCTTTTGAGGGGGAGGGGGGCTGCACAGAGGTGGGAAATGAGCGATAGCAGCCTGCCTATCATAAACACACACCCACACACCCCATGTCGCTGTACAGATGAAATGTGCGCACACACATACATACAGGATTACTGTGAAAGCACTTCCCACACAGGTAGAGCTCTCTATACACACACACACACGCTCTCACATAACACACACACAATAACCCATGTCTTTGTTTCAGCATAGCATTTAAGTGTTCCCGTTCTAGGCAGCACTGCTCTTGTTGGCAGTACTCCCTGTTTGTGTAGAAATCACATTTGTCACGCTTCAGTGCTGCAGTATTCAATTCACTCCTACCTCAAAAACACACAGCTAGCTCTCCATATCAGGTCTGTAGCTTGAATCCTGCTCACATTCCTTTACCTGTCATAGTTGGTGTGTTAAGCTGTGTACCTGGACCTCCCCTTGTTCCCTCCAACACAGACAGCTGGTTAACCCAGTTGTACATTTAATTCACTGAATGTATCCCTTTCATTCCCAGGATTTGGAACTCTTCTTAGTTCAATATTACTGCTAGTGAAGATGAAAGTTAATATTTGTTTAGTTAGGTCCATCTATTGTCCACCATGGTTCTAGTGGGCCTCAGGATCTGCCGATTTTGACTGTGACTGACCTGAATTGATACGTTTTAGTCATTGATTAGAGAGCAAATCGCCTAACCTGGTTACCCAGGCCTAATAACTGTTCAGATAGTATATTAAAGGCATCAATGGAACCATTAGATTCCGTGGCCCCAGGACCAGGTTGTAGTGCATCATTATTATTATTATTTTTGTAGGGTTTTCCTTTTCCGGAGTTTCTCTTGACCCGTAATCTATTTGAATCCACGGAATTTGGTGTACTGTTTGTCACTCCTTTGCATTCCACACTAACTCTCTACTGCTGCTTTCTCCACATGCTCCATTTGTTCCATTTCTACTTGAGGGCTATTGCATGAAATGATATCAGATCCTAGCAGCCCTTTTCTGTGTGTCTCTGTAGGTGGGAGTAAAATGCTACATACTGCTGTGTTGTACTAGTCTTTCCATTACTTTCCATGTGCGTGTCCATATGTGTTAATGTGTGTTAGCTAACTAATCAGACCATTGCCTGTCCATATCCCTGTCTGGCTTGGTGCTGCCCCTCTGTCCTTGCTAATTCCAGGGCTCCACGCACAGCTTGAGGAGACCTCTTACAAAATGAACGCACAATCTAGTGTCCAGACGCCTGTACACTAGCGCTATATGTAGTAGTATTGTAGACACTCAGCCACACTTTCATTAATACATTGCAAACGATGCACTCCATAGCATCTTAAAGGAAGGGTGTGATTTAATTTGAAAGATGTTCCATAACAAAATAACTGAATACAATGACAAATGTATACCATTATCTGATTTCAGGTTATTACATTTGGCTAAAACTCTTGCCATGTTATATCTACATTTTGCCACTTAAATGGTACATTGTGTGTTTGAGGATGTTGCAGCTAAGTCTTATAAAGTGTGACTGTTTTAAGTTGGCTTTGGGGGGGCCATGACCACCTATTCGTTGTCTTCTCGTCACTAATTTACTTTATAGTAATTTAGTGAGTTATAATCAATGTATTCATGGGATTACTGTGGAGATTTGATTGGCTACTTCCATTAAATCCATTGGTCATGGTGCCAAGATTATTGTAACGTTGCTATCAAAGTTTATTTTCATATCAGTTTATTTAGCTTGTCAGTGATGAACCGAAGATCTAACCGTCTGTTTTTGTAGTTGCAGTAGGGTGTGATGAAAGTAGAAATGCTATGCCTATTTTGTCCACTAGCATATGGTCTTCATTGACAATATATTCATAGATGAATGGCCATAGCTCCCAATGTCAAACCCAAAAGTATTTAAAGGAACTTGGTTTGGGCCTGTGTGTAAATTATGTGATATAGCGGCACAATGGATAGAGGTGTACATATTCACTATATTATACAATAGAGAGAGGGGTGGGCAGGAGCTGCCTGGTTGAATGCAGAGCCTTTCGTTCTCTGAAACCCACTGTAACAAACTAATAATTTAATCTCCCATCAATTGTCTTTATTAAACTGAAGCCTAAAAGTGTTTTGTATCTATTTCCCCCTCCCCAATCTAAGGGTTTCACAACTAGTCAAACCACTAAATGGGTGGTTGGAGGTTTTTAAATGAAGGTCAATTATTGTTGAAGCACTAAAGTAGGGTTGTCCTGTACGTCTCAATGTTTTGGAGCTCTTGGACCTGTGCTGTACAGTGGTCCGTCTTTGTATGTTGCACCCAGGTGAAGGTTGGAGTTGTTTACAATGTAAAGGGAGCGACTAGTCAGGTGAGACATGTCTAGGTTTTTTGTTTTTTAAATGATTTGAGAGATGCAGATAAAGGAACCCCTGATTTTGAAACAGGATTGGCTCCAGATCGTTGCAACTTTAACCCATGGTGTATGTGGTTTAGAGAACATTAACCAACTTATTATACACTGTCATAATCAATACTAATTCGTCATTTCCTCAACCTTAGCTAAGTTAACATGTTGCTGATCAATTCTCTCTGATCTGTCTACTGCAGTTAATTGCCAAAGATGCCTCATGAAAATGCTCTATTACATACTAAAACATAAGTGTTGTTACAGAAAGGTTTGCCATTGGTTTTGTTAGCAGAACTACGGTTCTTCATGTCAATGAACTCCATGTTGGAGCATGAAGATGAACAGTGTAATGCCAGCAGCGTTCAAGTTTGTCAATTGTGTTACTAAAGTAATTCATACATTCTTAACAAATTCACAAAAGTATTTAATGCATTCTCTAAACGGAACCATTCTGTGTACATTGTAATTCATAAATAGCAGCCACCCATGAAGCAGTTTGCTTGTACTGTGATGTAATATACAATATGTTGATCCCTGGTTCAAATCTGAGTTTCTGAAATGCTACTGTAACGTGACAAAGCAGATACTTAATTGTACACATTTTAAATTGTCCTCAGCAAAACCCAAACCTGAGTTTTTTGTAAACTGCTTTGTTTTATTGGCCTGGCTATTTATTTTCCATTTTGAAACACTGTCAATGTCTTACTTCATAAAAATGCCTATTTTGTTCAGATACTGCAAACAATTAAATGCATAAACCCATTGACGGGCATTATTAATTTTCATGTAATCTCAAGTGGTGAATTCCGCTTCACTGATTCCATATTTGTTTGATTTTAAAGTTGGTTTTGTATTAGGTGATTTGAATGCTTGCAGTTTCATAGCGTGCCAGATTAAAAGAGATTTTAGGATATTTCCTGTGGTAAATGAATATTTAATAAAGATAATGTTTGATCTAATTTATTTTTTGCAAGTTTGTTAATTAGATTTAATTCAGCAGTTTATAGTTACTATACCAGTAATACAGTTAAAATACTACAATATTCAGAACTGTGAATATAGTATCCCTTAGCTGTAATAGGGGCAGTTTCCCAGATACAGATTGAGCCTAGTCCTGGACTAAGAAGTACTTTCTATGGAGATTTTCAGTCAAATGACTAGGCTTAACCTATGTCTGGGAAAACACCCCTTATAGGGTTTTTCCATTACAGCACCGGTGTGTTGCCAGTGATTATGTTAATGTAGGCTCTAGTCTTGTGTTATTTGTTTGGAGCAGGGCTGTGGAATTGGAAACACAAAAGTGAGCCTTTTTGGTAAAACACTGAGGTAAGTCCCTAGTGGAAATGTGCCATTTTGGTGTTTTTCGAATGAGACCCAGACCCAAGGTCAAACAGACACAGACAAACACATTTTTTAAAGGGTGACCCGAGAACAATTAGACCTGAACCTGAATGGACCCGATGACAACCAGACCTAGACCCGCATTTCGGTTTCAGTCGAACCCATGAAGACCTCTACCCCCCCCACACCAGTGGGTCGCCAGTGTTTTATGTTTAATGTAAACTCTAGTGTAATTGTGTTTCCTTCAGGAGTGTGACGCTAAAGACTTGGGGAGAGCAGAATCCACAATCTTTGTGTCATTCAAGACGGTTGATTTGTGAGAAGCTAAAGTTCACAGTTAGCCGGTATTATGTAAATGCCAGCTGAAAAGTACACAGGGCTTGGCCCCAAGTCAGGCCAGGTCCGCCGGAGCCATTGCCCAGTGAGACCCGGTGCCGGTCTGCGTATTTTGGGTAAATAACCATGGTAAATCCTCAAGGGAAACTCACTATTCATGTATTTGTATTCTATGTAAAAAAAAAAATAATATATATATATATATATATGGTCAAATGGAAGTATTTCCCAGGTACATCATACAGAGGAAACTGCAAGACAGCATCACTGAGTGTAAGGACAAATACTGTGTATCGCAATAGTCTAAAGTGGCTTCCTTTCTGTGTGTCCTTTCCTACACTAATGTAGAAGAACTGGGCAGGTGAGAACAAATGTATGAGTTCTCAGATCAGTAGACCAGAGGAGGAAGCCAAGAACTTTGAGGAAGGAGATACTAAAATAAAATTGCTGCTCAAATTAACGGGCAAGTATGAAAAATAGTTCTGTGCCTTTAACATTGCGACCTGCCGTAAACCGTCATGATAATATCGTAAATCAAAAACACGTGTAAAAAATAGTTGATTTTATGAAGCTAGCGACACGAAGATGGGGATTTTGGTGTCAATTTATCTTTGATACCAGTATTTATTCAAACTAATAAGATGTTGATCCTTACAGTTGAAGATACATTGTCAGAATGTTAATAATTTGAGTAGTTTAAAAGATTCTAAGGAAAGGTAGGTAACAGTTTCAGGACAGTTTTTGCTGTGTTAGCTAGCTAGATAGGGAGATAACATGTTCCTTGATTAAATTGTTGTACACTGGCTACATTGTTTCATTACACTGTAACAATGGAATGGAAAATGATAAGGTAGCTGGTAAATGTACCTGTGCTATCGCACTTTTACATATGGCTGACAGGCAGACTTACTGTCATACCACGCTGTCTGAAAGGTATTTTTCTGTGATTCATAGCTACTGTATATATTGTTTGTTGTTTTTCCTCGGACCAGAATCATGTTCGTGGCGGTGGAGATGGTTGACACTGTCAGAATCCCCCCATGGAATTTCCAGCGGCAGTTCAATGAGGCCATAGCCGAAGAACTCAACAAGAAATTGGCCAATAAGGTGAGAGGATGCAGTACCAAAGATACTGTAACCAACTCCCCTATTCATCTGTGGTAGTACAGGGGTTCTGTATATTGTCAGCTGAGTTCATATTTTAATGTTTGCTTGGCTTAGCCTAACATAATTGTGACATTGTAGTCTTGTTAACTTATCTGTGCTTTATTTATGTTTGGCTGTTTTTACTTGCATCTCCACAGGTGGTTTACCAGGTTGGCCTCTGTATCTGTTTGTATGACATCACAAAATTGGAGGATTCCTACATATTCCCAGGTGATGGAGCTTCCCACACCAAAGGTAAGGAAATTACAATTTGCGACAGATTTTCATGCGAATATTCGAAAATCGCCATAAAAATATTATGCACATCTTCCCACCAGAGGTGGGTTTCCATCAAACTGACTTGTTGCAGATAAAAATTTGTGTGATGACATAGTGCACATAAAAAGCACTTTTGTGCTTACATTTCCATGTACCGAATAAAAAATGGAAGTTCAATGTTTCCATTGCATTTTCAACTCGACCGATGGTTTTGTCACAAACTGTTACAATAAATAGAACACTTGCCCAATCTAGTTTTGGCGCATGCTATATAGACAACAGTTCGCTGATAAAGTTGACAGAGTAGGTTATATGATGAGATATGGATAAGCGCAAGATACTTTTTATTTGATAAAGCCAAACACTGATCATGTCACTAGCAGTCAAATAATACCACCCTCGATATTTATTGGAAATTTGCAAGCTTACTGTGCACTTAAAGGCCCAATACAGCCATTTGTATCTTAATATCAAATCATTTCACCAGGCAGGCCAAAACTCCATCCCACCAAAACAGGCTGAAATTTCAGGCGTTTTTTTCTAACAGCGCTTACACTAAAAGGGCATTATCATTATTTTCACAATTTCACAGAATATTCCAACCTCATAGTGTGGAAATTTATATACAAAATTATCCACAGTTGTCTAATGTATTTTGTGTTGACATTTTGCCCTCATGTGTTGTTTCAATCAGGCCTGTTGTGAGTTTATTTATTTTATGCGTAATTCATCCACATGAAATGGTTGGATGGAAACCTGTTTAATGTCGCTGATAGGCCTACATGTTTCATATGAATATAGATGGTAACAAGTGAATACATTAGTGGGCTCAATCCTAAAACAACCCTTGACCCTTACCTAAGGTAGAAAAAATACAGGTTAAGACAACGTAATAATTTCATGCGGAGTGTTCGAAAATAAAGACATTCATTGGACCAGCGCCGTTGCTGATTCTACATAATTAGCATTGAAAACGTGACCACCGGTCGGGAACTCAAGTAATAAAGTGGTTGTAGATAATTTGAAAAACATTTTAAATTGATATAGTGACAGTAAAACGGGTATGCTATGTGTTTGTTGAGTAGTTAGCTGGCATTCACAACCATTCTGTTTATTTTCCACATTGATGACGAACTTTCTTTACTGCTAACATTCACTTTGTCATTTTCGCTCCGGTGCTGGTCCAATCAATTTGTTTATTTTCGAATGCTTCTGCATGTAATTATGTTGTTTTAACCATTGTTATCTTCAACCTAGCCTTAGGCACTTCGTGCAGATCTGGAAGAATTGAAATATGCAAAGTTATTATAGGACGCCGATTGGGTCTTTGCTTGTCAAAGAAGATACACTTCAGATAACTATTTGACGCATCAAATAAGCTTGTTGACCAATCAGGACCTGAATATGACTGCACGTCACATAATAATTTAACACGTTCATAAACAAATGTACTGTACTTAGTTATTACACATTGATTACACTATCACTCGTATTTCATATGTCACAGCGATTATTTACCTGCTATGATTCTGGTGAAGTTTTTGTCTCGCGCACCTGCCGCAGCCACACAAGGCAGACACACACTTCCCCAAGCTCTGAGACATTCCTGGTCAGAAGAAAAGCTAGGTAGCTGATGGATGCAAACAATGTTCTCCCAAAAACATAGCAAAACAACATCATTAGTTTCCGTAGCTATAGTTAGCAAGCTAACTATCTAGCTAGGGGTCATCATCTAAAATACCCCTAATGTATGTAATGCTGGCTGGCTGGCTGGCAGGCAGAAGCAGCAGGATCACCATCCTTTCTCCCCTGCCTCTGGGATGGTTGCATGTCGGGGAGAATGTTGGACTACCTAGCTAACATTTATGATCCTGCTCGTTTGATCCTGATCTTATTTCAAATGCTCACACTGACGTTTTCCCATTCAGTCGAACAAATAATGGCTTATTACCAAAGCGGTATTGTAAACACATTGTGGCCGGTGTGTGTGCGCTTGTTTTCAGACTTTGTTAGTTTTTTACAGCTTTGACGGTGCTACTGACTGTAGTGGTGGCGCTTGGCTTGCGCATGCAAATTTAGTACACAACAACATTCTATAATAGAATAGTGTCATTTGGCGTGTATCTTTTTTGACACGCAAAGACCCAAATGGCGTTCTATAAAGACCCATATTGCACCTTATTCCTATCCAATCCTATCAGATCTACACAAGTGCCTGGAGGGCAGGGCCTAAGGGTTGTTTCTGGGCAGGGACTTTCTCTTAGGACTGTGTCCATTTTGGTGTGACCCTATCTTTTCCCTACTCTGTTTGTTAGTACACTTCAGGTATGTTGTGTTCCACCCTTTCTTGGATGAGATTCTTGTTGGAAAGATCAAGTACTGCAGTCAAGAAGGAGTACATGGTGAGAGAAACTCCTAATCTTTTCCCTCGCCTTCCCGTTTTCTCACTACCCATCTGAATGTTAAGTCCTAATAGACTATATGACTCAGTGCAACAGCACTGTCCATAACGCATAGACCTATGTCTATTCTGGATTAATAGGCCTCATCATGTGAAAATAGGAACACTTGAAAATGCTGTGATTTGCTGATACACTCATTTGGGTCAGCTGCTTTTTATACACCGCCGTCACAGCCCCAGAGGAGTCAGTACACACTGCAGTGGGATTCCTACCGACCCTGTCTCTCTCTCAATGTATAAAGTGGATCAACAGGGAGAATGTCTCAGTATGAAGTATAACATTGATGTGGCAGTCTGTCCGTATAGATTTGTTCACACTACCATGTTTTGTTTCACAGTCAGCCTAGGATTCTTTGATGACATCGTCATTCCCCCAGAGTCCCTACAGCAGCCTGCAAAATTGTATCCTGCTCAGTGATGTGTGTTTGTGTATTTCCTACCAATGTGTACATTTTACAATTTGTTGCTTGAAAGCTGAGTTGCAGTAGATGTCTCAGGAATACGATAGTGTAAATGTTAATTAACCTCATGTTGATAGCTATCCGATAGACATTTTAGTTTACCTGTATAAGCGACTTAAAATAAATCCATCTAGCATGCGCTCCTTGACTGCTGCCCCAGCGATGAAGCAGAGCAGGTGTGGGTGTGGGAGTATGAGACAGACGAAGGGGCCCATGACCTCTACATGGACCAAGGTGAGGAGATCCGCTTCCGGGTCACAGATGAAGTCTTCCTGGACACGTCGCCTACGGGCCCTTCTGCCGCAGCAACTGACACCCCTGCAGCCCCAGGAGCAGAGGACGGTGGCCAGAAGAAAGAGGCCCCTTACACACTGCTAGTAAGAAAGCGCTCACTGATATAACAGACTTATTTCACACTACAAAATATTTAATTACTATTGTTGTGAATTGAATAATTTCAAGTATCCATATACAGTATATGTAACTGAGTTAAATGGTACTGGTAAGCTCATTCAAAACGTCCAGTGAGCAGGTATGGAATGTTTGCTCAGGAGTATAATTAATTGGCTGATCCCTCCTGATGACCTGGAAGGAATTATGTGATCTTAGGTAGCTGATGGATGCAAAAAAATGTTCTCCCCCAGTCCCACCCAGTTGACTACTTAAAAATGGTGAAAGTCCTCAAGGGCGCTGCCCATGCTAAAACAGGCTTTGGGGCACTGTAGCTGTCTATCTAGGTCTATGGCGATGGTGCTGCCGAATTGGTACCTTTTGGGTAGTGCAACTGGTTAGTACTTTGTCAAGCAGGGCGGTCACTTGTGCTTGCGAAGCAAAGGACCACTCGTTCGAGGAGGCAAAACTGTTAGCAGCACAGTGACGTCCGTCACATAGGTGTACTTTTGGTTTTACATCATACATCCTTATTACAAATTACTATTTTAAGGTATTTTTCAATACTATAAGTCTGTTTTCTCTAATAATGGCCATAATTCATTCCACCCCTCCCCCCCCTGCCTTTCTTGTGTTCCAGGGTACCATTAGCGAGCCAGGCTTGGGCCTCCTGTCCTGGTGGAACAGCTAACGAAAGGGAGAGACCATTACAGTAGAGAAAACAGGGGAGACAGCTGTCAAGTATTCATCCCAGCTGCTGGACATACACCTTCTTTTTGGACTCTTCTCAGAGTCCCTCCTCCCAGGTTGTGACTTTAACACTGGAGAAACATGCCTCTGTGAAGTGTCCACGAGGCTCATAGACACAAAACTGTGGGCTCAAGTGGAGGAGCAAGGATTCCCATAATAGGAACGTCCCTATCTGCCTTCATAATGGCATACCCAAGGACAAGGGACCAGTAGCAAGGATTACTAATAGAGCACACAGACTGGGGACATGGAGAACTGTCTCACTTGCAAAAGTGTAGCTCCACTTCCCCCTGTGTATTGTAAATACTACCACCATAACTGTTAACGTACCAGCATTTACACCCGGTGCACATGACAGTAAGAAAGACTGAGTAAAGGGCCCCAATTGGCCTCTTTAGTGTCACCATGTAAGTCTGAGTGAGTGTGCCTAAATATACAAGTGTGTGTTGTCTTTGTGACCAGTATAGTGTTTCATCAGTGATAATTTTTGTTTGCATGATTTTGAGTTGGGTTTATTTAAGCAGTAAGGCCCAATGGGATGTGGTAAATGGCCAATATACCACAGCTAAGGGATGTTCTTAGGCAAGAGTACCTGGATACAGCCCTTAGCCATGGTATATTGGCCATATACCACAAACCCCCGAGGTGCTATTATAAACTGGTTATCAACGTAATTAGAGCAGTAAAAATAAATGTTTTGTCATACCAGTGGTATATGGTCTGATATACCACGGCTGTCATCCAATCAACATTCAGGGTTCGAACCACTGTCGTAGTAAATATATAATGTTATAGCTTGGTCTGACTAAAATCTTGTGCATGACCCATCTTGTGTTGGGCCTTTGTATTTAAGACAATGCACAAAGACTTCTATCTTGTCGGCCTTATCAGCAGGTGGCTATGGACAACACCCACGCCATAGGTCTCTCAGTTCTCCCAAACTCACGACTTCTTGCTCTGAGGACATACACACACACCCCCACACACACACACATATACACACACACACACACACACACACATCATCATTGTTAAACATACACACACATACACACACACACACACACACACACCCATACACACACGCACACACACACACACATCATCATTGTTAAACATACACACACATACACACACACGCACACACACACACACACACATCATCATTGTTAAGCACACACACACACAAAAAACCCCTTCTCTTAGGCTGAACATCTGAAGACAGAGAACCCGACTCAGAGCCAATGCAATGGAGGTGACCTCGACCAACTCATCAGGACCAATCAGAAGATCAGAACTACTAGAATCAACCTACTTTATTTTATTGTATAAAATGTCAGCACACAATGTTTAGGGGCGCGCTCTCAGATATCTCCCTACGAGATTGACGAACGGGTCCGTGCACGCTATTTACAGATATCTTTACCTCTGAATAAACTGCCTTATATTATACAATCATCCACCTTGTCCGAAAGTCTCTACTTGGTCTCCGTTCTCCAGTAAACTTGTGATCATCAACACCACCCAGTTTATAATTGTGTATAGGACATGTATCCCAAAAAGATCATACAAAAATTAAAGTTCTTGGGAAGGGCTGTCATGAACCCACAAGCACTATACCTCACTGTAATTTGTGTATTTTAGTGGTGTGAAGTCAGGCCTCTGAAGCACGTAACAACATTTTTGATAAACCATAGAAGCCAGATTCTTCCAGGCCAAATTAATGTATCATATTCTGATCTTGGTTATTTTTACTTACACCGTTACATGAAGGAATACATCAGTATGGTTTACAATACGAATACCTCATTGTTTAATGTAATAACTGCTTTGACGTGTATGAGCATAGCAGTCTTGTTATGCCAACAAATTTGTCGGCATACAAACATCACGCCCATTCTCTCGACTCTACAGTGGACAATCAGCCAGCGGCAGCTGCGCAGCCTCAGCAACACCCCGCAGATCAGGGTATTCCGCGGGACTACGCGGATTTACTGGAGTTATTTATTTAATTAATGTTATATAATAGTAACTGACAAGGCACACACACCCGTCCTCTACCGACAAAACGGACTCTAGCAATGCAGTAAGTAGGCCCATGTTTTGTTTATATAATTGTAAAAATATTCAAGTGTGCCATCTATTGTTTGGATTGTAGAAAATCTATTGCCTATTCATTAACGTGTGACAGCCTTTTTGACCAATGTATAGGCTATAGGAAATTGGTTGATGAGAATGACGACAACTGTTGTTGGCTATAGAATACCTTTGACTAGGCTTCTCATCCCTATACCGTTCTGTTCGCGCGCGCCGCCTTTTTGAATGTTCTGGAAATGAGAAAAAGTCGGATGATATGTGTGTTTATGACAGAATAATTTGGCAATGCAGACTGGTCATTCACTTAACCGAAATGCACGCCTCCGCAACATGACGAATCATACAATGTTATGAATATCTCACGTAGAGGGATTTTTCTTGCGATATTTAGACACGTTGAGCCGAGTCAACTGACGATTTCAGAGATTTAATTCTGATTTAGCCCAGAGAAAGTCTCCAGAGAAATAGCCTTCACTGTTTCTCTCTTTTTTCATTGTCATTTTTACTTTATAAAAACGGATTCCTATCCTTCTTTACACAGTCAATTTGCATTCGCGTGAAAGGATCATCTACTTCTCTAATTTGACAATTTTGGTGTTACAATGTAGCAGCCCTAATGTTTAGGTTTGCAGTCATTATCCAACGCTTTCCGTATTGCATGGTGACGTCAGAAACACACCGCTAGCGTTCTGCCAGCAGCTCTGTCGTCAGCGGTCTATACATGCGCGCTGTCAGAGAACTCTGTTTTACGGTAACCTTGAAGATGCAGGCAGAGCGAAAGAATGGAACAATCTTAAACCATGCAAAGCCATATTGCCCTTGGAGAGTGTGCTGTGTCCTATCTTATTGTGTGCACATGCCATCGATATGCACCACCATGTCTTTGCACCAGTGGCGGTCAGTGCCGTTTATGATGAGGGGGGAAGATATTGTTTTTCATGAGCATGGCCTTATTTCTATTACAGCATGTTGGATGATGGTCATTCATATTCCATTCACCCAGTTCAATGGAACATCGATTGGTTTAGGCTACTACATGATACTCACATTTTCCCTATACCCATCGTGAGGTTGCTACAACCTAGCCTATGAATGAAAGTTTACAATGTAGGTGCACACAGGTCGAGAGAAACATTTGAGATGACAGACAGTGACACATTCAATACCGTCTTGCACACTCTTGCCATCTAGCTTATCTAGGGTGTAATCATTAGTCCAACAGTTGCAAACGAGAGTTTCGATTGGACCAATTCAGATATTTTTATCCCACGTTTCGTTTGCTTCCGTTTAAGAAACGTTTTTCAACAGAATCGGCGGAATGAATACACCCCTGATCACGCATAAACACAGTTCACTTTCATAGCAGCCACTTTGTATTCCTTCTCGCCTCTATGTACTCTCCTCCTCTCACCTTTTTCCTTCGTTTGTGGACTTAAATGAACAACACATCAGCTTTATGTGACCTGGCAAAAAAAAACTTTCCAAGCCAAACCATGTCATAACCGCTACACACAGCCTACATCGTTGGCCCCATATTAGCTAAAGTAACGTCCTAGTCAACATAGCTAATAGAACTAATGTGTTAGTAAACCCGCTACAATCGTGCAGTAACGTTACAGTGTATAGTCAGTAAGCAGTTACACCGGCGGGCCCCGGTGGCAATTAACTAATAAAATCAAAAGCTTACCTTGACTTTGAAGAGTTCCAGTGTTGTGTTGGATAGTCATATCCAGCTAGCTAACATAGCATCTCTCTATTTGAGTCGGGTGTCTGAGTAACTAAACTAGCCAGCTGCATTTGCTAGCTAAGTAAGTGAAACTGGAAAAAAATGACAATCTCACTCTCTCTCTCTTGCTTCTCCTTCATTTTTGAAGAAATGTATTTGTTGAAAACTGTTCAATTATTGTCTTCTCTCTCTTTAAGTCAACTACTCACCACATTCTATGCACTGCAGTGCTGGCAAGCTGCAGCTTATGCTTTCAGTGCTAGATTCTGATCCTTTGATTGGGTGGACAACATGTCAGTTCATGCTGCAAGAGCTCTGTTAGGTTGAGAGGACGTCCTGCGGAAGTTGTCATAATTACTGTGCAAGTCTATGGAAGGGGGTGAGAACCAAGAGCCTCCTAGGTTTTGTATTGAAGTCAATGTACCAAGAGGAGGACGGAAGCTAGCTGTCCTCCAGCTACACCATGGTGCTACCCTACAGAGTGCTGTTGAGGCTACTGTAGACCTTCATTGCAAAACAGTGTGTTTTAATCAATTATTTGGTGACGTGAATATATTTAGTATAGTTTTATCTAAAAAGGATAACTTTTTCAATGTTTTACTATTTTTATTTTTACGAAATTCACTGAGGAGGATGGTCCTCCCCTTCCTCCTTTGAGGAGCCTCCACTGCTTGGCACACAATGGCTGCTTTTGTTGTAGCTATTCCCAAAGCTGTGCTCTTCTTGAGCCTGAAGGACTTGATACATCATGTAAACAACAGTCATATATCTAAGTTGAGCCTGTTATTGTTTGTGAGCAGACTTAGGAATGGTTTGCAGTTTAAATGTATGGGATTTTAAAGTAAAAATAGTCTGTAATGAATTGAAATGCTGCCAGTGTCATTTTTGGTAAAACATTGCCACTAGGCCGATACTCTTAACCAGGGTAGTCCGACTAAATGGCTTCATATGTGTCCAGTAATTTAAATCCAAACCATCCATCTTAATATGAAGCTGTTATGAATGATGCATAATGTTCTCTGGAGTAGCGATGAACTTCATGAAATCTGTCTTTGTCTCAGTTGTTCCTTTTGGTGTTTCTTTTCTTCAATCCACTTTTCGTCAATGTCTTAACACAAACTTCAAATTTACTTTTTTGTTTTGTTTTTCTCCTTCCTTCTTCACAGCAGGCCCGTTAAGAAACCTGCTGAAACAAACTGACCTGTGTACCTGATAGCAAGATATATTAAAGCAGAAACAGTGAGCAGACAAACACATAACTGGAGTGTCAAAATCAGGCCAAGTGGTGAAGAACCAGAAGAGTGGTAAGAAGAGCGACCTGGCCCGTGCCTCAGCCATGGCAGACCCCAGCATGACGTCCCCCTCAGAGGCCCCTCTGCGCTCCCCCAGGGCTGCGCCCCTTTCCCTCTCCTTCCCCTTCTTGAGGGAGGGCAGCCGTGTGTGGGAAAGGGGAGCGCCACCCCAGCCCCGGTCACTGCCCAGCCCACTGCCCACCAAACGCACCCGTACCTACTCAGCGTAAGCAACCAGATATGCTGCTCATTAATGCGTTTCTGTATTAGACTTTGTTTGATAGTGCATGTTCATTATCGTTCACTTATATGACGTTTATATACACTACCGTTCAAAAGTTTGGGGTCACTTAGAAATGTCCTTGTTTTTGATAGAAAAGCAATTTTTTTGTCCATTAAAACAACATCAAAATGATCAGAAATACAGTGTAGACATTGTTAATGTTGTAAATGGCTATTGTAGCTGGAAATGGCAGATTTTTAACGGAATATCTACATAGGCGTACAGAGGCCCATTATCAGCAACCATCAGTCCTGTGTTCCAATGGCATGTTGTGTTTGCTAATCCAAGTTTATAATTTTAAAAGGCTAATTGATCATTAGAAAACCCTTTTGCAATTATGTTAGCACAGCTGAAAACTGTTGTGCTGATTAAAGAAGCAATAAAAAATGGCCTTCTTGAGACTAGTTGAGTATCTGGAGCATCAGCAATTGTGGGTTCGATTACAGGCTCAAAATGGCCAGAAACAAATATTCTTGTTCTGAGAAATAAAGGCGATTCCACGCGAGAAATTGGCAAGAAACTGAAGATGTTGAGACTAGTGTTTTGCGGGTACTATTTAATGAAGCTGCCAGTTGAGGACCTGTGAGGCATCTGTTTCTCAAACTAGACACTCTAATGTATTTGTCCTCTTGCTCACCCACAATTGCTGATGCTCCAGGTACTCAACTAGTCTCAAGAAGGCCAGTTTTATTGCTTCTTTAATCAGCACAACATTTTTCAGCTGTGCTAACATAATTGCAAAAGGGTTTTCTAATGATCAATTAGCCTTTTAAAATGATAAACTTGGATTAGCAAACACAACGTGCCATTGGAACACAGGACTGATGGTTGCTGATAATGGGCCTCTGTACGCCTATGTAGATATTCCATGAAAAATCAGCCGTTTCCAGCTACAATAGCCATTTACAAAATTAACAATGTCTACACTGTATTTCTGATCAATTTTATGTTATTTTAATGGACAAAAAAATTGCTTTTCTTTCGAAAACAAGGACATTTCTAAGTGACCCCAAACTTTTGAACGGTAGTGTACATTCCTTAACTTCTTAGAGAATAACTTGTTTTCACAAGCAGTAGCAGAAGGGATATGGTGTGTTGATGTAATGTTTTGTTTAGAGAGGACATGATTCTCTCTTCCGTCTCTCCCTCTTCAGCACGGTGCGGGCCACCTCAGGGCCAGCGTTTAAGGGCGTGTGCAAGAGCTTCTGCAGGTCACAAGGTCATGGCTTCATCCGCCCCACCAATGGCGGAGATGACATCTTTGTTCACATCTCGGAGTGAGTGGCCTTCATCACTACAACAGCCTTCTTTAGCTTGTCAAATTGCTCAAATGAACAAAATGCCCAGTTTTTAAGATTCTGTTCACAGCTTTCTATCTCAGAGCAGCAATGTAACATCAGTGTTCAGTGTCAGATAAAATGTGGCAAGGTTCAGAGCAGGAACTGACTGCATATTCATATTGTACAGTAAATTAACATCTAAATCATTAATTCAATCTATTTCAGTATCGAGGGCGAGTATGTCCCAGTAGAAGGAGATGAGGTCACATACAAAGTCTCCCGAATCCCACCCAAAAACCTGAAGGTCCAGGCCGTGGAGGTGAAGATCGTTCATCTGAACCCAGGGACGAAGCATGAGACCTGGTCTGGCCAGATCATCAGCCAGCTAGAGGAGAGCTAGGCTTCAGCGCTGGCCTGTTTGTCTACACTTGGGTACAGGGAGGGCTAGGGTGGGGAGGGTGAGGGGTCTGGCTAGGGCAGGCAGGGATGGCCAACTGGTGCTGGAGAGTCTGTCTAAATCAGGTGTACTACAGCTGGGCTGGAACAAAACCATAGATACACTGACTGGCTCCTCAGGACACAAGTTGGCCAACCGTGAACTAGGATGTGGTTGGTACAGACTGGATTGATAAGTCATAAAAGCAAGTAAGGAAGGAGAATATGTTCAACTTGAAGGTACTGGAAGTGGGTGAGGGGACAGAGCGGAGTGGTAGAGGAAATAGAATGAGAAATCTGACACCATTTTGAGGAGAAGCTTTACTATTGGTGTGAAGTCAAAATGAGGTTGGAGAGAAAATAACTGATGAAGGTTTAGAGTTACAGAATCGGAAACGTCTGATTGAGAGAGCAAGCGAGAAGAAGGGAGGGAGAGAGATGGGCGTAATGGGAGACAAAAAAAAAATGCAAGCATTGACATTGGAATAATGATTTATATTTTACTGTGAATGGAAAAGCCACTATTAATAATTTCTTGAGGTACACAACCATCTTTGTATTTTTGCCTTTTATTTATATATATTTATTTGATAATTTTGTTTAGATTTTTTTGTATCCATTAGTTTTGAGGTTACTGGATTTAAGTTTTGGACATTGTAGTCAAAAGATTGCACTTAAAAACTTGAACTTCCATTCCGAAATACTGCCAAACCGACTACAACTCCCATTAGGCTTTATCATGTAGCAATTTGTAGTCCTGTTTGCAAATTCTAACTCACCATGATGGTATGCGCAAATTACTATAAGGTTTTTGAAACTCTTTCTGAATCTCTTTTCTATTGTCTGAGAGACACTGTAACACACTGTCAATGGAATTGAAATACATTTTAATGTATTTGTTTAAGTTCTGATATGGTCATTTGATTGTTACTGAACTGTTATTCATATTTGTTTCATGTCTGCCCATTATGTTTAGCATTTCTCCATATCTATGCTATTTCTATGCATTTTTCTATCCTTCCTTCTTACTCTTCTGGAGTGTTTTATTTCATATTTTAGTTTAAGTTAAAATGCCAGATTTTCCATTGGTCACAGTTCAGAGCATTTTATGTTAGACAAGCCACTGTGGCTATAGTTTACCGTCATTTCTATGTGAGCCTTGAAAGAGCACTAAAAACATTTTATGATTCACAATTATGGTGGCTGTTATCCTTCTTTAGTATTTATCAGTTTATCTTTGGAGTTAAGGGTGTACAAAGTATGTGACATTAGAATGATATGCCTATGTCTTAGTTATACTTTCCATCTGTTGTACAAAAAACAATGAGTCGCACTTGTCGCAATGATATAAAAAAATGTATTACAATGAACGTACATACACATAGTTCAAATGAATACAGTAATCAACAATCACATGATGATTTCACAATTAGTGTATGTTGATCAAACTGTACAAGTGAGTCCTCTTGACCTTTATCACAGACGGTTGTGGGAGTGTTACATTTACTAAGGAGGTCATCTGATCTCACAAACATCCGCAGACTCGGGCAATAGCATAATAATCAGGTCAAGAAGGCACCAATTCATAACCACAACACATGGTTTATGAAGGTGACATCAAATGCTAAATATTTAATTTCAGTTGATCTGTTAGGTCACCTTAAAATGTGTGAATATTTGGGACAAAGACTGTTATAATGAATAGTCTATGTAAAATCCAGAATTACATTATAACTTTCAAATGAACCCTGATAAGCCAAAAACATGGCCTATGCTTTATATCATACTGTGACCAGGTCACACCAACATTGGTTCATTAATAAAGTCACAATCAATCACTCATGGGCCTTATCTGAAATAAAGAAATTATAGAATAAAACATAATTGCTTAGATTTGTCATTCAGGAAGTTCTAATGGCCTTTGGCAGAAGGGTCAAGACATCCAGATTATTGGATTTGAGCAGACGTCATTAACCTTTTAAGATCCAACTAAAGGATGTGTGCCTGTGAATATACTGGGTAGGAATTGAAGAGGGTGTTTAAACCATCTGTGAGATCCAGTTCTTATAGCGGTGCAGACGGAAGTAACCAGCATCATTTATATGCAATTGCATAGATGAGGCAAGACATCTCTCTACAGTGCCTATACTCTTATAAAAAAAGGTGCTATCTAGAACCTAAAATGGTTATTTGGCTGTCCCCATAGGAGAAACCTTTGAATAACCCTTTTGAGTTCCATGTAGAACCCTTTCCACAGAGGGTTCTACATGGAACCCAAAATAGTTTTACCTGTAACAAAAAAGGGTTCTACCTGGAACCGAAAAGGGTTCTCCTATGGGGGCAGCTGAAGAACCATTTTGGAACCCTTTTTTCTAAGAGTGTAGAAAGTTTACAACAATCTACACAAAATGCTCTGTCAAAGTGGAAGACAAAATTCTAACATTTCTTTTTTTTATACAGTACCTTGATTAGATAAGTATTTACCCCCCTGATTCAATACATGTTAGAAACACCTTTGGCAGCGATTACAGCTTTGAGCCATCTTGGGAAAATCTCATAAGAGCTTTGCACACCTGTATTGTGCAATATTGCCCATTATTCTTTAAAATATTATTCAAGCTCTCTCAAGGTGTTGGAGATCATGGCTAGACAGCAATGTTAAAGTCTTGCCATAGATTTTCAAGCAGATTTAAGTCAAAACTGTAACTTGGCCACTCAGGAACATTCACTGTATTCTTGGTAAGCATCTCCAGTGTACATTTGGCTTAGTGTTCTATGATATTGTCCTGCTGAAAGGTGAATTCCTCTCACAGTGTCTGTTGTAAAGCAGACTGAAGCAGGATTTTGCCTGTGCTTAGCTCCGTCCCGTTACTTTTCATCCTGAAAAACTCCCCAGTCTTTGCCGATATCAAGCATACCCATACCATGATGCAGCCACCACCATACTTGAAAATATGGAGGCAATTACTCAGTGATGTGTTGTGTTGGATTTGCCCCAAACACAAGACTTTGCATTTACGCCAAAAAGTGTATTCATTTGCCGTGTTTTTTTTTGCAGTATTACTTTAGTGCCTTGTTGCATGTTTTGGAATATTTTTTATTCTGTATATTTGTATTCTTCTTTTCACTCCGTCATTTAGGTTAATGACCTGTGGAGTCACTACAATGTTGTTGATCCATCCTCAGTTTTCTCCCATCACAGCCATTGAACTCTGTAGTTGTATTAAAATCACCAATGGCCTCATGGTGACATTCCTAAGCAGTTTCCTTACTTCCTGTCCTGCAGCTCAGTTCAGAAGGATGACTGCATCTTTGATGTGTCTGGGTGGTTTAATACATCATCCACAGCATAATTATTAACTTGACCATGCTTAAAGATATATTCAATGTCTGATTTGTTATTGTTAACCATCTACCAATCACTGCCCTTCTTTATGAGGCTTTCGAAAAAGCTCTGGTCTTTGTAATTGAATCTGTGCTTGAAATTCAATACTTGACTGAGGGACCTTACAGAGGAAGGGGTAGTCATTCAAAAATCATGTAAACCTCTATTTCACACACAGTGAGTCTATATAACTTATTATGGGATTTGTTAAGCCAAATGTTACTTCTGAACTAACTTAGGCTTGCCTAAACAAAGGGGGTAAATACCTAGGCAACAACGATATTTTAGTTATTTAATTTGTAAAAATCGTAGAATTGTATTTTCACTTTCACATTATGGAGTATGTTGTGTAGATCAATGACAAATAATTACAATTAAATCTATTTCAATCCCACTTTGTAACACAACAAAATTTGAAAAGAGTTCAAGGGGGTGTAGACTTTCTATACGCACTGTATGTGTCATTAATCTCATATCTCAGTGGACAGGCACAGAGCAAAAAACCTCTCTCTTCTCTCGCTCCATTTCATTGTGCAGTGTTCAGAGACAACACTAATCACTCACTACATTCATAAAGAAAACAAATTATTCAAAACCCAGTTTGTCAGGTAACTGTATCAATATTAGTGCAAAACATAAGTGGGTATTTACATGATATACTCAAAATGTATATACATCTTCACATGATATAAGACATTTAGGTTAATTTGATGTTACATACAAATACAGGGACATGCTACAAAAACCATTGGCTTGATAGATTAAAACCTTAGAGAAACACTTAGTCATGATAAAAACTGAAAACATTAGTACACTTCCTCACATTGTTTGAGCTACCATCCTTTAAAAAACCCCAGATCTGTTGATTAGTAACTGGCGCTGCCTCTGTCCACATCTCATAGTAAATTTCCATGGGAGTCCAGCCAATGTGAATTACTAATGATCCCTTTATGTGTCCAGTGCTAGTTAGAATAATATCATACAACAACAATGAATTGATTACTTTAAAAAGTCTGTAGTGGTATGACTCCCATCTCCACCTCTTCTCCTCCAGGTGCTCTTAGTACCTGCCCTGAACAACAGGGGGAGCCCAAGGAAAGCTGACTGGGAGTGTGCCTTCTGCACGACTCATCACGACTCATTAGCTTTGAAGAAAATTTCTCGACAGTGCCTGGCTGTGTCCTCTGGTGAGTACACTGTGAAACCAATGGTGCGCGGGTCGTTGAAGATCTCATAGTCGTTGCCCCCCTGAACAGAGAGGAATGTAGATACGGCTTTAGAATGGTCCTCTGTAGCTCAGCTGGTAGAGCACGGCGCTTGTAACGCCAAGGTAGTGGGTTCGATCCCCGGGACCACCCATACACAAAACATTTATGCACGCATGACTGTAAGTCGCTTTGGATAAAAGCGTCTTCTAAATGGCATATTATATTATTATTATTATAGAATCTGCTTGTTCACAAATAGGTTTGCACTGACTGCCCTTTTCACCCTTGTCGACCTCTTTCCTTGTTTCCTCACTCACTCTTTATTTCTCTCTATGTCTCAGTAAAAGAGGTTGAATAAACACACAACCATCACAAAGCTCATGCAACATAGCAACATTCTTTCAGGCAGGGGTCAACTCCACTTATATTGACAACAACAATGATCTCTGAACTTTAACCTTTGACATTCAAGCCACAGCACAATCCTACTCTCATTGCTACCTTGAGCCTCAGAGCATTCCCCACCATCACTGACACGTCCACAAGGTCCTCCCCTTCACTTACAGACGACGTCTCGTTGCCAAAGAAATAGATAGCGTCCAGGCCCTCCCCCTCCAGCACGTCCAGACAGAGGCTCTTGTCCCAGCCTTCAGGGAACACGTCAAAACTGATGAGACCGCCTGAATAGAGAGGCACATGAGGGGTAATAATTCAGTCAACTTCAATTTATACATTACAATTTAACATCATGTTACTGAACAGAATATTAGTCCCTCCCATAAAATAAACCCTCAGTCATGTTTTAGTGATGATTATTAACACATTACAACCAGCTATCCCATGCCATGTATGGGATATTTGTTTAGGTTGGTCAATGTACTGATGAGTGAGGATGCCCAATGCATGTAAAATAGGTATGATATTTTCCCCATTATAGGAACAGCAGCTTTGAGATATTTTTAAGACTGCACCTTCAACTGGTCAATGTTGCACATTTCTCTGCAACAGACTTGGAGCCCAACACATTCTCACCTCAAAAAGCATGAAAGGATATTAAAAGCCGCAATCACTGTGCTCAGTTCAGCAGAACAGACTTATTTATGCCCTGTGCATCGACTGTGTGGCGATGGCCTTGACATACAGTCTGTGTCCAGGGAGGACAGTCTTATTATGGGTGATTATTCACTACTTGTCTGACTTCCATGAGGTGGACTCAGTTCCACAAACACAGCCTATAGCTGGCTCCTTTCTTTTAATCGCTCTTTCCTTTTCATTCTACAACCAGAGCAGTTCATCTTTGAATTAAATGAGCGGTGAATGTGCATGAAAAGCCCTCAGCAAAGTAAGTTTAAATTCTGCATCTCGCCCATCCCCCCTGCCTTCAGATTCTACTTCATTACCCTCATAATGCTGAAGTGTTTAAAGCGGCAATCAGCAGTTGAAGCAATAAGAAAGCACCCCACCACTGATTCAGTAAAAATGGTGGGGATTGGACTGGAGAAATGTAAGCACTCTCAAATTCAAAGACAGAGCTATGGATGCAAGGACTGACCATCCATGATATCAAAATTATAGTTTTAACCATGTTTTTAGGGGCTATACAGTGTTTGTTTACATTTACTTTGTTTACAAACTTTGGAGTAAAACTAGCTTATATTTTGTGTTCTGATGGGGTACGACAGTTGAACTAAGCTTATAAGGCATTTATAATTATATACTTGAAGAATCAATGGGTCACATCATTAATTTATTAGTCCAAAAATGGATGTAGCAACTGCTGCTTGACCCTTTAAAGGGAAAGCTCACAAAGGCAACAGCTAGGGAGGTTTCAGCCAATCAGAGGGTGTATTGGCCACAAACACCCACATCCTCAGCCCATCCCCACCCATTCCCTTCCCCACCCTTGGCCATATACCATAAAGGTTAAAGAAAACAGAGCCAGGACAAAGGTGCCTGTATTTGAAGGGACGCTGCAATGTCGCTTTTTGAGGTGAGTGACACGGGCAAAAATCTATGGCGTAAGAACAGACAGTGCTGCATAGACATAAACAGCATTGCATATATTATGTGAAATGTGAACAAACCGAGGCAGGGTAGACGTGCAGATACAGACCGCAATGAGCAAACACATAAATCTTATGCCCTAGCCTTCTCATTGGCTCGTTTTATCAGGCTCTGCGGCTGCAGTGTAAACAGCCCTCCAACTGGCTCTGCTGCCAGTGCAATGAGCATCAGCTTCCACATCAGCAACCAGAAGGATTCCCAGTTAACATCAGCAATCAGAGGGATTCCCAGGGCAGTCACTCAGTTAGGGTGAAGTAAGGCCGTTAGGATGAAGTAAGGCTGAATGTGGGTGTTTGTAACTACTGCTGCTACTGGCCCAGGGCTTTAACAGAGTGCCTTATGAAGACAACAGCCTTATTTCCAGCTGTTTGTGCAGCTGCCTGAATTGTGTACAGTTTCACAGGCCATTAAGTAAGTCTCACACCCTGTTACACAGTGAGCAAACACCTAGTCTGACTAAACCTCAGAGAGTGGAGCAGGGGAGAGTAATGTTTATTGAAGTTGCCCCAATGTTGGGCACAATGTGTCCAGGAGATTGACTACGCATGGCAGACAGTCTTTGTGAACTGGCATATAGGAAACAACAGCAAGGAAAATACAGCAAAGGAGTAAGTACGTTCAAGTCATAACAGGGTTCTATCTGAGCGATAAATGTTTGTAAATTAGTCTTGAAATGTAGATATCACACCATGCACAGATGGCATACAAAGAAATACTGAAATACAAGACTAGAGGTGCTAATAGTTACACTGATATTAATTCCCAGCTCACATCCTGTGCCAGTTGGCTTACCTCTGGTAAATCGTAGACCCTTCCCAGCAAACTCCTCCTGCAGGGCCGCAACAAACTTCTCCCTGATTTTCTCTCTCTGTGAAGAGGTTAAGGAAAGGGGTCAGGCTTCAGGCAACTAAGGGTTAAGCCTCTCCACATCACCCATCAGACCACTAGACCCTCCATAATGTGTGGCTGTGAAACATCAATGGGCTGTTTGTTCAGCCATCTTGAAAGCTCAGCATTGTTTTGACTTGTTTACTCTCTTCTCCTTTTAATAGGAGCCAACATAACAGAATATAAGAGAAAATCATGCCTGCTTGCACTGTGCAGTGATTTGAGGTTATAGGAGGTTGAAATCATGACTCAATCAATAACACGGGCTTTGTTTGTTTACTCTTCATTTTCCACGTTTATACGTTTAGGCGTTTTCCTTAGAAGATAACGATTGGTGTTTAGATCATTATTTAGGCACTCTTATACTGTGTAATACCTTGTCGATTTCAGAGAATTCGATTCGTTCCTCAAGTGTGCAGCTCCGGCCAATGGGGGAGATGTTCAGCATTCCGTTGCGGAATTCGATAAAGGTGCCCCTGAGTGCAAAATAAGGCATTAATCTGTAAGAATAGACTTTAGTGTGGCTTTGTTACCAACCATCATACTAAAATTCTAGAGATTCTAGGGTTAGATTCAGAATTGCTTTGTTTCTCAAGCAAATATGTATTTCCACCCAGATACAGATCAATCCTTCTGTCTTAGTCTCTCTGTGATTTCAGCTTGTCAAACTGGAAAAACACGCTTAGGAATACTGACAGAGCCAGCATTCCTTTCTCCAATGCCTGCAGCTTTGATGGACAGGTTGTAGTGGCCCTGGGGCCTCTGAATGAAACGGGCAGACCCCTACCAGGACGTCCTCTGGAAAAGGAGCTGAAAGTAGGTCAGAGTCTCACCTTTTCTTGGGCAGCTTGATCAGCCCCATGTAGCTGAGACAGAAGTTAATGAGGTCCTGTAGTAGTTCCTCTCCTATCTGGTTCTGGATGGCCTGTAGGACATAGTTCAAATATTTGAACTGTCTTTTATTATTAACACAGTGCAGTTCTCTTAAAGGCATGATCATAACTTTCCCTTCCAGTCTTCTTAGCTGAGTACAGTGTACAAGAAAAAAGGTTGTCCCTGCATGTTGTTTACATGGAATCAGGTTTAAATGGCTTGTTAGTGAGCCAAAATATATTTTATTCCTTCCCTCACCTCAGTCACACCCACCTGTTTGGAAAGGAGCTTCCCATCTTTGTACTGCACCGTGCCATTCTCAGCAAACACATAGTCAAACTTCTGTATCACTGTAAGAGAGAAAGGGGGCGAATTAGGTAAAAGTGTGTTACTGAGGAGCACTGTGAGAACATTCATAGTAAATAGACAACACAAGCTACCAGCACGTAGTGTCACGACTTCGGCCGAGGCTGCCTCCCTCACTGCTTCGGCGTTCGTCGTCACCGGAGTACTAACCACTGCCGCCCCAATCATCATCACACTTGTCTTGTCAATCACACACACCTGGTTCCTATCCCCTAATTAGTCTGTGTATAAGTGTTCCCTCTGCCCCCTTGTCCTTGTGGGTGATTGTTATTGTGAGAGTACAGGATCCCCTGTAGCTCAGTTGGTAGAACATGGCGCTTGCAACGCCAGGGTTGTGGGTTCATTTCCCACGGGGGGCCAGTATGAAAACTGTATGCACTCACTAACTGTAAGTCGCTCTGGATAAGAATGTCTGCTAAATGACTAAAATGTAAATGTAGCTCGGTGGAGCTACTCATAACATTGTGTTGCCAGGGTAGATTTTCCCCCTGTGCCTATGTATTATTGGATTCCGTTACAGTGTATTGCCAGGGATGTTGGTTTCCCCTATGCCTGTTTCGTTGATCGCTATTGGAGCGTATGTGTGTGTCAACGAAGGAATAAACTCTGTATTCGGTGATTACCCTCCTGCGCCTGACTCCTTTCACCACACTCACCACAGAATCACCCACCCGCTATGGAGTCAGCGGGAGAAGAGTGCATGCCTGGAGTCATGGCACGGGTCCAGGAGCATTCCACAATGCTGGCCAGCTTGGGGGAAGCGATGGATTGGGTTCTTCAGGCCGTCCCAACGCCTGGAGAGGAGAGGACCCGATCTGTCAAGACCAGCTGGCCAACCGGATCTACCATTTCCGGTGCCATCTGCGGGAGGACGTGCGACAGGAGCTAGCCTGCCGGGACACCATGTTGTCCTTCAATAAGCTGGTGGACATGGCCATTCGTTTGGACAACCTGCTGGCAGCCAGAGGACGTCCTGGTAGGGGTCTGCCCGTTTCCACCCTGGGCGACTCGGATCCTGAGCCGATGGAGCTGGGTGGAGCCGCCGGCCGAGAGAGCGGAGGAGGACAGCGACAGTGCCACTCTGGTGGCACGAAGGGACAGTACACCACACGTCGTAGTCAACGTTATTTTGGGCCGGGAGTCGGCAGGCAGGGCACTCACGCATCACCCCAGGTATTGAACACCCACACTTGTTCAGAGCCCTCTGTTGCACACTGTACCCTACCTATCCACTTTCCCGATATCATGGTAGTTTCCCAGTGTAATGCGCTAGTCGATTCAGGCGCAGCTGGGAACTTCATGGACAGGGCATTCGCACGCCGTCAATGCATTTAATTGGTTCCCCTCTCCGTTCCACTCCCCATCAGAGCACTCAATAGTCGACCATTAGGGTCCGGGTTTGTTACGGAAGTCACTATACCGGTCACCATGATCACCCAGGAGACTCATTGTGAGCAGGTTATTTTTTCGATTATTGAATCTCCTTTCCCTGTGGTATTAGGTATCCCTTGGCTAGCACTCCACAACCCCACCTTCTCATGGCCGCAGAGGGCTCTCACAGGGTGGTTGCGTGAATGTCAGGGTAGGTGTCTAGATGTTTCCATTGGTGCAACCACGGTGGAAAGTCCAGACGGTACCTCCACCGTGCGCATTCCCCCCGAATACCTCGATTTGGCGCACGCGTGTTACTAAATTACCACCTCATCGGGCGGGGGATTGTGCGATAGACCTTCGGGTAGATGCTGTACCTCCCAGGAGTCATGTGTACCCCCTGTCGCAGGCTGAAATTGAGGCTATGGGCCAGGGGTACATACGTCCCTCCACTTCACCCGCCTCCTCAAGTTTCTTCTTTGTGAAGAAGAAAGACAGCGGTCTGCGCCCGTGCATTGATTATCGATCACTGAACAAGGAGACGATTAGATTTAGTTATCCTCTCCCCCTCATTCCTTCAGTGATCGAGTCAATGCATGGGGCGCGCTTCTTCACAAAGCTATATCTCAGGAGTGTGTACAACCTGGTGCGTATTCGGGAGGGGGATGAGTGGAAGACGGCATTCAGCACAACCACGGGGCATTATGAATACCTGGTGATGCCCTACGGTTTGATGAATGCTCCATCCGTCTTCCAGTCCTTTGTGAACAAGGTGTTTCGGGACATGCTTGGTCACGGTGTAGTGGTCTACATCGATGACATCCTGGTGTATTCCGCTACTCGCACCGAGCATGTGTCCCTGGTTTGCAAAGTGCTGGCCAGACTGTTGGAAAATGACCTTTATGCCAAGGCAGAGAAGTGTATGTTTTTCCAGCAGTCCGTCTCCTTCCTCAGATACCGCATTACCACCTCAGGTGTGGACATGGAGGGAGATCGCATTTCAGCCGTGCGTAATTGGCCGACTCCAACCACGGTTAAGGAGGTGCAGCGATTCCTTGGCTTTGCCAATTACTACCGAAGGTTTATCCGGGGCTTTGGCAAGGTCGCAGCTCCCATCACATCCCTGTTGAAGGGTGGGCCGTCCCGGCTCCGCTGGTCTGCTGAGGCGGATCTGGCCTTCAGGAGACTGCGGGGTCTGTTCACCTCAGCTTCGGTACTGGCCCACCCCGATCCATCACTACCGTTCGTAGTGGAGGTGGATGCGTCCGAATAAGGGATAGGCGCTGTCCTGTCCCAACACTTGGGCACACCACCCAAGCTCCGCCCCTGTGCCTTCTTCTCGAAGAAGCTCAGCCCGGCGGAGCAGAACTACGACATTGGTGATCGGGAGCGGTTGGCTGTGTGGAGGCATTGGCTCGAAGGGGCGAAACACCCTTTCCTCGTCTGGACGGACCACCGTAACCTGGAGTACATCCGGGCAGCGAGGAGGCTGAATCCTTGCCAGGCCAGGTGGGCCCTATTCTTCACCTGGTTTGATTTTACACTATCATACATTCCGGGTACGAAGAACGTGAAGGCAGACGCACTGTCCCGGCTGTATGACACAGAGACACATCACCATACTCCCGGCCTCCTGCATTGTGGCGCCGGTAGTATGGGCGATGGACGCGGATATAGAGCGGGCATTACACACAGATCCATCTCCACTGCAGTGTCCAGCTGGGCTGCGGTACGTGCCTGCTCTTATCCGTGATCGTCTGATCTTCTGGGCACACACGTCACCCTCCTCTGGTCACCCAGGTATCGGTCGTACAGTGCGCTGCTTGAGCGGAAGGTACTGGTGGCCTACCTTGGCTAAGGACGTGAGGGAGTACGTCTAAGTCTCCTGGCCGTCCCCGAGGCCGGGGTCGGCGCGCTGCTGGAGCTGGGGGGGGGGGGGGGGGGGTACTGTCACGACTTCAGCCGAGGCTGCCTCCCCTCCTTGTTCAGGCAGGCGTCGGCGTTCGTCATCACCAGAGTACTAACCACTGCCGCCCCAATCATCATCACACTTGTCTTGTCAATCACACACACCTGGTTCCTATCCCCTAATTAGTCTGTGTATAAGTGTTCCCTCTGCCCCCTTGTCCTTGTGGGTGATTGTTATTGTGAGAGTATGTAGCTCGGTGGAGCTACTCATAACATTGTGTTGCCAGGGTAGATTTTCCCCCTGTGCCTATGTATTATTGGATTCCGTTACAGTGTATTGCCAGGGATGTTGGTTTCCCCTGTGCCTGTTTCGTTGATCGCTATTGGAGCGCATGTGTGTGTCAACGAAGGAATAAACTCTGTATTCGGTGAATACCCTCCTGCGCCTGACTCCTTTCACCACACATAGCCTAAAAATCTCCCCCAACTGGAACACAGGCATGTTGTACCTGGTGCAGCGGGATTATTGGTCATTGCAGATTACCACCTATGTAACACTACCTGGAATAGTGCAGTTTAATCTCTGTCCTGTCCATTCACTGTACACATATCTCACATGGCTAGAGTTTCAAAGTACTGAGCATCTCAATCAGTCTTGCATAATGCAGTCTGGGGATGATCAGGATAGAGAACTGCTGCTGCAAAATTGAAAACCTTGAACGCACTGAAAACAAAACATTGAATGCACTAGTAGCACTCCCCCTTAAATGTACTCTATTGTTCGTTGCTTTACTTTTGTTGCTGCTCTGAGTGATAACGGTCAGTTGTCAGTGTGTTGGTGGCCAGTCTCCACTGCTGTGTGTAAACTCCACCACAGGGTCAGTGTGTCAAGGTCTCTGGTGGTGGGTGGGAAGGAAGGGAATGTAACACAGGTACATGAGCAAACATGTAACTCCATCTGGGTCCATGTGCGACCCGGATCGCAGACTAACTGACGTAGCTGCTTTCGTCTATGTCTGTTATTTATGGACTGATGTCAAATGAGAGTGGGCTGCAAACACGAAAGCCCCTAAACTGTCTCTCTGGTGAATGTCCCTGAAATAATTTCATGACCATGAAAGCGACAGCCTTTTGGGGTTTGTAAAGCCCTGTGAGACAAAGGCAGTAAGATGGGTTTGAGGGTGAATATGTGAGACTGAAATGAGACCAAAGTGAGAATGAGGAGCGCTCACCTTCATCTCCCTCCCCCAGCTGCTCTGCGATCTTTGAGTAGTCTGATCCGCCCACTATGCCGATCTTCACTTTCCTGCGCAGAGACTGGAAAAACTCATCCAGCTGCGGGTCGATTTTCTGCAGGGTGGAAGCACACACACACGACGCGTACACACAACGAGTGCACCCACGCACCCACGCACACACACACAGTCTGTACCTGTTTGTGTTGTCTATCATTGAAAACACCGTTTTAGGGACTCATAATATAAACTGTGACAAGATAGGCATTCACAGTCCTGAAAATTGCTTTTCTTGTCTGACCACAAAGCAGGAGAATGCTTTTGTTTGTGAGGTTAGGTAGCATAGACAGAGTGAGATTGCCATATGTCTCTGAAGGAGGAGCAGCTTTGATAGTGGTATATTGACCCTCTGCAGAAATAATCATATTAAACCAGCTTTCCCTCTTACCAGAGAGACTTTGGCAGATGGATCAGGCAGGGACTGCCTCATACTCACATGAGGAAACTGCATTACATAATACAAGGGCAGTGGGTTTATTCTGCACACTTATGTCTCTGTGACCGACCAACAGCTGTTGAACTGGACACAGCCTACACATGACGGCCATTGAACATTTCTTTACATCACCAGTCCAGACAATGAGACAAGAACGCAGATAGACAAAAAAAAATCATATTGTAGGCTATGTTACCACAAAGACATAATCTTGTGTTGATGGGCAGAGATAAGAGAGATAATCTCAATTTTTATCCTCCTGTTTAATTGAATTATTTGAAGACATGGAGAACTGCCTGTTTTCACACATGACAATTACAAAGACATTCATTGATGCAGCGTTGTGTAACAGAGAGTTAACTATTTATCATCAAATTAATGAGTAATTTTTTGTTAAACTACTGAAATCATTATGAAAAGCACTAGGGAGCTGTTTCACTGATTATTCATTGATGAGCTTGCATTTCAAATCTGAGGGTCAAAAGAGGCTGAGGACATGACTAATAGGCTAACCCCATTATGAATGTCAACGTCCTTGATCAACGTAGTCATAGAGGAAAGAGTATTTAGGGAAGGAACTCCATATGACTCTTCTTCCCATGTACCTAATTTAAGTTGTTTACTATCAGTTATCTGTCCATTAAAGGTCCAATGCAGCTGTTCTTATCTCAATATCAAATCATTTCTGAGTAACAATTAAGTACCTTAATTGTCAAAAATACACAAAAATAGCTTCAGAGCAAAGAGCAATTTCTCAAGCAAGAATTTTGCTAGGACTGTCTGAGAGTGGTCTGAGTGGGGAGGGGGAAACTAAAAATTAGCTGTTATTGGCTGAGAGGTTTGGAACTCTCTTTCCCATTGGTCTATTAACATTCCTGGTGATATCACCAGGCATGCCAAAACAGGCTGAAATTTAAACAGCTCTTACACTGAAAGGGCATTATTATAATTTTCACCATTTCACAGTATTATTCCAACATTTACATTTTAGTCATTTAGCAGACGCTCTTATCCAAAGCGACTTACAGGAGCAATTAGGGTTAAGTGCCTTGCTCAAGGGAACATCGACAGATTTTTCACCTAGTCGGCTCGGGGATTAGAACCAGTGACCTTTCGGTTACTGGCACAACGCTCTTAACCACTAAGCTACCTGCCGCCCTCAGAGTGGGACAATATATATAAAACACAGGGAAATCACGTTTTTGACTGCACTGAGCCTTTAAGGATTGGCGCGAACAGCTGCAAGGTAATTTATACTTCACATGGAAGGACTTCAAACTTTCAGGAAACAGCAGGCCATTCAGTTATAGGGTATTTTGAATAGGCGTAAGCAGTGTCCCAGTGTAACCGTGGTCTAGGGTTGACCACCACCGGGATGCTATATGAAACTTGACATCATGAGTGTTGTGCAAGTAGGCAACAGTAGCCTACAGTCGTCTTCTCTTACGGACGGAGGACATAACGTTCTTCCAAATTAATTATATCTCTGCTCCATGGGCCGCGTGCGACTTTGAGTGAAATACACGCTTCAGGTGCAAACGAATACATTTCATTTTCATTCAGAAGAGTTGGCAGACCGCTGCATTTGAGAACAGTAGGCTACAACCACGGGATTAAACAATATACGAAAATAAGAACTTGGAAGGACAGAAAATGATGGTGTTTGCCTACATTATCAGGAAGTATATCGACAGAAAATAGTAAATCATTACATAAAATGCAGGAACATTGCAGACCTTGCAGCAGATAAGACATTGACATTATGGCAACAGTTTTGTGCTATCAAGATGGCATGGCAATTGGCAAAGCGCCCTATAATTCCTTACAAAATTGAAAGGTTTGACAAGTTGGAAAGCAACATTAGAAGAAATGAAAATGACAAACAAACACAATTAATACAATGGGATAATAAAAAACGTTATTTAGCATACCTCTCTCGGTGGGGTAAGAGTGCCGTCCACGTCAAATAAACACAGAATAGTTCTTTTTGAAGAACCCTTTGATTCATCCATTTCTTATTTTGCAATGATAGTGTTACTAATGTGTAAGTAATCTTCTGGGTAAGCGTGACAATTTTCTGATCTTGCCTCTAATGCAAAACAAAGACTACAGTATAGGCTACTGTAAAATGTTTAGCCTACCACTAGTTGGATAAATAATTTATGCCATGCGGTCTAGTAGATAACGACAAACCATATCCAATAGTTGTTGAACTGTAGATTATCCTCAGACTGAAGAATAGTTATGCCACCGTTTTCGATCGAATTCAAAGAATCATATCACAGGCAGCGCGACGTCTCAGGTTTATTTTGCAACAGTGTCTCGTCTCTCGTAGGCTACATACAAACAGCCAATCGCAGCTTCTATGTTTGATGACGCGAAGTGGGCGATGGCAAGATGTTTATACATAGATGCCCATTGCCCCCTCCCATGTAAAATCAAGACTGATTTAAGACCCATCTCAACAGTGCTCAGACTGTGCCTAGATCTGGACAATGTAGCCTATCATATAATAAATTCACAGCCCAAGCAATGGAATGATTCCTCACTGCATGTCAGGCCAGCCATGGCATTAATCAGGCCAGGCAGTGAGAATAGTATGATGAATAACGTTTAGCTGATACATGGTGACAGATCCAACTTCCAAGATACACACTCACACTTGGGTCTGTCTGGAGACAGACTCTGTCTGGATACAGTTGTTGTGCAGGATTACCAGAACATTTGTGTGATCACTTTTATTATCAGTAAGTTAGTTGTCCTCAAGAGGGCAGGCTAAAACAATATACATGCCGGTGCCCTATGCAAGCCAAATGGCATAGTGCAGAACAGGTATATCCCGAAGGAGGCTCTGAGGGCTGTTAGATGGATTTGTCTGTTAAGGGTATCTGCAATCCTAACATGTCTTGTGGGTGGTGAGAAATTAAAATAAAGATGAAAGGTCTATCAGCATCAAAGGGAGAATCATGTTTACATAAAGACATGATTATAGTCCTGGTCCCTATTGGCACAGATGGCCATTTCAAATAAAATGAAATCAAATGTCATTTGTCACATGCACCGAATACAACAGGTGTAGACCTTAGAGTGAAATGCTTACTTACAAGCCCCTGACCAACAATGCAGTTTTAAGAAAGAATACCAAAAACAATCACACAAAAAATACAATATAAAATAATACGAAATAAAAGTAACAAATAATTAAATTAAAGAGCAGCAGTAAAATAACAATAGCGAGGTTGATTAGATGTTCAGGAGTCTTATGGCTTGGGGGTAGGAGCTGTTTAGAAGCCTCTTGTCCATTTGTTTTGCATCACTCCTTAGTAAATAGTCCATATTTTAATATTCGAACATCATGAATGGACATGAAAACCACGCATTTCAAATATATTAAGAAAATATATTTCTTATTGTTGCACTGTTGAGAAGGAACCTGCAAGTAAGCATTTCGTTGGACCATGTCTATCCTGTACATACAACTAATACAACTTGAAATTAAATTGATTAAAGCTCCTACTGTGTGTCTTTTATCCTGCTAACAGTTATCTTGGTATACCCTTGCTCTATATTTAGCTGATACACACAATGCACCTTAATCTAGGAATCAATATCAGAGGAGCAAATTTGATAGAATTCGATGGTTGTCTATAACCTCATTCACCACTCTCAGGAGAATGGCTACATAGTCATGAGTACAATAAGACTAACAGCATCTGTTGGGATTGTTTTTATTATTATTAATAGGCCTATCACTAGACTATGCTAAGGAGATACTAGGTATAAGGGCCATCTGGTCAATTCACAAAGGGTTGTCCATTGAGCAACATTTAAGACTAGGTTAGGTAGACTTTGAACTTCTGTTGGCTTTTTTAGTCAAAAAGATTGTTGTAATGTGATTAATGGACAATGTACCGAGGGCAGAAATGCAGACCATACCTTTGGATTGCCATTGTCAAAACTGAATTGCAGCAGGTGATGAATGGCTTTGCATAGCTACCATTAATGACCAATATACCTCTCACATTTCACAACAGCAATACATCACATCATTGATTTGGCCTGGAATCTATTAGTGTCCTTAATATGTAACAAGATAGTCTTTCTGTGCGTATATATACGTATAGGGAATATAAGACATGTATGTTTGAATATAAAGACACGCTTCAGTTGGCATGATGAATGTTGAGGCCAGTCACTTAGTCTGTATTTTAAAAGGCCCCATTAATACCAAATCCATGAATAGATAAGGGGCAGCCCTATAAGGAAGGAGATAACAGAGCAGATGCTATGAAGCAGAGACAGGATTACTCACAGTCACAAGTCACAACATGCCTCAATGAGTTTACCATTACTCAACTCTCACTTTCCCCTTCATTAAAAATGAGTCAGGGTCCTAGTCGGGGTGTCAGCCTGCTTCTGCAGTATCCAGAGCTTTGTATTATCTGTGTTTTTGCTAAACATTTTATTTACAGGACAGACAGAGATAAATAGGGCTGGCTAAAGGAGACAGACGGTCACTCAGGCCATGGGGATCCCATTATAATAATTAATAATAATTAGTCATTTAGCAGACGCTCTTATCCAGAGCGACTTACAGGAGCAATTAGGGTTAAGTGCCTTGCTCAAGGGCACCGACAGATTTTTCACCTAATCGGCTCGGGGATTAGAACCAGCGACCTTTCGGTTACTGGCACAACGCTCTTACCCACTAAGCTACCTGCCGCCCATGAGCCTCAGTCACTGAGAAAAAACACTGAGACCCTACAGCGAACAGGAAATACTCTGCTCGGACGTGTGGGCGTTTATTGCTCATAAACACTGTGTGATACACAATAAATCACTCTATGCAATAGGCAAGATTTAACTTATTACACAATGTCTTTATGATTTGTATGTGAAAATGTGTGCATGTTTTAAGTAGTAGTACTTACAGTTGAAGTCGGAAGTTTACATACACTTAGGTTGGAGTCATTAAAACTTGTTTTTCAACCACTCCACAAATGTCTTGATAACAAACTATAGTTTTGGCAAGTCGGTTAGGACATCTACTTTGTGCATGACACAAGTAATTTTTCCAACAATTGTTTACAGACAGATTATTTCACTTATAATTCACTGTATCACAATTCCAGTGGGTCAGAAGTTTACATGCACTAAGTTGACTGTGCCTTTAAACAGCTTGGAAAATTACAGAAAATGATGTCATGGCTTTAGAAGCTTCTGATAGGCTAATTGACATAATTTGAGTCAATTGGAGGTGTACCTGTGGATGTATTTCAAGGCCTACCTTCAAACTCAGTGCCTCTTTGCTTGACATCATGGGAAAATCAAAAGAAATCAGCCAAGACCTCAGAAAAAAAATTGTAGACCTCCACAAGTCTGGTTCATCCTTGGGAGCAATTTCCAAACGCCTGAAGGTACCACGTTCATCTGTACAAATAATAGTACGCAAGTATAAACACCATGGGACCAAGCAGCCGTCATACCGCTCAGGAAGGAGACGCGTTCTGTCTCCTAGAGATTAATGTACTTTGGTGTGAAAAGTGCAAATCAATCCCAGAACAACAGCAAAGGACCTTGTGAAGATGCTGGAGGAAACAGGTACAAAAGTATCAATATCTACAGTAAAACGAGTCCTATATCGACATAACCTGAAAGGCCGTTCAGCAAGGAAGAAGCAAGGGGGCAGCATCATGCTGTGGGGGTGCTTTGCTGCAGGAGGGACTGGTGCACTTCACAAAATAGATGGCATCATCAGGAAGGAAAATTATGTGGATATATTGAAGCAACATCTCAAGACATCAGTAAGGAAGGTAAAGCTTGGTCGCAAATGGTTCTTCCAAATGGACAATGACCCCCAAGCATACTTCCAAAGTTGTGGCAAAATGGCTTAAGGACAACAAGTCAAGGTATTGGAGTGGCCATCACAAAGCCCTGACCTCAATCCTATAGAAAATGTGTGGGCAGAACTGACAAAAGTGTGTGCGATCAAGGAGGCCTACAAACCTGACTCAGTTGCACCAGCACTGTCAGGAGGAATGGGCCAAAATTCACCCAACTTATTGTGGGATGCTTGTGGAAGGCTACCCGAAACGTTTGACTCAAGTTAAACAATTTAAAGGCAATGCTACCATATACTAATTGAGTGTATGTAAACTTCTGACCCACTGGGAATGTGATGGAAGAAATAAAAGCTGAAATAAATCATTCTCTCTACTATTATTCTGACATTTCACATTCTTAAAATAAAGTGGTGATCCTAATTGACCTAAGACAGGGCATTTTTACTAGGATTAAATGTCAGGAATTGTGAAAAACTGAGATTAAATGTATTTGGCTAAGGCGTATGTAAACTGCCGACTTCAACTGTATATTCAAAATTAAATGTCTTATCTATAGTATGCCTACAAGTTTTGTCTGTGTTTGTGTGTGAGTGTGTGTGTATGTGAGGAAGCATTTACATAGACATAGCCTTCCTATATTTTTATAGATGCACTGAAGTGTTCAGTAAAGTCCATATTTCTGAAGGAAACAAAAACATCACCCATAACAGGCACGCGTCATGCCACTCTGTCCAGTGGCAATCAGAGAGCTTTACAGTCACTATAAAAACAATCTTGTTCCTTTAACACATTATTACTCCATTTGCTAATCAACTGGGGTGTTTGAAGACGGAAGCATTCTCAGCTCTCTCTGTGTGTGTGTGTTAATGTGGCAAAATGACTGGGTGTCCCAAACCAACCCAGTCATTACACTCAGACACATTCAATGTACTGTTTATATAAGTTTTTACAGCCCCGGTGCCCAGTTCTCCTTCCTGAACACATCGTAAGAGTGTGTGCAGAGTATTTGACTTGAGTAAACAGAACTAACAGCCTATTGCCTCAGAACAAGATGGATATACTGTCAGTGTTCAAGGTATTGGGGCGAAGATGTTTTTATGCCAGAAAGAGATGCACACTCAGAGTAAATACACAAAGGTGTTGATTTGCGTAATGGCAACCCAAGCAATAAACACACACTGCAAGAGGAGGAGGGAAGTGAGGAGGATAGGAATATAACAACTTAAACACAAATGCCAGCCTGTAAAATGTATTATAGTCTAGACTACATACAGGTTCTGCCACAGAGAAGGCATATGTGTTTCTGCAACCTGCTCTCATGATTTTACATGAACTATACATCTTTTGGATAACTGAAATTAAAACTGGGTAATAGCCTATGAATATATGAAATGTGTCTCCAAAATGTGTATATTTCACAAAATGTTGTAGTGTGTATGCTTTAAAGGTGCAATCCGCAGTTACAACATCCATTTTTGGACTTATAAATGAGTGATATGTACCCATTGATTCTTGAAGAATATAACAAATAAATATCTCATGAGCTTAGTTCAACTGTCGTACCCCATCAGAACCATAAAATATATGCTTGTTTTACTCCAATGTTTCTAAACAGTGTAAATGTAAACAAAAATTGCATAGCCTCAAAACATGGTTAACGCTATCGTTTTGATATAATGGATGGTCAGACCTTGCAGCCATAGCTCTATCTATGAATTTGAGAGTGGTTACATTTCTCCAGCCCCATTACTCAGCTTTTTACCGAAACAGTGTTTTCATTGTTATTGTTTGAACTGCGGATTGCCCCTTTAAATGGCTAGAAAACAGTTTTATAGGCTTGCAAACTACCTGCTTTTATAACCGACAAATTTATCAGCAACACACAAGGCATCAGTTTTATGGCCTTTGTGACCTTCGCCCCTCTCCCGGCAAAAGCTCTCCCTTCTACTGAACATGGAGTTTCTGGGACATTCTAGACTGTGTTACTGTGTAATAATTATATGATTTCCATTGATTTCACATCACTGTTTGTCCTCAATACGATTTCACATCTACCTGTTTGATTTTCACATGCCTCCTTGTAAACTGGTCAACATTCCTTTGTCTTTGTTTTCATCTCTTGAATTTTCGTTTCTATTAATTTTCATTAGGAGAAACACATTGTTTCCTCCAATTCCTTCTACTAGTCAGTTGAAAGTTGGACATAGGCCTACTCACCTGTGTCCTATACAAGGAAACAATAGAGACTCAATGAAGGCCATGCTTAAAGAGATCAACTCTTAGAGGCAAGAGATTATTGCAGGGCCTACAAGAAGCTAATAAGGGCAATTACAATGTTTCTATAGGGTGTTCTGCATACTACAGGATTCTTCCCATAAGTTGACAGGGTGAACAAATAGCATGTTTATAAACATGATTAAATCATTCAGTTTCATATAGAGATATATAAATAAACAAACTGTAGGTGTCAGGCATAGCTGCCCACCCTCTTCTGTGTGCACAATCTGTCACCTGGTGGTTGTTCATTAACGCGTGGGACAGAGTGGCTGACGTGCTATCTCACTGACATTGGAGCGCTCAATGGTGGATCTATTGCCTTCGCTACTGCTTCAAACCTTTCTACCTTTCTACTAATATCAGAGGGTTGTCTACTTTTTGTTAATTTACCCTTAATTTAATCCACAGAGTTGGTTGAGCTGACATAAACAACTTCACCTCTTTTAACCTTTTTTTTTTCAACGTTATTTTTATCCTGTTTTTTCTTGTTTTACCTCAGCTCTGGTAGGAGTGTCTCCTGTGAGTGTTCATTTGTTTTTCGTTTTTGAAGGTCTAACCATTGTTTTTCATTTTATATTTAGCCTATCTAAGAATTGAAGTAAGTTACTCATAAAAAATTAAATCATAATTACATTCCGATTTTTTAACAATCTTTTCTCTTTTTACTAGTTCTAACTTTTTTACCTTTTTGGTTTGGAGTGGCCTGCAGCCCTTAAGGGGGTGTCTTCAAAGATGTTAATAATTTCTACATCTGGATTTAGATAGTGGAGTCTTTTTTACAGTCTTTTTTACAGTCTTTTTTACAGTCCTGTTCTATACAGCATCAAAATGCTGCATTCACATTGTTTTCTGTGCGTTGGAGTCTTATTTGTGGCACTTGTTGAGAGCCGAATGCTGGACAAATGCATGAAATCAAAACCCAAATACACCATGAACGTTGTACTTTTGGAGGATGAAACCTCAGACTGGAGCCTAGTGTTTGTAAGGCGTGCAGTGGTGCAAGCAATTAAAGCGGACAGGCAACTGAACATTGCAGCAGGTACAGAAACATGTATTTATTTTTTAATTTGAACTTACTTTAATTTCAACATTAAACGAATGTGTCAGTGATAAACATAATTCAGCTGTAACCTATCACACAATCCTATTGGACATTTCATTATGCTTGATAACAATTATCTCATCCTCCTACAACACTCTCTCCCTTGCCAAGGTTTGAACATCACATTAACGGCTAATTTCAGAGGGTTCAACACCACGCTGTACAAACGCAGGGGCTGTGGGAGCAGCACCTGTGAGGGAGTGGAGATACTCAAGTCCCTGCATGTGAGCCAGTCTTTTTTAGACTGTAATGTCCATTCCCATCTTGATACCATCTCTTCCAGGAGACCATTGCTACTTGAAGATATTATATGTTGACTGACAGACTGATTTAGATGTGCAGATGAGAAGAATAATTGCCATTGAAGTGTAATTTCAACCATTCACTTTAGGCGTATAATTTGCATCCGCTTGGCTACTAAAACTGTTCTAAGACATCAGGTGGAGAAGTTCCCATTTTTACGGACATACAGTACCAGTCAAAAGTTTGGACACACCTACTCATTCAAGGGGTTTTCTTTATTTTTACTATTTTCTACATTGTAGAATAATAGTGAAGACATCAAAACTATGAAATAACACATATGGAATCATGTAGTAACCAAAAAAGTGTTAAACAAATCAAAATATATTTTAGATTCTTCAAAGTAGCCACCCTTTGCCTTGATGACAGCTTAGCACACTTGGCATTCTCTCAACCAGCTTCATGAGGAATGCTTTTTCAACAGTCTTGAAGGAGTTCACGGTGGGAACCACACATGCAGAGATCATCCGTTCACCTACTCTGTGTCTCACAAAGACACGGTGGTTGGAACCAAAAATCTCAAATTTGGACTCATCAGACCAAAGGAGAAGATTTCCACCGGTTTAATGTCCATTGCTCGTGTTTCTTGGCCCAAGCAAGTCTCTTCTTCTTATTGGTGTCCTTTAGTAGTGATTTCTTTGCAGCAATTCGACCATGAAGGCCTGATTCATGCAGTCTCCTCTGAACAGTTGATGTTGAGATGTGTCTTTTACTTGAAGTCTGTGAAGCATTTATTTAGGCTGCAATCTGAGGTGCAGTTAACTCTAATGAACTTATCCTCTGCAGCAGAGGTAACTCTGGGTCTTCCTTTCCTGTGGCGGTCCTCATGAGAGCCAGTTTCATCATAGCGCTTGATGGTTTTTGCGACTGCACTTGAAGAAACTTTCAAAGTTCTTGACATTTTCCGTATTGACTGACCTTCATGTCTTAAAGTAATGATGGACTGTCATTTCTGTTTGCGTATTTGAGCTGTTCTTGCCATAATATGGACTTGGTCTTTCACCAAATAGGGCTATCTTCTGTATACCACCCCTACCTTGTCACAACACAACTGATTGGCTCAAACGAGAAATTCCACAAATGAAAAGGCACACCTGTTAATTGAAATGCATTCCAGGTGACTACCTCATGAAGCTGGTTGAGAGAATGCCAAGAGTATGCAAAGCTGTCATCAAGGCAAAGGGTGGCTACTTTGAAGAATCTCAAATATGAAATATATTTTGATTTGTTTAACACTTTTTGGGTTACTACATGATTCCATATGTGTTATTTCATAGTTTTGATGTTTTCACTATTATTCTACAATGTAGAAAATAGTACAAATAAAGAAAAAGCCTTGAATGAGTAGGTGTGTCCAAACTTTTGACTGGTACTGTATACTGTCAATGACTATACTGAAACTAAACAGTAATTTCAGTCCATTGGGCAGATCAGGAGGGCCTATAAGATTAATAAAGATTACATTATTTTAGAAAGAGAAATTAGACAGGGACGAGCCCTTCCCCATTACTCAACAACATGAGTGCCTATGTTTATGTACAGATTTGTTTGTGCTCCAGGCTAAAGGTGAGGTGGGATGTGCCATGCTGGGACCTTCCTGTACATTTGCCACTTTCTTTATGGTGGAGTAAGTTCTCTCTCTGTCTTGTACGCACACACGCATGTTAATGATCCCTGTCTCTGTCATCCCCATTGAAAAAGTATTTGTTTTGCCTGATTACTAGTAGTTGATGATGTGTACGTGTGGTAAATGACCCACTAGGTGATTATGATAATAGCGTTCATTGTTATGCTGGTTTATAATATCCTGTCCCGTAAGATAAGGACAGATTGACCTGCAGGTCATGATCCCTCTATTTGGAGAACTGTGTGACCCCTGGTCTGTGTGTGTCTCAGTGTGGAGATAGGCCTGACCTTGACTATCCCCATCATCTCTGCTGGGAGCTTCGGTCTGTCCTGTGACTACAAGGCCAACCTGACCCGCCTGCTGCCCCCGGCACGCAAGATCTCCAACTTCTTTGTCCACTTCTGGAACTTCACCAGACATGGTCTGAAGACGCACTGGGAGAGGGCTTATGTCTACAAGAAGGCAGACCAAACTGAAGATTGTTTTTGGTGAGAGGGAACACCTGTGCATTTGAAATGGAATTTCCGCCATGTACACACATACAGACAGTACAGAGATGCTCATTGCATGTGTATGGTAGACTGTAACACTGTAACATACATATCTAGAGTAAGTTTGATGCCAGGGAGAGAAGCGTTTATTGTTGGGTACTCCATGGTGCACCGTTACATCACTTCCCTTTTGCCATCTTCATAGGTACATCAATGCTCTGGAGGCACCCTCGGTCCAGTTTGCTATGTCAATCTCAAGAGAGATGCTACGCAGCAAGACAGAGCTAAAGAAAGCTCTTCAGTCTGAAAACAGACACAGCAACGGTGTGTGCCTCTCTCTGTCTTCTTCAATACCTTCTCAAGTCTTATCCATGCTTTACACACCAGCCACTGGTTCCACCCCGAATAGGAAGTAAATCAATGGTTACTTAAAACAAAACTTTTGTAACCTATCTACATGCTTTTAGGTGTTATTTCATCACACAGCTTTATCACCCCTGCACAATGTTTTTCAGTATTCATTCTCTGTGGAACCCCAGATGACATCACCACTATAAAGAACGATACAACGATTCCCCCAGAAATTGTCTTCATCCTCATCGATATCTATAAGTGAGACTGGTTTTGGTAGTTTGTTACACTGCATTGCATTGTTTTTTAGGGGACCATGATTGAAAGTTGAAACCATGTAACTTTTCTATCTCCTAGCCACGGGTATCACACTAACATGACTGCCAGCCCAAGCATGGACAATGTTCTGGTGCTCACCTTGCCTGAGAGACAATACAACAACACAATAGTTTACAACAGCACGGTTAGTCCCTGCTCCACTCATCTGTCTTCATTCCTCAGTTCTTCTGACTTCCTAATGTCTAAACAGAGATACCATCTCTCTCTCTCTCTCTCTCTCTCTCTCTCCTCTCTCTCTCTCTCTCTCTCTCTCTCTCTCTCTCTCTCTCTCTCTCTCTCTCTCTCTCTCTCTCTCTCTCTCTCTCTCTCTCTCTCTCTCTCTCTCTCTGTCTTCCTGACTGCTCCCCCTCTCCTGTTGCAGGAGTTAAATGACTATGTGGCAGGGTACCATGACAGTGTGTTGCTCTTTGGCCATGTGCTGAGGCAGAGGTTGACCAGTGAGCTGAGAGGCAGAGCGACACAGCCCCCTGCCACGGATCTTCCCGATGTAAACCCCTTCAGGAATGTCTCCTTTCAAGGTATAGGAGGGCCTGATGACCAGAGCCATGGTCCATCCTGTCCTCAGTCCTCCATTTAAACACCATAACAATTTAAGTCAGGCAATGGTGAGAACCTATACTTGTTGGACTTGGCAAAGCTGCTCGGCGGCAACCTTTAGCATCTGATCTTTGACTCTCGTCCAACGGGAACTTGCGCAAACCAGAACAGTAAATGTTTTGTTTTTGTCACACCATCGTCATTCTCCACACAGGAATGAAAGGCCACACATTATGCAGGAACCCATTCACTTTGATTTATTTTACAGTTCAGTACATGGCTAATTAGTGTGTTCTCTCTTGGCTGACTTTTATGGGCAATGTTTCAAATTTAGTCCATTTACAGCTGAGGACCATAGTAATTCAGGTGGTTATATGTCTTCCACAACTTCTTGTATTAGATAACATTTCCTAACCTGAACCTTGAATATAGCACTAGGTCGTAGCCTCAATTTCTTTGGAATTGTTACTCACAGTGGTGTGATTATTGATGCTATAATGAGGGAGCAAATGGTTGTTAAGGGCAGATGTTCCGGTCAAGAGTTTTCTGCTCAGGAGGATAAATGGTGATACTCTTAAAGGGTTAGAGATAATAGTGTGTGTCTGTGTGCAGGTATGGGGGGACACTACGTGCTGGATGAGAATGGGGACAGGGACGTGAACTTCTCTGTGATATACACCTCCACTATCGATAAACAGGTACTATTCATCCAATGTAACTGTTGGAATGGTCACCATCTCAGTCCCCTATTAAACAGTAGCAGGACATCGTTTAATGATCACTTAATAACGCTGTCATTGCACCTCTCCTCCAGTACAAAACCCTGTTTGTGTTTGATACGTCCATAAATGAGACCAGAGTGGAGGACAGCACCCCCTCACTGCCCTGGCCTGGGTCCCAACTGCCAGATGACAAGCCAATCAATCCTAACGGTAATGACATCTACGCTCTAGTAACAGGCCAGTAGCAGCTTCTACCCCCAAGCCATAAGACTGCTAAACAGTTAATCAAATGGCTACCCGGAGTATTTGCATTGACCCCCTTATTCTATTCTTATTTGTTCTTATTTTTGCACTGACTCTCTTGCACAGGGTCGATGTACACTCACTGGACTCTAACCACACACTCACACATACTACACTGAAACTCCAACACACACACACACACACACACACACACACACACACACACACAAAACACACACACACACATGCCTATTGATGCCAGACACACACACACACACAAACCCCCACACACACATTCCTTCACACTCCTCACATACGCTGCTGCTACTCTCTGTTTATTATCTATGCATAGTCACTTTACCCCTACCTACATGTACATATTACCTCAATTACCTCGACTAACCCGTACCCCTGTACATTGATTCGGTACCGTTTACCCTTGTATATAGCCTATTTATTGTTATTTTATGATGTTACTATTTTTCCTTTAGTTTATACAAAAAAAATCTTACTTACTTTTTAAAAACTCTGCATTGTTGTTTAAGGGCTCTTAAGTAAGCATTTCATGGTAAGGTCTACATTTGTTGTATTTGGCGCATGTGACAAATACCATTTTATTTTATTTATAAACACTAGTGCTACTAGTAACAGTACAAAGTTTATTCTAGTACACAAGCTCTTTTGAAGTTTGATGTCTTGATACGAAGATACAGTATTGGTGGGGGGAATACTTATTTTATGTTTGTGATTCCAGGTCTGCCGATAAAGGATATCATTGTGATCGTCCTGAGTGTCAGTGTTGCGGTGGTGACTGCCATCGCTCTGATCTTCTACAGGTAAAATATGCACCACACCAACCTCTGTCTTCTCACTTCTGTCCAATCACATTGTTACTTGACAACATGTCTCACTCACCTCTGTCTTTGTCTATTTATTATTATAATTATTATTATTATTATTATATTTACCCTTCAGTTCAGTCACTTTAAACCTGATTACACAACTGTCACCAGTATCCCTGACATTGATTGGTACTGATATTGACCTTGTATATAGTGTATCTTTTCGTGTGAATTTCTCTTATTCTCAAGAGTATATGACTTAATATTACTGCATTGTTGAGGAAGAGCTTGCAAGCAAGCGTTTCACTGCACTTTTTACACTTGCTGTATCCTGTGCACGTGACAAATAAACTCTGATTTGATTTGATTTATGGCCAATAGGCAGAACATGAAGGAACGTCAGAACCAAAAGAGGTGGTCCCACATCAGCCCATACCTGATTGATCCGCTGGATGGGAAAGAGTTAAGCCTGGTCTCACTGAAGGTGAGCTCCTTCACCTCCTTCTTGTCATGATGTTTTTGCCTGTCTGTTTCTATTTATAGTATGTCATCTTTTAAACTTCCATAATGCATGGTCAATACAAGCTGGTGTTACGCTGATGTTGGTTTAAGTTATTTCATTTACACTCTGATACTCCCTGTTTTCATTAATACCCAGGGATCTAATTGGATGCCTATAGTCTTGTGATATTTTATTATTGTTGACAGTTTATTCCACATTATTTATCCCTTTTTCTTTCTATATATCAGATTGATGAAGACAACAGGAAGGACAGCTGTTACCAGATTCGCAGGGGTCGCTATGACAAAAAGGTGCCATTACGAAAAATGTATGCACTCACTAAAAAATGTAAGTCGCTCTGGATAAGAGCGTCTTTGGTCCATAAACTGACTTAAACACATGGTGTGAGTTGTCATATCAGGGTCGTTCCACGAAAAGATTGCCTTTTGCGTCCCTTTGACATTTTAAGTAGAAATTGTGCACCAAAATTGAATTTAAAAAACCTGAAAAATTAAATTAAGTGCCCTTTAATATAGACCACATAGAGAATTCAATAAATGAATAAAGACTTGTGCAAAAATTCAGCATTTTGATATGTCATTTCGTGCACCCTCTGTGACTTCTAGGAAGATTTTAACCCACTTAACCCCACATTTCTCCATGTTTTCACTATTATTGTAAAGCCCTAGTTATTTTGCTGCTTTGACAAAGTCATTTCTGAAGATTATTATTTATTTCATGTGATTAGAGATTCATTGAACATCTGTCCCTCATTTTAAAGTCAACCCTGTTACTTGAACTGAACTCTCGTTAATATGGTATAACTATTCCTTTTTCAATATATTTTTGAAAAGAAACATCATTGATTCAGAGGGGTTGGGTTAAATGTGGAAGACAAAATTTCAGTTGAATGCATTCAGATGTGCAACTGACTAGATATCCATTTTCCCTTAATAGTCAAATCATAGTGTTAAAGCAGGTGAGCTGGTTCTACACTTTTTGGCAATTTTCTGGTTTTGTGGTGGAAAACTGAGCGGGTCGAGCATAACACGTTAACCCTGTTACCCATAGATAGACAGGCTAGAAATATTTGAACAATTAAAAAAATATTGTGATCAATTGCATTCAATTGCAACCCCCTGTAAAAAAATATTGTGATCAATTGCATTCAATTGCAACCCCCTGTTGCACACAACAAGCTTCCTTTTCCCCTGTCACAACGGGATTATGGCTGATTTAAGATTAAATCGTCAACCCTGTTACTTTATTTGGCACTTACTATAGTAATATTTATATTTAATCTCTTGAGATGGGGGAAAGTGTTTTTCATGAAGTTGAATATGTGCTCTTTGTGACAGAACGTTAAAATGAGGTGAAATCATTGTATTTTTTACCAAGTTAAACTTCTTGAAAGGCACTGAATTGGTGGAACGACTAACCAGTAACTACTCTCAAAGGCTGATATGGGCATAACTTCTACTCTATTATTATCTATCTATTATTTTCAGCCCGTGATCCTGAAGGAGCTGCAACACACAGACGGCAACTTCAGTGAGATCCAGAGGATCGAGCTCAACACTGTAAGGTTCTTGCTAGTGATGTCACTTCCTCTCCCCCTCGTAGTTCCTCCTAACCTGCCGATTCAAACATTAGTCCAGTCAGCTGTCCACTGATCTAGTGTCCATTTTGAGTGTCTATATGGCCCGAACTCAGGGTCAACCCTATATTTGCTTATCTTGATGTGGTGTGAACAACAGAGGTTTGCGGATTCGTGTATGTGTGTTTTATGGCTTTGTGGCCCTATGGAGGAATATTTTATCTACTTGTCAATCAGAGGAGATAGCCTATGTGACCTTATGTGAGCAACTAGGTGATAAAAGTAGAGTGTGTAAATGAGTGTGAGGAAGTCGAGATCACCCATGATATGATGTCTTTCACAGTGACACCTTCTTTCTCTCTCTCTCTCTCTCTCTCTCTCTCTACTCTCTATCTCTCTCTCTCTCTCTCATCTCTCACCACCTCTCTCTCTCTCTCTCTCTCGCTCTCATCTCTCTCTCTTCTCTCCCTCTCTCTCTCTCCCTCTCTGTCTCTCTCTCTCTCTCTCTCTCTCTCTCTCTCTCTCTCTCTCTCTCTCTCTCTCTCTCTCTCTCTCTCTCTCTCTCTCTCTCTCTTTCTGCTTCTCTCAGCTCCTGTGTATTGACTACTACAACCTGACCAAGTTCTATGGCACGGTGAAGTTTGAGTATGGCCTGTTTGGAGTGTTTGAATTCTGTGAGAGGGGATCCCTGAGGGTAAGAGGATTGGCTGAGAGCATTACTTTATGGTGGGAATCAGTGGCCTGCTTTCCACCCACATATCTTTATTGTGCAATGATAAGCCATTGACATTTACACACATATTGTTTACAGGACTCCTTTACAGACAGGGCTTGGGTCACAATCACAGTTACATTCACTCAGATTTCAAATACCCTACCAGGAAGAAACAAAAACACTCAAGCATAAACGGAACTGCAGTAAACTCTGTCATTCACTGTCTTTACAGTATGTCCTTAATGACACAATCTCCTATCCTGAAAACACCTTCATGGACTTGGAATTCAAGATATCAGTTATGTATGACATAGCTAAGGTAAGTTTATGTAGTTTGGTTGGACTATGTGTTTACTGTGGGCAAATGCACTCAAATTGTAATATGGTGTAGTCCAGTGGATCCAAACTTTATCGCTTACTGTACCACCAACTGAATTTTGCTCTGCCCAGAGTATCCCTGTGCATTTTACCAGTAAACCTATGGTCTCATGAGTCTTCTCAAGTACCCCCTGTGGATAGGCCAAGTACTCCCAGGGGTCCTAGTACCCCTGGTTGGGAACCACTGGTGTAGCATACTGTAGCTGTGTGTGGCTCGCCCTGGTGGCGGTTTCAGGGCATGTCCTACCTCCACTCCAGCAACATTGAGGTCCATGGCCGACTGAAGTCCTCTAACTGTGTGGTGGACAACCGCATGGTGGTCAAAATCACAGACTTTGGCTGCAACACCATCCTCAGCCCCTGCAAAGGTGAAGCCCGCTGCCCATTTTTTCCCTTAAAGCAAATGATTCAACCTGAAAGTATTATGCCATGAAGTTAGTAAAAAACCCAACCAGGGGAGTAATTTGATATCCCACTCTGGTCCCTCTCCTTTCTGTCAGACTTGTGGACGGCTCCAGAACACCTCCGGAAGCAGGGGATCTCCCAGAAGGGGGATGTCTACAGCTTTGCCATCATCGCTCAGGAGATCATACTGAGGAAGAAACCCCTTCTTCACCCAGGCCTGCTCCGACATTGCAGGTAACAACGGTCTGGTGGCTAGAGTCAGAGTCATGCAGAACACTTTTTAGCCATGGTAAAAGTTATCAAGTTTTTTATGTCTATGCATCTCACACTGGTAATTTAACAGTGGCTCCTGCTGGCCATTACATGTAAATACAACGTCTGCTCACTAGGGATCACTGTCATCAATTACCATTCTAGGGATTTTGCAAAAGGAGAGTGAAATTCTTATTTTTTTACTGTAAATGAGGAAATGGCTGTGATGAGATTTGTCAATTGAATTCCCCTTTCCTTCCTCCCCCAGAGAAGCTGTACATGTTGCAGTACCCAAGTGGGACTGGCTTCTTCAGGCCAGATCTAAACTTTGAGACAGCAGCAGTAAACGAGGCAGAGATACAAGGCCCCTCATAGCATTTCTCACATACGCATGCATATCTGTGTTAGTTTGTATGTATGGTTGTCATTGTACGTGTCTACTGCAGCTTTACATGCTGATAAAGAACTGCTGGGAAGAGGACCCGGAGAGGAGGCCAGACTTCAAGAAGATAGAGGGATCTCTGGGTAAGATATTCAGGTAAGCCCAGTACTGTATGAGAGTGAGTGAGAGAGTGTGTGCACTATGTGTGAGTTTGTGTGTGTGTGTGTACAAAATTAGTAGTCTTGTGAAATGCCTGATATTCCACATCTACACTGAGTGTACAAAACATTAAGAACCTTCCTAATATTGATTTTGTCTTACCCATTCACCCTCTGAATGGCACACATACACAATCCATCTCAATTGTCTCAAGGCTTAAAAATCCTTCTTTAACCGGTCTCCTCCCCTTCATCTACACTGATTTAAGTGGATTTAACAAGTGACATCAATAAGGGATCATAGCTTTCACCTGGATTCACTTGTTCAGTCTATGTCATGGAAAGAGCAGGTGTTATTAATGTTTTGTACACTCAGTGTACATTCAGTCAATCAAAACCCTTCTTACATACCAAAAGCCATGGTATGTTGACAGCTGCTTTGTGTTCAACATACAAACGTTTTAGAATTTTAGAGTTCTATCAATTCTTTATTCATACAAAAGTTGGAGTGATAAGCAATCTCCAATTTGGATTTTTCCCTGGTTAAATAAATGTTCTGAGCTATTGGGCCCTTTTATCATCCAAAAGTGGTATGTACTATGCAACGTTTTATACAATTTAGCATCATAGAGATATGGTTATTTGTTTCCATGTTCCACAATCGTTCAGCAACCTGCACAACCAGGCTAATGAGAGCTACATGGATAACCTGATCCGCCGGCTGCAGATGTACTCCAGGAACCTGGAGCACCTAGTGGAGGAGAGGACCTATCTGTACAAGGCTGAGAGGGACAGGGCTGACAGACTCAACTTCCTGCTCCTGCCAGCGTATGTCATGCATCCCAGCTCAACCTTAACCCTAACTCTAACACAAGCTTCATGTCCACATCCTGGCTCAACCCTAACCCTAGCTACAACCCTAACCTTAACCCTAACCTGAGCTTTATGTCCACATCCTGGTTCAACCCTAACAACCCTAACAACCCTAATCCTAGCCTTAATGCTGAACCCTAACACACCTGCCAGCCTATTTAGCCTTTGGAAGCCAACAGAACGATAAGGAATCGCTCAGCTTAACCTCCCGTACCCCTGCTTCTCTCCTCAGCCCAGTGGTGCGTTCCCTGAAGGAGACGGGCAGTGTGGAGCCAGAGCTGTTTGATGAGGTGACGGTCTACTTCAGCGACATTGTGGGCTTCACCACCCTGTGCCAGTACAGCACGCCCATGGAGGTGGTGGACATGCTCAACGACATCTACAAGAACTTTGACAGGATCCTCGACCACCATGATGTATACAAGGTAGTTGGGACTGAGGCTTGACATGTTCACATACTAAAACAGAATCAATAGTACTGGAATAGAATGTTAATAGAATGAGAGAGTTGAGTGGGGACAACAGTTTTCATATGAAATATGAACGTTACTATTGTATTCAGAAAACATTTCAGAGGGTCATCGTCTCTTCCGCTCTCTCTGCCAGGTGGAGACGATCGGTGATGCGTACATGGTGGCGTCGGGGTTGCCGCGGCGGAATGGCAACCGGCACGCAGTGGACATCGCCCACATGGCCCTGGACATCCTGGCTTTCGTAGGGACCTTCCAGCTCCAACACCTACCGGGCATACCCCTGTGGATCCGCATCGGGGTGCACTCAGGTACCCCATCTCAGCACAGTACAACTGGCCCAAACACAGTAGTTTGTATAGAGCTGAACTTTTCCCACAATTTAGTTTTATTTTAAGTACATAATATTGGGCCAATACAGTCCTGTTAGCAACACTTTCACTGCCTGCAGTGTGTTTAGCTGTGTCACTGTGTCTGGTGTGTTTACAGGGCCGTGTGCGGCGGGTGTGGTGGGGAACAAGATGCCACGTTACTGTCTGTTTGGAGACACAGTCAACACTGCCTCACGCGTGGAGTCCACAGGCCTGCGTAAGAGACAGCACACACAGACACCGACACATCAAACATAACCACTGGGATGAACACTTACATACATGCATTCTCCTCAGCTATCACAGGCACAACTCCATTCTAGCAGTGTATATTCAGCATAGTTCGCCATAGGATGACACCTCTCATGCTTCCTCTCCAGCACTAAGAATCCATGTCAGCCAGCCCACCATAAACATCCTCCAACGGACAGACTGCAAGTTTGAGTATGAGCAGAGAGGAGAGACCTTCCTGAAGGTAAGCTGGGTTCATAAAGCTATGAGAAGGTTTTGTGAGTATAGAGTTCAGATCATGCCAACAATGTGTGTGTGTTTGTTAATGTGTTACAGGGTAAAGGCAATGAGATGACATACTGGTTAACAGGGATGACAGGGACAGAATACAACCTGCCAACGCCCCCGACAGCGTGAGTAGAAACCACCCATCCTGAACTTACACGGTATCTATCACCCATATCTATAGCATTATGTATGTCAAACAATCCACACATCTTGTCCCTGGTTGTCTCCTCAGGGAGAACTTCCAAAGGCTACAGCAGGACCTGTCTGAAATGATTGTGTCCAGCCTGGAGAACAGAGGGCCGGGGACCAACGGCATGGAGAAGAGGAAGACCCTCTCCACCAGAAACAGGAGGAGGGAGACCAACGGGAGCCGGGAGGACGGCCTGCCAGAGTACCTGCACCTGGCCATCACAGACATTCCCAGCACCTACCTGTAGTCACCCAGGACCAGACTGCCCCCTGTGGAGATACAGGGCTCCTACACTCTGTCAAACGGTGACAGTGGAGTCAAGTAGCCTTAAATTCACCTGATACAATAGCTAAGTATAGCCTTATACATTTGGAACCTGACTATTTTCCGAATGACTTCAAAATGGTTGTAAAAGACGTGGGGTTTCTGATTTGAGCCTGAGAAAAGGTTATTTGTGGGGGTCAAAAATGAGCGCAAAAATGGGTTGGGGGGGTGCAACCGCTTACCATAAAAATAGTTTGTAATGGAGATGCTTTAGGCAAAACCAAAACCAGTAAACCAAGGAACAGGATGGTACTCCTCTATTTTAAGAAGCCCCTGAAGAAAATACAAATATGAGTGTTGCTGCATTTTCTCTGCAATCAACAATGAACAATTGTTCAAAACAATATCACTGATTATCACTGAAGCGCAATAATAATAATAATAATACTAAAGCTTAATATTGGCATCAATAACATGATGATTACATCTTATAAATGATGTATACACACAGTGTTGGGTCATAGTTTCTCATTGTAATCTCAGTGCATTTTATTGGTTCATAGTTTCTCATTGTAATCTCAGTGCATTTTATTGGGTCATAGTTTCTCATTGTAATCTCAGTGCATTTTATTGGTTCATAGTTTCTCATTGTAAACTCAGTGCATTTTATTGGGTCATAGTTTCTCACTGTAATCTCAGTGCATTTTATTGGTTCATAGTTACTCATTGTAATCTCAGCGCATTTTATTGGGTTATAGTTTCTCATTGTAATCTCAGTGCATTTTATTGGGTTATAGTTTCTCATTGTAATCTCAGCGCATTTTATTGAGTTATAGTTTCTCACTGTAATCTCAGCGCATTTTATTGGGTTATAGTTTCTCACTGTAATCTCAGCGCATTTTATTGGGTTATAGTATGCAATGTGTTTTAATCCTCAAATTTGATAGAGTCTGAAATGCTAATACGTCTTAATTTTAAAGCCCCACTATCTTTATAGGGTTTCCAACCTTTATTAGTAAAGTGTGTGCCCTGAATTGAAACAAAATAACTTTCTGTAAATACATGAGTATACTTTTGTTTAACCAAAAACCTGCCTCTACATCTCTGAGGTCTGAGAACCTCTTTCTTATCAAAATGTACTATATTGTATATGAGTGGGGGTAACATTTCCACATAATAAGTTTGTGTTTTGTTGACTGTGATGTGTCAAATATATCCCCAAATTAATAGCAGTTCTCACCTTTACTTCTACAGTATCTAGAAGTGAGTTATAAAGTTAATGTAAATGTTATTCTTCATTTTTTCTCATTATAAAGTAACATTTACAACTGGTTTAACATTGACATATATCGCCAAATTGCATAATTTTGCTGCATTTTATGAATTCCATGTCAATGTTTTTACACATCATACACAAATGTACAGCACAATAAATAGCCATAAAATTGGCCAGATAATAATAATACCTTCATTCTAAAACTACCAGCAAAGTCTACACAAGAGTTAAAATATAAATATCCTATAACAGCCATGTTATTATTGGAGTTAACCCAATCTACTCAGATTTGTCTTAGACAATATTTAAGTATAGAAACACAAGTACATAGTCGCCTCCCACAGTATAGGCTTACAGGTTTGTCATTATGCCTACATAATCACACCTTTACAAATGTAAAAAAGTACATCTAAATGACTATATTGTACCAACAATACTGCAAAGAACAAGTCCTTTTGCTTGACAATGGCCATGTGGTTTTATATGTCAAAACGATGTCCTCTCAGTCGGAGCATTGCACAGTCTTGGTGGTCACCAAAGCAGCATCCCCCAGCTCAGTGGCAGGAAGTGGGATCCAATGCTCCCTCAGACCGTTGCACATGAACACGCCAGCGACCTCCCCAAGAGCGCCACACCCAGAGGCCCCGCTGTAGGTGGACGCCTCCTGCCTGAAGCATGTTTGGGGCCCACCATTCAGCTGGGGACAGGTTGTAGGTACCTCCTCTTCTCTCTCTACCACGGCTGCTGTACAGTCTCTCTCCACAGGCGGCAGGGCTTTAGCTGGAGGGTTAAGTCCTGCCTCTGGTTCACCTGGAGCAGAAACAAGCATTACCCAGCATTATTCCTCCTAAAGAGAAATCTACATCAACATGATAAAGAAGACCTATACCTCAAATCTGAATCATTGAATAATTGGCAGCAATTGGATAGAGTTAAGAAGAATGTTCTCTCGGAAAAGCAAAATCAAGAAATATGTATACAACAATGCCGGCCCTCTACCCATCACCCAATTCCAAACATTGTTAAGTTAAATGGTTGTTCTATGTCTTCTAGCTAGCTCAACACAGAGTGAACTGTGAGCAGGAGGGGTGTAAATGAGGGCTGGTATTCAGGGCATGTATCCCCGTATGTAATGGAGCTAACCTAGTAATCTCATTACCGTTCAGTGGTGTATTTTTTTTTTACTCACATGTAGTAGCAACTGTTGCCATTTGGGTGTTTTATTTGTGTGTGTGTGTGTGTGTGTAAGTATGAGTGTGTAGGTCAGGGGAAGAATACATTTTTGTCTCAAACAAGGTGTGTGTAAGTTTGGGTGAAAATTTGTTCAAAAACCAGAAATGTTCTGAGCTATTGGGCCCTTTTACTCAAAGTGGTAGTCTATGCAATTTTTACATTGCATCATAGAGATATGTTATTTGTTTCCATGTCCACATCGTTCAGCACCTGCACACCAGGCTAATGAGAGCTACATGGAAACCTGATCCGCCGGCTGCAGATGTACTCCAGGAACCTGGAGCACCTGGTGGAGGAGAGGACCTTCTGTACAAGGCTGAGAGGGACAGGGCTGACAGACTCAACTTCCTGCTCCTGCCAGCGTATGTCATGCATCCCAGCTCAACCTTAACCCTAACTCTAACACTAGCTTCATGTCCACATCCTGGTTCAACCCTCACAACCCTAACAACCCTAATCCTAGCCTTAACGCTGAACCCTAACACACCTGCCAGCCTATTTAGCCTTTGGAAGCCAACAGAACGATAAGGAGTCGCTCAGCTTAACCTCCCGTCCCCCTGCTTCTCTCCTCAGCCCAGTGGTGCGTTCCCTGAAGGAGACGGGCAGTGTGGAGCCAGAGCTGTTTGATGAGGTGACGGTCTACTTCAGCGACATTGTGGGCTTCACCACCCTGTGCCAGTACAGCACGCCCATGGAGGTGGTGGACATGCTCAACGACATCTACAAGAACTTTGACAGGATCCTCGACCACCACGATGTATACAAGGTAGTTGGGACTGAGGCTTGACATGTTCACATACTAAAACAGAATCAATAGTACTGTTGTTAATGTAGTATTATGCAACTGAATGCATTCAGGGTCATCGTCTCTTCCTCTCTCTCTGCCAGGTGGAGACGATCGGTGATGCGTACATGGTGGCGTCGGGGTTGCCACGGCGGAATGGCAACCGGCACGCAGTGGACATCGCCCACATGGCCCTGGACATCCTGGCTTTCGTAAGGACCTTCCAGCTCCAACACCTACCGGGCATACCCCTGTGGATCCGCATCGGGGTGCACTCAGGTACCCCATCTCAGCACAGTACAACTGGCCCAAACACAGTAGTTTGTATAGAGCTGAACCTTTCCCACAATTTAGTTTTATTATAAGTACATAATATTGGGCCAATACAGTCCTGTTAGCAACACTTTCATTGCCTGCAGTGTGTTTAGCTGTGTCACTGTGTCTGGTGTGTTTACAGGGCCGTGTGCGGCGGGCGTGGTGGGGAACAAGATGCCACGTTACTGTCTGTTTGGAGACACAGTCAACACTGCCTCACGCATGGAGTCCACAGGCCTGCGTAAGAGACAGCACACACAGACACCGACACATCAAACATAACCACTGGGATGAACACTTACATACATTCTCCTCAGCTATCACAGGCACAGCTCCATTCTAGCAGTGTATATTCAGCATAGTTCACCATAGGATGACACCTCTCATGCTTCCTCTCCAGCACTAAGAATCCATGTCAGCCAGCCCACCATAAACATCCTCCAACGGACAGACTGCAAGTTTGAGTATGAGCAGAGAGGAGAGACCTTCCTGAAGGTAAGCTGGGTTCATAAAGCTATGAGAAGGTTTTGTGAGAATAGAGTTCAGATCATGACAACAATGTGTGTGTGTGTTTGTGTATGTGTTACAGGGTAAAGGCAATGAGATGACATACTGGTTAACAGGGGTGACAGGGACAGAATACAACCTGCCAACGCCCCCGACAGTGTGAGTAGAAACCACCCATCCTAAACTTACACTGTATCTATCACCCATATCTATAGCATTATGTATGTCAAATAATCCAAACATATTGTCCCTGGTTGTCTCCTCAGGGAGAACTTCCAGAGGCTACAGCAGGACCTGTCTGAAATGATCGTGTCCAGCCTGGAGAACAGAGGGCCGGGGACCAACAGCATGGAGAAGAGGAAGACCCTCTCCACCAGAGTCAGGAGGAGGGAGACCAACGGGAGCCGGGAGGACGGCCTGCCAGAGTACCTGCACCTGGCCATCACAGACATTCCCAGCACCTACCTGTAGTCACCCAGGACCAGACTGCTTCCTGTGGAGATACAGGGCCCCTACACTCTGTCAAATGGTGACAGTGGAGTCAAGTAGCCTTATATTCACTTGATACAATAGCTAAAGTATAGCCTTATACTTAGGAAACCTGACTATTTCCGAATGACTTCCTGGGTAAAAGACGTGGCTTTCTGATTTGAGCTAAAGGTTATTTTGGGTCACATGAGCAAAATGTGTGGTGACGTTCCATAAATAGTTTGTAATGGAGATGCTTTAGGCAAAACCAAAACCAGTAAACCAAGGAACTGGATGGTACTCCTCTATTTTAAGAAGCCCCTGAAGAAAATACAAATATGAGTGTTGCTGCATTTTCTCAGCAATCAACAATGAACAATTGTTCAAAACAATATCACTGATTATCACTGAAGCGTAATAATAATAATAATAATAATACTAAAGCTTAATATTGGCATCAATAACATGATGATTACATCTTATAAATGATGTATACACAGTGTTAGGTTATAGTTTCTCATTGTAATCTCTGTGTATTTTATTGGGTCATAGTTTCTCATTGTAATCTCAGTTCATTTTATTGGTTCATAGTTTCTCATTGTAATTTCAGTGCATTTTATTGGGTCATAGTTTCTCATTGTAATCTCAGTGCATTTTATTGGGTCATAGTTTCTCATTGTAATCTCAGTGCATTTTATTGGGTTATAGTTTCTCATTGTAATCTCAGTGCATTTTATTGGGTCATAGTTTCTCATTGTAATCTCAGTGCATTTTATTGGGTTATAGTTTCTCATTGTAATCTCAGTGCATTTTATTGGGTCATAGTTTCTCATTGTAATCTCAGTGCATTTTATTGGGTTATAGTTTCTCATTGTAATCTCAGTGCATTTTATTGGGTTATAGTTTCTCATTGTAATCTCAGTGCATTTTATTGGGTCATAGTTTCTCATTGTAATCTCAGTGCATTTTAATTGGTTTCATAGTTTTCTCATTGTAATCTCAGCGCATTTTATTGGGTTATAGTTTCTCATTGTAATCTCAGTGCATTTTATTGGGTTATAGTTTCTCATTGTAATCTCAGTGCATTTTATTGGGTTATAGTTTCTCATTGTAATCTCAGTGCATTTTATTGGTTCATAGTTTCTCATTGTAATCTCAGCGCATTTTATTGGGTTATAGTTTCTCATTGTAATCTCAGTGCATTTTATTGGGTTATAGTTTCTCATTGTAATCTCAGTGCATTTTATTGGGTTATAGTACGCAATGTGTTTTAATCCTCAAATTTGATAGTCTGAAATGCTAATACATCTTAATTTTAAAGCCCCACTATCTTTATAGGGTTTCCAACCTTCATTAGTAAAGTGTGTGCCCTGAATTGAAACCAAATAACTTTCTGTAAATAGTTGAGTATACTTTTGTTTAACCAAAAACCTCAGAGAACGTCTTTCTTATCAAAATGTACTATATTGTACAGTGGGGAAAAAAAGTATTTAGTCAGCCACCAATTGTGCAAGTTCTCCCACTTAAAAAGATGCGAGAGGCCTGTAATTTTCATCATATGTACACGTCAACTATGACAGACAAAATGAGAAAAAAATTCCAGAAAATCACATTGTAGGATTTTTTATTAATTTATTTGCAAATTATGGTGGAAAATAAGTATTTGGTCAATAACAAAAGTTTCTCAATACTTTGTTATATACCCTTTGTTGGCAATGACACAGGTCAAACGTTTTCTGTAAGTCTTCACAAGGTTTTCACACACTGTTGCTGGTATTTTGGCCCATTCCTCCATGCAGATCTCCTCTAGAGCAGTGATGTTTTGGGGCTGTCGCTGGGCAACACGGACTTTCAACTCCCTCCAAAGATTTTCTATGGGGTTGAGATCTGGAGACTGGCTAGGCCACTCCAGGACCTTGAAATGCTTCTTACGAAGCCACTCCTTCGTTGCCCGGGCGGTGTGTTTGGGATCATTGTCATGCTGAAAGATCCAGCCACGTTTCATCTTCAATGCCCTTGCTGATGGAAGGAGGTTTTCACTCAAAATCTCACGATACATGGCCCCATTCATTTTTTCCTTTACACGGATCAGTCGTCCTGGTCCCTTTGCAGAAAAACAGCCCCAAAGCATGATGTTTCCACCCCCATGCTTCACAGTAGGTATGGTGTTCTTTGGATGCAACTCAGCATTCTTTGTCCTCCAAACACGACGAGTTGAGTTTTTACCAAAAAGTTTTCAACTGACCATATGACATTCTCCCAATCCTCTTCTGGATCATCCAAATGCACTCTAGCAAACTTCAGACGGGCCTGGACATGTACTGGCTTAAGCAGGGGGACACGTCTGGCACTGCAGGATTTGAGTCCCTGGCGGCGTAGTGTGTTACTGATGGTAGGCTTTGTTACTTTGGTCCCAGCTCTCTGCAGGTCATTCACTAGGTCTCCCCGTGTGGTTCTGGGATTTTTGCTCACCGTTCTTGTGATCATTTTGACCCCACGGGGTGAGATCTTGCGTGGAGCCCCAGATCGAGGGAGATTATCAGTATCTTGTATGTCTTCCATTTCCTAATAATTGCTCCCACAGTTGATTTCTTCAAACCAAGCTGCTTACCTATTGCAGATGCAGTCTTCCCAGCCTGGTGCAGGTCTACAATTTTGTTTCTGGTGTCCTTTGACAGCTCTTTGGTCTTGGCCATTGTGGAGTTTGGAGTGTGACTGTTTGAGGTTGTGGACAGGTGTCTTTTATACTGATAACAAGTTCAAACAGGTGCCATTAATACAGGTAACGAGTGGAGGACAGAGGAGCCTCTTAAAGAAGAAGTTACAGGTCTGTGAGAGCCAGAAATCTTGCTTGTTTGTAGGTGACCAAATACTTATTTTCCACCATAATTTGCAAATAAATTCATTAAAAATCCTACAATGTGATTTTCTGGAGAAAAAAAATCTCAATTTGTCTGTCATAGTTGATGTGTACCTATGATGACAATTACAGGCATCTCTCATCTTTTTAAGTGGGAGAACTTGCACAATTGGTGGCTGACTAAATACTTTTTTCCCCCACTGTATATGAGTGGGGGTAACATTTCCACATAATAAGTTTGTGTTTTGTTAACTGTGATGTGTCAAATATATCCCCAATTTAATAGCAGTTGTCACCTTTACTTCTACAGTATCTAGAAGTGAGTTATAAAGTTAATGTAAATGTTATTCCTTGTTTTTGCTCATTTTAAAGTAATATTTACAACTGGTTTTACATTGACATATCGCCAAATTGCATAATTTTGCTGCATTTTATGAATTCCATGTCAATGTTTTTCCACATCATACACAAATGTACAGCACAATAAATAGCCATAAAATTGGCCAGATAATACCTTCGTTCTAAAACTACCAGCAAAATCTACACAAGAGTTAAAATATAAATATCCTATAACAGCCATGTTATTATTGGAGTTAACCCAATCTACTCAGATTTGTCTTATTGTCTTAGACAATATTTAAGTATAGAAACACAAGTACATAGTCGCCTCCCACAGTATAGGCTTACAGGTTTGTCATTACACCTTTTACAAATGTAAAAAAGTACATCTAAATGACTATATTGTACCAACAATACTGCAAAGAACAAGTCCTTTTGCTTGACAATGGCCATGTGGTTTTATATGTCAAAACGATGTCCTCTCAGTCGGAGCATTGCACAGTCTTGGTGGTCACCAAAGCAGCATCCCCCAGCTCAGTGGCAGGAAGTGGGATCCAATGCTCCCTCAGACCGTTGCACATGAACACGCCGGTGACCTCCCCAAGAGCGCCACACCCCGAGGCCCCGCTGTAGGTGGACGCCTCCTGCCTGAAGCATGTTTGGGGCCCACCGTTCAGCTGAGGACAGGTTGTAGGTACCTCCTCTTCTCTCTCTACCACGGCTGCTGTACAGTCTCTCTCCACAGGCGGCAGGGCTTTAGCTGGAGGGTTAAGTCCTGCCTCTGGTTCACCTGGAGCAGAAACAAGCATTACCCAGCATTATTCCTCCTAAAGAGAAATCTACATCAACATGATAAAGAAGACCTATACCTCTAATCTGAATCATTGAATAATTGGCAGCAATTGGATAGAGTTAAGAAGAACGTTCTCTCGGAAAAGCAAAATTAAGAAATGTGTATACAACAATGCCGGCCCTCTACCCATGACCCAATTCCAAACATTGTTAAGTTAAATGGTTGTTCTATGTCTTCTAGCTAGCTCAACACAGTGAACTGTGAGCAGGAGGGGTGTAAATGAGGGCTGGTATTCAGGGCATGTATCCCCATATGTTATGGAGCTAACCTAGTAATCTCATTACCGTTCAGTGGTGTACTCACATGTAGTAGCAACTGTTGCCATTTGGGTGTTTTATTTGTGTGTGTGTGTAAGTATGAGTGTGTGAGGTCATTGGGTGTGAAGAATAAATTTTTTGTCCTCAAAAACCAACGGATGTGTGTTAAGAGTAAAATAAACAGTAGGGTAGTCCCCAGAGAGCCTATCAGAGAGGGGAAATGAAACTAGAGGAGCTTCATGCTTCATTTGTCTTCAACCCCACTTCACTCAAATGAAAGCACTGAACAAGACACTTGCTGTGAAACACAGATAAAAATACACATTCTCCATTAGCCTCAATGGCATTCCTTACCTGCAGTGTGATTGCGCCTTGCCTGCATTTTGTATATGATGAACCATAGAAACAGTGCCAGGATGGAGCCGTTCACTGCAACTACCACTGATGTCCACACAGCTGGACTCACTGCCGGGTCGTACTGGGGAGGAGCATCGCTACTCCATTTTACAGGTGGGGATTCTGGTGGAAAGAGATGACAACAATGTCCCCATAATACTGTATCAATGTCACTTATCAATGACTATGCTGCATCCATCGCATAGCCAATGGGGAGGATATACAGTTTAGCTCCATATCAATGCCATACCATAGAGAAGCCAGTGAAATTAATATTTTTCCAAAAGAAGCACTTGCAGACAATAAGTGAGGATAACAAAGATTAGCACTCTATTCAATCTGTATCGCTTTAGAAATGTAAAGGTAATTTCCTATTGCGCCGACATCTGCAGCGTTTACCGTGAATGCAGTCTCTGCTAACGTGGGAACATTGCCTTTCAATTCCAATCATGTTGTAATGTTGAATTTCCGTGATACGGATTGAATAGAACCCTTAGGCAAACCAGAGCACTGAAACTCACCTGTGGCTGGCTTTGGCTGAGGCCTTGGCCAGGGGACACAGGTGATGAGCAGTTTGTCCCACGTTGTGCCCGGATTACAGGTCTTCTTTGCCATGGCGATGCCTGGTCATGTAATTAATGCCCACACTAGAGAAACCTGCTGCCTCACTCTGTCCTCATGGAGCGGTGTGTGTGTGTGAGCCAGAGAATAACATTCAGTGAAACCATTTGGACCAGACAGAAAGAGACAGGGTAAAAGAAAGGGCAACGGAGGGGAGGAGTCCCTCAACAGACGTTTCAGTTCTTCCTTTTGTAGGAAAGGATGAATCACCAAATGTGTCCCCAGAGAGCGAGAGAGATAGAGAGAGAAAGAGAGAGAGACAGAGAAAGAGATCAAACTTAAACCAGAAAAATTTATATTTGACTGGATAAGATGTGTTCATCTGAGGGTGCACATAAAAGTGAATAAAGATATGAAAGTTAGGGGCACTGTTCTAATTTATTTAATTATATACATTTCTGAAGTGCAGCTTTGCAAGACATCATTCATGAAAATAAGTTCAAAGATATTCTTCCATGTATAAAAATAGAAACACCCACCGTAGCAGCAGGCCATGCAACAAACATGAAACCCTGGGAATTGCATTGATATTATCATTTAGTGAATTCAACATATGACAACATGATTGTAATTAGTTTCACAGTCAGGATTTGATTATAATACAAAAGGTACTGAATTTTAATCTAGGTTTAGGTCATTGACCTGAATTTTAAAAGATGGCACCGAACAAACTAGGCTTCAGTCATTTTCTACATTGATTCAGAGTGTTTCAAAATATGTCTAAATGACAGCAGTACAGCAGCAACTCGTAGTCAATGTCCAAGACATAGGTAAACTGAGTGCATGAAGAAAAAAGCAGGTAGGCTATTGACAAAACACACATAAAATAAGAATTCCTTGAAGCTTGATCATTATTGCAGTAATTCCCCCCTGAGGCTGAGTTACTATATCGGACTATAAATAAAGATGATGGTGTTAAAGTCTATCTGCATTAACCTCCCTCCTCCATTACCCTAACCCCATAGGCAACTCTTCCAACCTTTTCCCTCCTACCCTATGGCACCTCTCTTAGGGCATGAAGAGTGCAGGCTGCACGCTGATGAAGGGGAAGTCGTAGTGGTCTGGCAGACCCTGGTGAACCGTACTGTTAAAGTCCTCCCAGGAGAAGGGAGGGAGGTCGCCCTGCGTCGTGGGCCCGTTCACCGCCTCCGCTCTGAACTCCTGCGCCATGTGGAAATCAGTCACCTACAGGGAGAGAGAGAGAGAGAGAGAGAGAGAGAGAGGGGACAGAGAGAGAGAGAAGAGATGTTTATATATTACATTATCTTAAAATATTTAGAGATTGAACTGAATGAACGCTAGTAAAGGTTCTGCCTTGGTGTCATAGCATCCTCCGGGTCTGGAGTCTTTCTCCCTCAGGTCATTACGGCAACAGATGGACTTGCATGGGTCACCCTTGGAGTAGGGGTCATTTTTGTAGTCTGAAAGAGAAAGGAACAATTAACAGCTACTCAAATTGAGAGCTGAGAGAACATGGGGAGGAAATTAACTAAAGGAACTAACTAAAAGCTAACAAAAGTAAAAACAAATGGCCACAGGTAAGGACAACAGCAAGGAACGTATGGTGCACCGTTGTATCTCATGATGTGTTTGAGGGAGTCTAGGTCCTTAACCTCAGCCTGGTCCCGGCGAAAGATCTTTGCTCGGGGGCAGAGGTCATAGGAGAAGTCCTCCCCGTACTCCTCCCACATCTTCCCATAGCCACTCAGGGTGTATATCTTTGGGTGGAAAGGCACATTATAGGAGGGCCAGTAACCTGGGGGGGAGGAAGATCTTGCTCAATTACTATCTCCTCAAGGGATTTTATCTCTGCTAAGTTTATGGTTAAGATGTGCATCTATTGGCAGTACTATATCCATATCCGTGTGACTCACCCCTGCGCAGGGCCTGAGTTTGGTCAGAGAACTCCACCAGGCCAGGAATCTGCTCCACCACTATCAGAGCCCCGTCCTCTATACTGTGGCCCAGGGTCACTTTTCTCATGTCCACTATCATGTACTGGTTGTTATAGGTGCCTAGAGAGGGAGGGAGAGTGAAGAAATTTGTGAAAAAAATGCATTGGAAAGATGTACAACAACTGTAGACCATTATCAGTCTCCCGAGTCGCGCAGTGGTCTGAGGCTGTGCCATCCTGGTTCGAATCCAGGCTCTGTCGTAGCCGGCCGCGACCAGGAGACCCATGGGGCGGCGCACAATTGGTCCAGGGTAGGGGAGGGAATGGCCGGCAGGGATGTAGCTCAGTTGGTAGAGCATGGCGTTTGCAACGGCAGGGTTGTGGGTTCGATTCCCACGGGGGGCCAGTATGAAAAAAATTATGTATGCACTAACTGTAAGTCGCTCTGGATAAATGTCTGCTAAATGACTAAAATGGATAAATCAGGATAAGATTGAATGTGTCATCCTCCTTCCCTCACCAGAGTTGTATCTGGAGAAGGTCTTGGCCCACTGCTCCCCAGTGTGTGACAGGGCGTGGGCCAGAGGCACCCTCTGCCAGGCCAGCAGGCTGTGGGGCGTGACCTGGGAGAAGAGGGACGTGTTGAAGACGTTGTTGGTGGTCTGGGTCATCATCAGGCCACTGCCCAGGAGGTAGAAGTCATCCAGAGACACCAGGAAGCCTGGGGGGAGGGGGCGGGGCTCACAGTGTGTGTTTCTGTACTGATTAATTCTGAAGCTTGTTAATAACATTGACAGTTTTCATACAGGCTCGAAAGATACACATTTATATGAAAATGTAGAGTGGCTACACCTAGCGCTTCCAAAATATTGAAGTATCTCTTCAGCCACAGGTAGCGCTTATACTGTCACAGTGGCCATTATACGGTGCTGTACCTACCTGGGTAGCTGCTGAAGGACAGCTTGCCCGTGGCAGTGTGGGGTTCACTGAGGTAGAAGTCCCAGTGCTTGTAGATACGCATGGTGGCAGCGTATGTGTACCAGCTAGAGTGGGCAAACAGCAGGTTCTCAAACCCAGGGAGCATCTAGATGGGGGAGAGAGAGTCTGGTGTTGAGTACTATAGAAACATTGATTGTAATGGATAGAGGGAAAACCATATTGAGTTCTACACAAGACTGATGTAAGTCAAGAACTAACAGATCCACACTATTAGATATAACTAATGATCTGTCCAGAAGAAATCTCTCAACAGCAAGAGCAGAATGACCTCTAACCTTAATGAGGGCAGAGCAGTGGCCCATTCCCGGTAATTTAAAATGTCTGAGAGGAGGCTCAGTGCCAGGAACCAGGGCTGGAATCAGGTCCAGCAGATCTCCCACCGCATTCAGGAACTGGACAGCAAACAGGGACAGAGGCTAAGGTGGGGGAGACACCATGCAGAAAGAGGTTAGAGATCACATTGTGCCACTGAATGATGATCCATGAATCTATTTATCAATGCCTAGACATATCAGCACACCTCTTTCCCTTGTTTTTTGGCCCAGTGTGCGACCCCTGCCTGAAGTCCATCCATCTGGGCCACTATGAAGCCGGTGTGGTGCCACAGAGGATCAGTGCTCCTGTTCAGTTTCACCTGCTCCCTGGTCCAGGAGTCCTGCTTCCTGATAGAGCCACAGAGCAGAGCACATTTAACAACTCTCAAAGGACAGGATGTGGATCTGACCTGGCTTTTCACTATGGTTATTGGCTATCATGCCTGAGGAGAAAAAACACTCACGCCATGAAGTGCTCCACCGGACCTAACACTTTGGGGTCCTTGATCAGCTGGGGATACATGTTGGCATAGTGACTAATCATTTGCCTGATGGAGAACAAAATAAGATTAAACATGACAATGTCGATCAGAAATTGAATTGACATGCAACAATGTCCGAGGCACTTACGGTGCAGTGAGGAAGCCCTTTAGGTATCCTGCAAGGAAGTAGGTGACCTCGTCATGCTCAAGGGTCTCCCCATACCCTGCACGGATCTCCAGTACACTCCAGCCCATTTGAGAGAGGCTGTCATTGAGGTATCCATATGCATCCCCCTCTTTTTCCATTACTCCTTCTTTCAGTAGGAGTAATGTGCCAGTAACCGAAAGGTCGCTGGTTCTAATCCCTGAGCCGACTAGGTGAAAAATCTGTCGATGTGCCCTTGAGCAAGGCACTTAACCCTAATTGCTCCTGTAAGTCGCTCTGGATAAGAGCGTCTGCTAAATGACAAAAACATTTTTTATAATGTGTAGCATCCCAGTACACAGTGGCTGCTTTCATCTCTGTAAAGCAGTTGACAGAGATGTCAACTTTCAACATAAACATTACAGTGCTTATTGTTTCTATTGACATTATCAAATCAAAATGTATTGGTCGTGTACACAGACTTGCAGATGGTATGGCAGGTGCAGCGAAATGCTTATGTTTCTGGCTCCATTAGTGCAGTATAGCCAAATGTTTAAAAAAACATTAAATTAATAAATATCAGAACAAAAACAAACTCATTGGGGGGAAAAACACAACTAAGCTTTGGAATTCCCTGGTTTATCATTGGTTTAAATTGATTCATTTCTGCATTTAATGGAACAAATTGTCTCGACCACAGTACAACCCTGTAAGTTTCACTGAGTTTCACTATCTGAGATGTCAGTCAGCCTACTGTGTGTGTTTGTGTGTGTAAGGGAAATTCTCATAGACTTAGCTAAGAATAAAAACGGGCAGTCAAAGAGTCTCTTGCAGTACATGTTGTAAAAGGTAATCTAATAGAAATATCTGCATAGACGCCTACAGAAAACCTCAGAATAACCTAATGGCAAAAGGATACTACACTGAACAAAAATATAAATGCAACATGTAAAGTGTTGGTCCCATGTTTTATGAGCTGAAATAAAAGATCCCAGAAATGTTCCATACGCACAAAAAGTTTCTCTCTCAAATGTTGTGCACAAATTTGTTTACATCCCTGCTAGTGAGCGTTACTCCTTTGCCAAGATAATCCATCCACCTGACAGGTGTGGCATATCAAGAAGCTGATTAAACAGCATGATTATTACACAGGTGCATCTTGTGCTGGGGACAATAAAAAGCCACTCTAAAATGTGCAGTTTTGTCACAATGCCACAGATGTCTCAAGTTTTGAGGGAGCATGCAATTGGCATGCTGACTACAGGAATGTCCACCAGAGCTGTTGCCAGAGAATAAATGTTCATTTCTCTACCATAAGCTGCCTCCAATGTCGTTGTAGAGAATGTGGCAGTATGTCTAACCGGCCTCACAACTGCAGACCACGTGTAACCACGCCAGCCCAGGACCTCCATATCTGGCTTCTTCACCTGCGAGACCAGCCACCCGGACAGCTGATGAAACTGAGGAGTATTTATGTCTGTAATAAAGGCCTTTTGTGGGGAAAAACTAATTCTGATTGGCTGGGCCTGGCTCCAAAGTGGGTGGGCCTATGCGCCCCTGGCCAGTCATGTGAAATCCATAGATTAGGGCCTAATTTATTTATTTCAATTGACTGATTTCCTTATATGAACTGTAACTCAGTACAATCGTTGAAATAGTTGCATGTTGCGTTCATACTTTTGTTCAGTATATTTTGCAGGCACGTGAATCCATGGTCGTCTCTGTATACAAATGCAGTTCACGAAATAACTTCGGCTACAATGTTTCACTTACTGTCAGTACTGGCGAAGGTCGCAACAACATTGAAAAAAACTAAAAGATACAGCCTCTTCATTTCTGTTCGATGTACATAAAGCTCTTGATGCGTGATTTACAGATAGGAAAATTAAGTGAATGCTACCTGAATAAGTCACACTATTCACAAAATAGAAACAGGGAAGAGCTGAGAGTCTGGATCAAGTTTACGGTTTCCTTATTGGTGGAGCTGGTGCAACAGCATGAGCAGCAATAGTGGAATCGGCGTTTCGCCTTCAAAATAAAACTCCCAAATTGAAACTGATGCAAACGGATACAAATAGTGGAATCATACCACAATTGCACTAAATAATGCTAAACAAGGTTGGAATGTTGTTATATAAATTCAACAAAAGACAATTATTTGTTAAGTTGACAAAAAAAAGTCAGTTGAAATTGCACTGTGGATCGGTGGCGGTCGGTGTCGTTTAAGAGGAAGTATTTTATTTTTTCATGAGCACGGCCTTATTTCTATTACAGCATATTGGATAACTCATTCATATTCCATTCACCCAGTTCAATGTAACATCAATAGGTTTAGGCTACTACATGATACTCAAATTTTCCCTATACCCATCGTGAGGTTGCTACAACTTAGCCTATGAATTAAAGTTTACAACATAGGTGCCCACAGGTCGAAAGAAAAATTTGAGGTGACAGACAGTGACACATTCAATACCGCCTTGCACACTCTTGCCTGCATCTAGCTGATTTAGGGTGTAATCATTAGTCCACTTGCAAACAAGAGTTTCTATTGGACAAATCCAGGTATGTTTATCCCCGTTTCGTTCCGTTTGCTTCTGTTTAAGAAACGTTTTACAACAGAATCGGCGGAATGAATACACCCCTGATCACACGTAAACACAGTTCACTGTCATAGCAGCCACGTTGTATTCCTTCTCGCATCTATGCGCTCTCCTCCTCTCACCTTTTCCCTTCGCTTGTGGACTTCAATGCACAACACATCAGCTGTATGTGACCAGACGAAAAAAAAACTTTCCAAGCCAAACCATATCATAACCACTACACACAGCCTACAAACTCCTCCCATTTCATGGGTGCACAATTCATAGGTTAGGCTGTACAGTGCATATAAGTATTCCCCCAATGAAATTCTGAATTAAAATACATCCACAGTGCGATTTCAACAGATTTTTTCTTTTTTCTTATTCAAATTAACTAATAATTGTATTTTGTTTAATTTATATAACAACATTCCAACGTTGTTTAGCATTATCTAGTCCAAATCGTGCATGTTTTCACTATTTTTATCCGTTTGCATCCGTTTCAATGGGTGACTTTTATTTCGAAGGCGAACCTGCCGATTCCACTATTGCTGCTCTTGCGAATGTTGTTCATGACACACACGTGAATTTATCTCGATTAGTTAACCTCTGTCTGGATTTCGCACCAGAAGAAAGATCCCCTTGTATCAGCCTACAAAGTGAAACAACAATACCCTACTAAAGTCATTACACAATATTTGCATACATTACCAAATACATAATCCAGAATGCGATTAATGATCCAATCATAACGCCAATGAATTAAAAGGAAATTTGAAGCTAAAATTAGTCCACCCCAGATGGGACTCGAACCCACAATCCCTGGCTTAGGAGGCCAGTGCCTTATCCATTAGGCCACTGGGGCGCGTGCGAGCAGGATTTGCTCATTCCCTTAAAATGGACAACATAGCATAAATCACACGTAAACATGACTGAGATAAAAACAGATTGAGGTTGGATATTCGACGGATATTCGCCTGTAGTTTTCCTTACATCCACCAACAGCAGTTAGGGACCGTCAACATAGTGACAAATCTAATTTTTCAAATGTCAATAGCTCTTTAACCATTACTCCTAAAACGTTCAAAACTGTTTCTAGCTAACCCGATGGCAGAGACACATATTGCACACACTTTCTTGTGGATTTACATCTCGCACTATTTTAAATTATTTATTTTAATTTTGAAATTCAATAGCGCCTTGGTCATGTGATCCACACACCTCAAACAATGTTCATAATGTAAACACAGTGTGCCTACACATTGCACACCCTTTTGTTTGTCCATTTGCATCTCATGAGATTTTACAAGAATTTTAAAACGTTTCAAATTTCAATAGCTTCTTAGTCATATGACCTAAAACCCTCAAACTACATTCAGAATATCCACTCAGTAGCCTTATATGTAACACAACCTTTTGTTTGTCCATTTTCATCTCACACGATTTTACATATATATTTTTTCAAATGTTCAAATGTCGATAGCTCCTTGGTCATGTGACTTACAACCCTCAAACTACTTTCAGAACATCCACTCACTAGTCTTATATATTGTACACCCTTTCATTCGTCCATTTTAATCTCAGGTGATTTTATATTAATTGTTCTATGTTTTTCATTGTTTCGAATTTCAATAGCTCTCTGGTCATGTGACCTACTGACCACAAACAAGGTTCAGAATGTCCACTGACTACCCTTCTATTTTGCACACCCTTTAGTTTGTCCATTGTCATCTCACACGTTTTTACATTTTTCAAACTTTAGAATTTCAATAGCTCCTTGATCATGTGACCTATTGGACTCAAACAAGGTTCAGAATGTCCACTGACTACCCTTCTATATTGCACACTCTTGTTTGTACTGTAATCTCACGTGGTGTTATGTAAATTGTTCATAGTTTTGAATTTCAATAGTTCCTTGGTCATGTCAATTACACAGTGTGTGCAGTGGATATATACCCATATTGCATAACCTCTAGTTATGTATCTTCTATATTGTTGTACATAATATTAGTTTGACAATTAGGGGGTTCAGTCCAGTGTTGTGTTTACCCTTTTCTTTACTGTTTATCTATAATAATTGGTAGTTCTGACAACTTATTTTCTTTTTTTCTTTTTTCTTTATTTTGCCACAGTATTTAACAGCGGTACACAATAGGAGAGAGAAAGAGAATATCTCCTTTCATCGTTAATATCAACCATAAAGGAAAAGGGCAAAGTACAAGAGTCATGTTATTAATTGTCCAAAGCAGGGATGGAGAGTGAACTGCACGGTCAGTAAGGTAGGCTGCAGTGGGTTTGCTGGTCAATACATACAGTGGGGAAAAAAAGTATTTGGTCAGCCACCAATTGTGCAAGTTCTCCCACTTAAAAATATGAGAGAGGCCTGTAATTTTCATCATAGGTACACGTCAACTATGACAGACAAAATGAGAAAAAAATTTCCAGAAAATCACATTGTAGGATTTTTTATGAATTTATTTGCAAATGATGGTGGAAAATAAGTATTTGGTCAATAACAAAAGTTTTGTCAATCCTTTGTTATATACCCTTTGTTGGCAATGACACAGGTCAAACGTTTTCTGTAAGTCTTCACAAGGTTTTCACACACTGTTGCTGGTATTTTGGCCCATTCCTCCATGCAGATCTCCTCTAGAGCAGTGATGTTTTGGGGCTGTCGCTGGGCAACACGGACTTTCAACTCCCTCCAAAGATTTTCTATGGGGTTGAGATCTGGACATTGGCTAGGCCACTCCAGGACCTTGAAATGCTTCTTACGAAGCCACTCCTTCGTTGCCCGGGCGGTGTGTTTGGGATCATTGTCATGCTGAAAGACCCAGCCACGTTTCATCTTCAATGCCCTTGCTGATGGAAGGAGGTTTTCACTCAAAATCTCACGATACATGGCCCCATTCATTCTTTCCTTTACACGGATCAGTCGTCCTGGTCCCTTTGCAGAAAAACAGCCCCAAAGCATGATGTTTCCACCCCCATGCTTCACAGTAGGTATGGTGTTCTTTGGATGCAACTCAGCATTCTTTGTCCTCCAAACACGACGAGTTGAGTTTTTACCAAAAATTTATATTTTGGTTTCATCTGACCATATGACATTCTCCCAATCCTCTTCTGGATCATCCAAATGCACTCTAGCAAACTTCAGACGGGCCTGGACATGTACTGGCTTAAGCAGGGGGACACGTCTTGCACTGCAGGATTTGAGTCCCTGGCGGCGTAGTGTGTTACTGATGGTAGGCTTTGTTACTTTGGTCCCAGCTCTCTGCAGGTCATTCACTAGGTCCCCCCGTGTGGTTCTGGGATTTTTGCTAACCGTTCTTGTGATCATTTTGACCCCACGGGGTGAGATCTTGCGTGGAGCCCCAGATCGAGGGAGATTATCAGTGGTCTTGTATGTCTTCCATTTCCTAATAATTGCTCCCACAGTTGATTTCTTCAAACCAAGCTGCTTACCTATTGCAGATTCAGTCTTCCCAGCCTGGTGCAGGTCTACAATTTTGTTTCTGGTGTCCTTTGACAGCTCTTTGGTCTTGGCCATAGTGGAGTTTGGAGTGTGACTGTTTGAGGTTGTGGACAGGTGTCTTTTATACTGATAACAAGTTCAAACAGGTGCCATTAATACAGGTAACGAGTGGAGGACAGAGGAGCCTCTTAAAGAAGAAGTTACAGGTCTGTGAGAGCCAGAAATCTTGCTTGTTTGTAGGTGACCAAATATTTATTTTCCACCATCATTTGCAAATAAATTCATTAAAAATCCTACAATGTGATTTTCTGGATTTTTTTTCTCAATTTGTCTGTCATAATTGACTTGTACCTATGATGAAAATTACAGGCCTCTCTCATCTTTTTAAGTGGGAGAACTTGCACAATTGGTGGCTGACTAAATACTTTTTTTCCCCACTGTATACTGAACATGTAACTACAATAATGGTGGCCAGATAATCAATGAATTACAATTTTATATTGACAAATTACACAGAAATTGTAGACCTTTAATCTTTTCCAACATGCCAACAGACACTTTACTTAAAATAAGTACAAAACATTTCACAGTGTTAACTTTCTCTTTATCCCTGGTTGATGTACATTTCAGAGCCTCTTCAGTGTGGAAGGGGTATAGCATAAATTTTCAACAACAAAGACAGCACTTCCAGTTTGTGTTCTTCACTCTGTTGAACACCTTTGTATTCATCCCTAGGCACAGCACATGGAACCACCATTAGCATGCAAAACATTCAATCTAAAACAGAACGAAGCGTAACACGTTATAAATAATATGAAATATCAATGCAGTATGACAAATTAGCCATCCATTGTGTTATATCATAAATTGTCTTACATGCCGTCACTGTTGTCAAAATATTATAAACATGTTAAATGAAGTTACTAATCCAGTCAGTCTTTGGGCCAGGTTCTTTATCAGTAGCACACATGAAGCAGTTGTTGGCTTTGTTGAACTCTGAAATTATAGGCATGAACTGAACATATGGTTGTCCCACACAACTACATAAAAATAAAGAATGTACATTTACTTTGAATAAAATGTCATTACATACCAGACATTTTTAGTATATCCTCAGCCATTTCTTTTCGTAGTTGCTCCATATGTTTTTGTGAAGGTTCTATATGCATTTGGGAGGGGATATTGGGGAAGTTCGTACAACTTCCTTGGCGATCTACACCAAAAAAGAAAATAGAGTTTTTGACCTAATTGTCACATAACAGCTAACCATTCATTATTGAAAATATAACTATCAAACCTGCATTACAAAGACCCCGCAGCTGAAGGTGTCCTGCTGCATGGTGTGAGTTATTTCCCCTCCTTTCCACTTTATGTCAACCCAGTCGTCTTTTCCATGGCGGGATCTTCTCATTTTGAAGTATTCTCTTTTTTTATGTGAACATAATGGAATTCTGATTAGTTATAGGCAAATGAATACACAAGCCAAAACTGTATGCTGTTTTCCTTATCAGTATAATCTAGTAGAGGTAATTTCCTTTATGCCTCATTCTACACACAGCCTAAATTATAGGCACTAAACCATTTACAGGAGAATAATAAAAGTAGCATATAGGATCCAACCCTATCACAGAGTGAATAAATGTAGAGCGTTTGTAGACTTTAAGAAAAAAATATTAAGTGACAGTTTCATCAGAACGTGCTTTAAAGAAAGTCATATCACAAAGATCACAGATGACAGTGCCCACCAAGTCTATGATAATAGATAATTAATTGTAAGCACATATTTAAAGTGTGTTTTGTCAAAATGCGATCTGAAAATGTCAGTTGTTGAACATAATACTTATATTTGCCATAGCAATTTATAAAATATGCAGTTGATGAATATTCCATTTACCAACACGAAATGTCGAATGGACATTCCCACATACAGTATACACATACATAGATGCACTTTTCAGCTACGTTTTTACCACTCAGAATCCAGAATGGATATGACAATGGGGCCAGCACAGGACCTAATAAACCCTTACAACAATCTACTTTTTGATCTTCTTGACTTCTTATCTGGTAAACTGCTACTGTGTGTCAAGAAAGGAGCCCCAATTAGCGGTTAGTGTACTCCAGTAAAAAAAGTATGGTTTAGATTAGAAACTATTGCCCCGGGTCCCCGTTCATAGGGACTAGTCAGTGGTAGAATTGAGTTGGCACTTTATTGGCACAAACACACACAGACCCACAAGGTTGAGGTCACTCATGGACAGTAATTAGTGAACAATGTTTGTTTTTTTTTTCCCGCATTGACGCATTGTGTCTTCTAACTGTCCAAGAATAGGATCCAAAGTGTTAGGAAATATTTGTTCCCATAGATACAAAGGAGGATGTCTCGCATACCTCTGGCACTTTAGTCAGACTGCCAGACTGTGTAAAAACGTTATGATGGGGCCGGCAACGGAGTTCCCATTGGCCAAGCACCACGGAAACCAATCAGGAGAGAAAGTAAAACCACAAATGCTTTGAATGTGAAGAACATTATACAAATAATTAAGCATAAACTAAAATATATAGACATTTCAGAGAATATTGGCTAGTTAGAAGGATTGTTTATCGATATTTAAAACAAACGTAATTACATTTGCCTTTGTTTTTATCTTTCTAATATATTCTGGCTACATGCAATTTAATGGGTCATTGTCACAAAAATGCCTTGTTAGGGAGATTAAGTATCATACATAAGGTGTTATTTAGTCAAAAAAGTGTATTATTGCTGACAATACTGTGTTTACGTGATGACACATCTTCACCATTTATTTTAAAGTGACAGAATATTTAAGTGTATGTCATCAGAAACATTCAACTCCAATTCCAGTTAACTACATAATGATATTACATGTCCTTAGACTTGGTTAGGTGCACATCTAATGTACTTCTATGTTCATCCTTCATACTGTATGACATTTTTTTTCTCCACGATATGTTTAGAATTGTGATTGAAAAAATGCTTATTGTCATGTTATGACTAGTCTTTATTACCTTACCCACAAGCCATTTGTGGGGTTGCAGAGTTTTAAACTCTGAATGATGGAGAAGGAAAGAGGACGTTTTGTCTGTAGACCTCACAACAGCAACCACCACCTCGCAATTCTTTCTCCGCCACAGAGCTGTGACCTGCAATACGCAAATGAAACACATTTAGAAGAGGTATTGTCCACTTAAACATGAACTGAAAACAATCTATCACAATCCTTTAACATTTGAAAAAAATAACATACCTGGCCTGCAGCCTCGTTGTCTTGGAATGATGTTGCCTCATCCATTCTTTCATCTTTCTTGTGGTGTGCCTTCCCTGCTGGTTTCTTTTTACCCTTCTTCTTTGGCTCAGGTAATTGTCTGGGAGGCTGGAAATATTTTAACCTGGACTTGTCAGGTGAGTCTTTTCTTGTCTCTTGGCCCACTGCTCCTCTTCCTGGTCCAATGACTTCTTGTTGTAGGGGTATTTAGTGAACAGTGATTCTGGCAGATCATATTTTATTATGCACTCCCTATACCATCCTTGGAGGGAGGCATGCATGTTCAAAAATGAATTCAGCTGGACGGAGGAATTTCTTATTTTTCTTCTTTTGCAAAATTGAACGCTTCAGGATCCAGAACCACTGTTCCACGTAGCAGTTGGTGTTCCGTGATTTCACTGATTGCAATGTTGTGTTGGTCACATTACAATATCTTGTAAGGTCACCCAGCAGTATCCCACTCCATAGCGGGACAATGGCCATGTAAGTGTCCATTAAACAATTGATTATCCCAGGGCAGAAAAACATTTTCAGGCCCTGTCTGTGTCTCCTCCAGAAAACTCTGTGAATGTTTAAGAACTGACATGAATTCACGTGTGAAGGGAGATTGTCCACATATTGTTTAGTTTTTTGCTGACATTGCACTTTCTTCATAACTGTTATCTCTCATCACGTCCTCCACTTTCACCTTCTCTGACTTCATAATACTCTCATCTAAATGCTTTTCTGATTCATCCACAAGATGACTTTTATGTTGTGATTTGAAAAGCACACACGTGTCTAAAGACATCTTTGAGCCCATTGTCATTTGTTTTCTTCCAAAATCCCTGGGCGACAGCCTTAAGGATGTGGTCAGAGCACAGATGGAGCACTGTGAAGTCTTCGCAATCTTCTGTTTCCTCCAAGGAAACTATGCTGTGGACTCTGTTTAGATAAGAAGTGATGCTCTCTTTGTTAAATGAGAGCAATACACTTCCAATCAGCACCCAGCTGAAATCAGCCTCCACCTGTCTCACCTTGCAGCTTGTCATTTGTGAGACCTTGCGTACTGTCTCCATTAACCAAAAGGTTATTGTTGGGATGGAGTGCTGAACACTAATCATCTCGGATTCAGGGAGGGGTGGTTTATCCTTGCCCATTCCGGGCAGAACCAGAGCATAGTACAGAACTTTTACTTTGATTGCTAATCTTAGACACAACCCCACCAGTGGCATCAAGATGAAGAGTCACTGGACTGCGCTTTCTCAGATGTTCATATAGGATATTCAAACCCTCTTCTGTGTACAAGTGAACACCAAAGCCAAGGAGCTATTGAAATTAGAAAGTTTGAGAAATTAATGTAAAAACGTGTGAGATGGAAATGGACAAACTAAAGGGTGTGCAATATAGAAGGGTAGTCAGTGTACATTCTGAACCTTGTTTGAGGTCAGTAGGTCACATGACCAAGGAGCTATTGAAATTTGAATGTAAAATAAGTTTGTACTTTGTTTACGCTCCCTAACTAGCTCACCTAGGAATACAGAATGCTGCTCAACATCATGACACTTATTTGGAGTCTGTGGCTCAAGTGGTTTGAAAGCTATTTAGGTTTGAAAGCGCAAATATCTGACGAATATCCAACCCGAAACTGTCTTTACCTCGGTGTAAACGTGATCCAAACAATCCAATTATATTTTGTATCTTGATAACACACAGAATGGCTACCAACCTTTTTTTTCAGAAACAACTTTATTAATTACATCTGAATAATTCATGTATCCTTCTTTTATCTACACGACATGTAACATAAACAAAGACAAACACAGAAGAGCCCAACACAAGATTAAAACCCCCATAAGAAATAAAAAGATTCAGTATCTTCATAAAATAAGTCATTCTGGAAGCTCCAGCAATGTAAATTCCGGTATATTCTTTATATTGTAAATCCCTTATGAGCCCATGGTTTTCACAATGGATCCATACTGTATATGAATAATACATTAAGCATAGCGCAAAATAAAAACTTGGTATGTTCTTCAAGGTTCACTTGGTTTGTGGAACTGAGCAAGAGTAGCAATGTAACCAGATTACAGCTTCACCACAAAATCAATACAGTTCAGTTTTTGACAAATCAAAACATAATAAATAAGAGAACAAAGGTCCCTTTGATTAAACACATCCCTCTACTGCACTTGTTTTATGCTTATTGTACTGTAGTGGAGCTGAGAATCTAGTCTTGGGTGCAGCAGCGAGACAGAGAAATGCTTAACAATGATGGAAAAAGACAAGTGTAACAAACACACTGTGCAATTATAACATTTCATTTGACAGAGGTTCCTTCAAAATGGTCATACAGTTTAAAATGCTGGTTGGGCCGAACCTAGCCATGATACACTCATCCTTTACAAGTGATTTGTACATCACTACTATGTTCAGCTCCCCCATTAAAATGTAATGTGGCTAAGTGCAATTCACAGTAGTATTTTCCAGTGTGATGAATTTGCTGACCATTTAAACATATTTAACTAATCATTGCTAAATAAATGCAGAGTGAGTGGCAGTTGGTAGATGTAGAAGGTGGACTGATGCTCCAGAAAACAATCACATAAACTCTCAATAATCATCAATCAGTTTTTCAGCACCGTTCTCAGCCTGCTTGCCAGCACCCCCATCCTGTTCTTCACTTCCTCCTCCTCCCTCCTCCTCCTCTTCTGTGAAGGAGTGTGACTGGCTGCCGTAGTTCATCATTGTGCGGGAGAGGTCCACCTCGATGGGGAAGACGTCAGCCTCCTTCAGCACGGCGTAGCACTCGTCGTAGTAGCGCGACATGCCCGACACAAAACGCTGCAGCTGGAACACGATGTCCTGGACTGAAGGGAAGCAGGGATGGAGACGGATGTTAACACACACCCTTCCTTTATACCACACTTTAGATTGATCACTGCAGAAAAACAGATCTGGTATTTCCTAGCAGTGCAGAGGTAAAATACTGTCTACAATTAGTAGAGAAACGCTCAGTCTGATACATTAGTAGAACGTGAAGCAGAGAGTGAGGGACTGATCGTACATTGGATAAAAGTAACCCACTGGACACAGATGTCAGTTCAACGTCTAGTTTTGATTTACATTTGGTTGAGTTGTCAACTAACTTGAATTCAACGTAAAATAAAAAAGAATTATAATACAAATTTGGGTGAACTAAAAAAGACAAAATTCCCTTACGTTGATGACTTTGCAAATCCAATAATTCTTCCACATTGATTCAATGTCCTCACATTGCATTTTTTTGTTGAAATGACGTGGAAACAACGTTGATTCAACCAACTTTTGCCCAGTGGGAAGGCTTTTTCTTTAGATCCATTAGTAATGGGCAAACAGAGAGAGACTGTTTGGAGAGATACTCTGTCCACTTATTAAAGGTAGCCGGACAGAGCGTTAATGGAGAGGATGATTCTCATAGGTAGACAGACACAGAGAGAGAACAAACCATGTTTCTGGTCCAGTAGCTCAATCTTCTCTAGCACATCCTTCCTCATCTTGGCGAACCGAGCACGGGCCTCCTGTCGACACCGCAGCACAAGCCGGTACTCATAGTTACCGGTGCCGACGCGATACATGGGCTCTCCCATCGCCTAAGGAAACACACAGGTATTTAAGAAAAACAAAATCACAAACACGCTACAGAGATCCACTTTGTTACTCAATGATCTCAGTGTTTATGTATGGACTACAGGCATAAGTAGTTAGGTAAGGTACTCACAATGCAGCTGTACTCTTCATCGTCCATCTCCTTCACTTTCAGACAGTAAGACTGGAACACAAAATGGATTCAATCAATCAATCAATCAATTTTATTTTATATAGCCCTTCTTACATCAGCTAATATCTCGAAGTGCTGTACAGAAACCCAGCCTAAAACCCCAAACAGCTAGTAATGCAGGTGTAGAAGCACGGTGGCTAGGAAAAACTCCCTAGAAAGGCGAAAACCTAGGAAGAAACCTAGAGAGGAACCAGGCTATGAGGGGTGGCCAGTCCTCTTCTGGCTGTGCCGGGTGGAGATTATAACAGAACCATGCCAAGATGTTCAAAAATGTTCATAAGTGACAAGCATGGTCAAATAATAATCAGGAATAAATCTCAGTTGGCTTTTCATAGCCGATCATTAAGAGTTGAAAACAGCAGGTCTGGGACAGGTAGGGGTTCCATAACCGCAGGCAGAACAGTTGAAACTGGAATAGCAGCAAGGCCAGGCGGACTGGGGACAGCAAGGAGTCACCACGGCCGGTAGTCCCGACGTATGGTCCTAGGGCTCAGGTCTCTCAGTTGGCTTTTCATAGCCGATCATTAAAGAGTTGAAAACAGCAGGTCTGGGACAGGTAGGGGTTTCGTAGCCGCAGGCAGAACAGTTGAAACTGGAATAGCAGCAGGGCCAGGCGGACTGGGGACAGCAAGGTGTCATCATGCCCGGTAGTCCTGACGTATGGTCCTAGGGCTCAGGTTCTCAGAGAGAAAGAGAGAACGAGAGAATTAGAGAGAGCATACTTAAATTCACACAGGACACTGGATAAGACAGGAGAAGTACTCCAGGTATAACCAACTAACCCCAGCCCCCCGACACATAAACTACTGCAGCATAAATACTGGAGGCTGAGACAGGAGCGGTCCGGAGACACTGTGGCCCCATCCGAAGAAACCCCCGGACAGGGCCAAACAGGAAGGATATAACCCCACCCACTCCGCCAAAGCACAGCCCCCGCACCACTAGAGGGATATCCCCAACCACCAACTTACAATCCTGAGACAAGGCCGAGTATAGCCCACAGAGGTCTCCACCACAGCACAAACCAAGGGGGGGGCGCCAACCCAGACAGGAAGATCACGTCAGTAACTCAACCCACTCAAGTGACGCACCCCTCCCAGGGACGGCATGAAAGAGCACCAGCAAGCCAGTGACTCAGCCTGCAACAGGGTTAGACACCCATTGAGAGGGAACGCCGCAGAGACAGCAGGCTGTCTTGCTCCGCCTTCGTTACCTTCACACTCTGGCGACTCACTCAATATATGACTACTAAGAGATATCTCTTAAGACTAAGGTTGAACCGATCTGCTCTTCAATGGGAGGGACTTTCCATAAAATGAGTCTATAGGAGAAAGCCCTGCCCCTGTTTCTAGAAATTTAGGACAAGGGCTGCTCTGTACGTAGCTCTATGGATGTTGGATTCACTTTTACTCCAATGACTAACACATTAGAAAGAAATGCTTCGCTACAGTTTAGACCCTGCTTTTAGTTGATCAATGTTGACATTTTGAATAAGGGGTCTGCTCTCACCAAGTACTCAAATTTGACATCCAGGTATTTGCGGATGGTGAGCTTGGTGTCTGGTATAGCCTTATGAAGGTAGGTGTTCAGGTCATGGAGCATCTACAAAACAGGAGACAGAGAGAGGAACATGATTAGTCCACATGTAGGAGTTGATTCACTATATATACACATGTAAGGATGTGTGGGGATGTACGTTATCTAATCAAGGTATATGCAGGAGTGAATGCAAGCTTGTTGGAGTGTTCACATATGAATCCTGTTAATGGTTTGTGTATTGATTTGACTGTTTGTTAATGTCTTCTACTACTCACTGGCTTGATGGTCTTTAGCAGCTGGATGCCATACTTCTCCATGTTGCGATGGGCCTCAGCAAACTTCACAAAGGCCTCACATGCTGCAGCCTGAGGCTCCCGTACCCCGATCACAGAGAACACATCCCCAAACGCTGAGGGTCATCAAGGCAGAGGGAGAGAGTGGAACAATCAAACATCTAGTCTCATCGCATGCAACTCATTACAATAAATACAAACCTGTTCACTTTCAGTGTGAGGGAGCTTGAGTATGATCATTATACACTGTGTCTATATCTGTAGTTTAATATAATGTTTGTGTAGTTTCAAGGCATGGTAACTCACCTCTGTGAGTCTGAGAGAGTTCAAAGAAGGCTCTGAGCAGTCTTTTTGTGTGCTCCATCAGGCCTGTAAGGAGACAAACAAGGACAGTGGTGCATGAAGAGGGGAGAGAGCATGGAGAATGTCACACAAAATAACATTACAATCGAGGTCAAATGTTTGTGTGAACTTGTATGACACCTTTTAAAATATACCTTTGTACAGCTCTGCGGTTTTCTCCAACTCCTCCAGTCTCTTCACCAGCCCATCTGAAAAAGAAAAGGACCTAGTATAAGGACACTTACAGTAGTGGCATAGTGCCCCTCCCCAGTCCAGAAGATATCAGTAATCATGAGATGGAACAGAGCTTATACAGCGGCCGTGGCCGAATTCCCATACATTTTATAGTATGTGACATTTTAAAAATAGTACTCCGAATGAGTCATCTAATGCGTGATTGCATTGACTCATGCCATTCGTTCATTTTGTTACAGCGCGTTAATTTATCTGATTATCAGCTGTTGTCAAACACGTGAGTTGGAAAAGACAAGTGAATTCTACTAGATCAAATGGCGAAATGAGTATGCAGTTTAAGTATGTAGTACGCTAGTATGGGTATTCGGACACGGTCAGTGTCTTAGGGGTGATGTCAACAGAATTGGCTTCTATTGACTGTTTTCAATGTATGGAACGAGGAAAGAAAAGTTGGAAAAAAATAAGAGAAATCTATAACATGGACAGCGTGTTTTGTCCCAGTCTCACCATTGCAGAGTATGGCTCTGCTGAGCCCCAGAGCGTCGGCTGTACCAGAGCTCATGTTCTCCACCAGGCGGTGCTTCACCTTCTTCAGCACTAAAACACACCAGATAACACACAACACAATGTAAAAACATACTATGATGGGTAGCATCTGTCTGTCTGGTGAGTAAGGACAGTACTCTATCCATATACAGGTAACTGCCAACATAAAGGAAACACTTCAGTAAATGAGGAATACTGTATAATGAAAGCAGGTGCTTCCACACAGGTATGGAATTAACATCCTGTCATGCTTAGCGTCATGTATACAAATGCTGGGCAGGCCCAGTTGCCCATTATTTTGGCTACCATGGCTAGAAGAAGAGATCTTAGTGACTTTGAAAGAGGGGTGATTGTTGGGGCACGTTTGGCAAGCGCTTCAGTGACGAAGACTGCTCAATTGGCTGATGTTTGACGATATGCCATGGCCGTGTCAGTCACCCGATCTCAACCCAATTGAACACTTATGGGAGATTCTGGAGCGGCGCCTGAGACAGCGTTTTCCACCACCATCAACAAAACACCAAATGATGGAATTTCTTGTGGAAGAATGGTGTCGCATCCCTCCAACAGAGTTTCAGACACTTGTAGAATCTATGCCAAGGCGCATTGAAGCTGTTCTGGCTCGTGGTGGCCCAACACCCTATTAAGACACTATGTTGGTGTTTCCCTTATTTTGTCAATTACCTGTATATTTTAGAGATATTTATTCTGCGACTGTTACCTATGTCCAGTGACTTCCCCTGTTTGGGGTCAGCCTGCAGCTTGTTGTAGTGGATCGTTGCTTCTCCCTGCAAAGACAAGAGGAATGCATGGAAGAGATAAGGAAGTCAGTAACTCAAACACCACCTCAATATAATAAAAAACCATGATGCAAATCCACATAGATACTTCCACCAGGGGTCATATTACTCAAACTAAAATATATAGCCTACGGGTTCCCCCAGACAATACAGTATTGATAGATCTACCTAACCTGACATTGGCTCCCTCCCCTGGTTAGTCTGGGGACTCGAGTGACAGAAAGGTCATGGGTCAACCAGATATTGCCAAACCATCCATGTGTACTAAGTGTGTCTGCAACTAATTTAAACTGAAAATCATGAAGGACAAGACTGCACAATATAGCAGTTATTTATGCCAAACAAAGGTGCTTCTGCAAGTGTAGAAACATAAGAATTACAGATTCTCTGATAAAACTGCACAAAGTTTGCAAGTAATATCAATAAATACCACTGTGGCGATTAACTCAGTGGGCATAGCAGGCAAAAAAATGAAAGAGTCAGCAAAGCCTAAGGGCAACAATGGCACATTCTAATCCTTTAATACAGACAGTGGAGCATCTCTCCCCATCTCTCTAATCCTGAGCACAGACCATGGTGGGGTAGTCATTGAACTCACATAGCTTCCTGTGTCGTCACAATGGATTCAAAAACAACATTGCCACTCCACACTGGTGACGTGAGGGCCCAAACTCCTGGCTATTGTCCTGTTCTCACTAAATGCGCTGAGCGATCTGAGGTGTCCCTCTTATTCAACGTCTAATAGTGACCGCAGCCCTTTTCAGACTGACTGGTCATTTACTGGTAAAAAACACAGAATCCAGGATAAAATACAGTGGCTTTGGACTTTTAATTTGTATCTACTGGTAAGTGCTAGTCTTGTCAGTGTTGGTATATGGTTTGCCTTATGGTTTGGGTTGTGTGGCTATCAAAAAAATAACTATAACTGGTTTGTAGCATTTTATAGTATCAAACCAAAATTGATTGAAAAGTTGATTCCAAGCCCTCTTATTGTACCTGGACAGCCTGAATCATCTTTGCCACCTCCACCTTTGTCTTGCCCTTCACAGGTTTGCCGTTCACTCCTGTGATCTCGTCGCCAGCCGCCAGAGTCCCCTCCAGAGCAGCAGGGGTGTTGTCAAAGACCTGACAGAGATCCCAGTTACAGGTAAAGAATATATCCAATAATGACAAAAACCAAGCCATAAGAGCTCAGAGCCTTAAAACAAAATGCTTTAAGAAAGTTCAGGATAATGGGTTATACAATGCATCCATAATCTAATGTTTCTGACTTAGTTAACACTCTGGATACATACACTTAACTCGTTTTTCAACCACTTCACACATTTCTTGTTAACAAACTATAGTTTTGGCAAGTCGGTTAAGACATCTACTTTGTGCAAGTAATATTTCCAACAATTGTTTACAGACAGATTATTTCACTTATAATTCACTGTATCACAATTCCAGTGGGTCATAAGTTTACATAGACTAAGTTGACTTTACCTTTAAACAGCTTGGAAAATTCCAGAAAATGATGTCATGGCTTTAGAAGCTTCTAATAGGCTAATTGACATCATTTGAGAATTGGAGGTGTACCTGTGGATGTATTTCAAGGCCTACAGTGGGGAGAACAAGTATTTGATACACTGCCGATTTTGCAGGTTTTCCTACTTACAAAGCATGTAGAGGTCTGTAATTTTTATCATAGGTACACTTCAACTGTGAGAGACGGAATCCAGAAAATCATATTGTATGATTTGTAAGTTATTAATTTGCATTTTATTGCATGACATAAGTATTTGATCACCTACCAACCAGTAACAATTCTGGCTCTCACAGACCTGTTAGTTTTTCTTTAAGAAGCCCTCCTGTTCTCCACTCATTACCTGTATTAACTGCACCTGTTTGAACTCATTACCTGTATAAAAGACACCTGTCCACACACTCAATCAAACAGACTCCAACCTCTCCATTGTCCTGTAGCCCATCCCAGCCTTGTGCAGGTCTACAATTTTAGCCCTGATGTCCTTACACAGCTCTCTGGTCTTGGCCATTGTGGAGAGGTTGGAGTCTGTTTGATTGAGTGTGTGGACAGGTGTCTTTTATACAGGTAATGAGTAAGTTAAAGCTTGGTCGCAAATGGGTCTTCCAAATGGACAAGGACCCCAAGCATACTTCCAAAGTTGTGGCAAAATGGCTAAAGGACAACAAAGTCAAGGTATTGGAGTGGCCATCATAAAGCCCTAACCTCAATCCTATAGAAAATGTGTGGGTAGAACTGAAAAAGCGTGTGCGAGCAAGGAGGCCTACAAACCTGACTCAGTTACACCAGCTCTGTCAGGAGGAATGGGCCAAAATTCACCCAACTTATTGTGGGAAGCTTGTGGAAGGCTACCCGAAACATTTGACCCAAGTTAAACAATTTAAAAGGCAATGCTACCAAATACTAATTGAGTGTATGTAAACTTCTGACCCACTGGGAATGTGATGAAATAAATAAAAGCTGAAATAAATCATTCTCTCTACTAGTATTCTGACATTTCACATTCTTAAAATAAAGTGGTGATCCTAACTGACCTAAGACATGGAATTTTTACTAGGATTAAATGTCAGGAATTGTGAAAAACTGAGTTTAAATGTATTTGGCTAAGGTGTGTGTAAACTTCTGACTTCAACTGTAGCTACTGAATCAAGAACCAAACACAACCGCTCTAATGGTCTGAGGTACAGTATAGAGGTACATAATACCTGGACAATGTAGAGACAGGGACAGTACTGTGCCCCACCCCCGATGCTGATCCCTATCAGGTTCTGAGCATCCTTCTTCAGGGATACAGTCCCAGGGACTGTAGGGATCCCCCTGTTGAAGAAGAATCGGAGATCCTTTTAATACATTGTCTGTCTAGTGTCTACAATATGATTTGGGAAAGCAAGCGCTGTCAAAGCCAATTAGATGAGATGTACACTGCATTTGGAAAGTATTCATACCCCTTCACTTTTTCCACATTTTGTTACGTTACAGCCTTCTTCTAAAATTGATTAAATTGTTTTTTCCCCTCATCAATCTAAACACAATACTCCATAATGACAAAGCAAAAACTTTTTAGTACATTTATAATAAAACCCCCCTGGAAATATAACATTTACATAAGTATTCAGACCCTTTGCTCAGTACTTTGTTGCACCTTTGGCAGCGATTACAGCCTCGAGTCTTCTTGGGTTTGACGCTACAAGCTTGGCACACCTGTATTTGGGGAGTTTCTCCCATTCTTCTCTGCAGATCCTCTCAAGCTTTGTCAGGTTGGATGGGGAGCATCGCTGTACAGCTATTTTCAGGTCTCTCCAGAGATGTTAGATCGGGTTCAAGTCCGGCCTCTGGCTGGGCCACTCAAGGACATTCAGAGACTTGTCCCGAAGCCACTCCTGTGTTGTCTTGGCTGTGTGCTTAGGGTCATTGTCCTGTTGAAAGGTGAACCTTCGCCCCAGTCTGATGTCCTGAGCGCTCTAGAGCAGGCTTTCATCAAGGATCTCTCTGTACTTTGCTCCGTTCATCTTTCCCTCGATCCTGACTAGTCTCCCAGTCCCTGCTACTGAAAAACATCCCCACAGCATGATGCTTCCACCACCATTCTTCACCGTAGGGATAGTATTGGCCAGGTGAGCAGTGCTTGGTTTCCTCCAGAAGTGACGCTTGGCATTCAGGCCAAAGATTTAAATCTTGGTTTCATCAGACCAGAGAATCTTGTTTCTCATGGTCTGAGAGTCCTTTAGGTGCCTTTTGGCAAACTCCAAACGGGCTGTCATGTGCCTTTTACTGGAGGAGGGGCTTCAGTCAGGCCACTCTACTATAAAAGCCTGATTGGTGGAGAGCTGCAGAGATGGTTGTCCTTCTGGAAGGTTCTCCCATCTCCACAGAGGAACTCTAGAGCTCTGTCTGAGTGACCATCGGGTTCTTGGTCACCTCCCTGACCAAGGCCCTTCTCCCCGGATTGGCCAGGTGGCCGGCTCTAGGAAGAGTCTTGGTGGTTCCAAACTTCTTCCATTTAAGAATGATGGAGGCCACTGTGTTCTTGGGGGCCTTCAATACTGCAAAAACATTTTTGTAACCTTCCCCAGATCTGTGCCTTGACACAATCCTGTCTCGGCGCTCTACGGACAATTCCTTCGACCTCATGGCTTGGTTTTTGCTCTGACATGCACTGTCAATTGTGGGACCTTATATAGACAGGTGTGTGCCTTTCCAAATAATGTCAAATCAATTGAATTTACCACAGGTGGACTCCAATCAAGTTGTAGAAACATCTCAAGGATGATCAATGGAAACAGGATGCACCGGAGCTCAATTTCGAGTCTCATAGCAAAGGGTCTGAATACTTATTTGTATTTTGTATACATTTGCAAACATTTATAAAACCTGTTTTTGCTTTGTCATTATTGGGTATTGTGTGTAGATTAAGGAAAACATTTTATTTAATCGATTTTAGAATAAGGCTGTTACGTAACAAAATGTGGAAAAAGGGAAGGGGTCTGAATACTTTCTGATAGCACTGTACTTGTAGAACAAGAAAAGGATGCAAATCATATTTACTTACAGTTTGTCCTCCTCCAACTCATAGTCCATGTCTGTGAACATTCCAGGACTGTTTATCCTGTATAATCTGGATACGAGGAAAACAAGAATGGCATTGATTAATCTATAAATATATATATATTTAAAAGTTAACTAGTTAACTCACACAAAATGCCATCTCAGGTTAAGTTTGATGCCACAGTAACTGTAACAGAATGTGTGGGCAACAAATATAAGTAGAAAACGTTCCTTTATTTGCTGGCAAGAAAAGTGACTTAGCTAGCTGCTGTCAGTTAATGATGAAGCCAACACAACTGGTAGATAGCTGAGCCTAGCTTGAACCAGTACCTGGGCTTGAGTAGATGACGAATATGACGAGATCGTTGTCTCCTCAAGCCCAGCTAGTAGTTACTGGTTCAAGCCTAGCTAGACTATGTTGTCGCAAAAGTCAACATGTACTTTTGTAATGAAAGCAACAACAACAAAACTGGCAACGTTAGTAGCAAGCTACCTCCCTAAATAATGCTTAGCTTACTTGCTAGCTAGGCTACCTAACGTTGGCAGCTATGGCAGCAGCAGGTGCATTGCAAATGAGCATGATACAAATGAAAGGTGGCCATTGGCCAGCTATTTACCTCCGACACAGTTGATAACACGCGCGTTGTTATCTTCACACAAACGTTTATCTCATGCCTCTGGGGAATGTTTCTTTAAATGTACATTTTATTTGAGATTATTTTGTATTTGTTCGAACCACTTCACTGGTTACTCATCTGTCAAAAATATGATTCTGTTTACTTGTCCTCGTCACATCCGAGAATTTGGCGGAAACTGTCTTCTTCTTCTTCGTGTTCTTCTTTGGGGTTTATCGGCGGTTGGCATCCAACGTTATCGTGCATTACCGCCTCCTACCGTACTGGAGTGTGGGCCAGAGACAGGGAGAAACTAAATCCTACCTGCCAACCCCGTTTCTCTTAAAAAATATAACAAAATATTTTAGACTATATCTAATGACGTTCTACTCAATATACTCTTTAAACGAATTTCCTGTATCCCCTTCTCCCTCATACTAGATCTCATCCTCTCTCTTTCCCTCTGATACTGCCCACACCGTAGCAATACATGCTCCACAGTCTCTATTTCCTTACAATAATCACACCTCCCGATGGATGCTTTCCTATCACATGTAATGTCTTATTCAACTGGCTGTGTCCCAACCCTTAATCTTGTAAAAATAGCCTCCTCTCTTCTGTCCCTTCCTGCCGTCCTCCCCTCCCCTTCCCTTCTTATCTCTATTCCACTGCTCCTGCCATCTCTGCACCATCACTGTATATATCATTATTTTTGCCTCTGCCTTGCTCATTGACACTTCAACATCAACATCCCCACTACTAAGTGCTTGTTTAGCCTGTTCATCTACTGCCTCGTTCCCCTCCACCCTCACATGGGCTGGGACCCAAGTAAATCTTATCTGAATACCCATCTGTTTAATCCTGCCATGGGTTTGTAGCACCTCATAAAGCAGGTCTTGTCTGCTACGTGAGCTAAAGGACTGGAGACTCATTAACACTGCACATGAATCAGAGAAAATAACTACTCTGTCTGGCTTAACTTCCTCCAACCACTGCAAGGCAAACAGAATGGCCAAGCGGAAACGGTCAATGATTATTTAACCTTTCCCCCATAGAGATGGTCAGTGCTATCTGGGATCCTTGGGACGTCCCCACCCTAACCTTAACCCGTACCCTAACCATAATCCTTACCTTAACCATTTAACATTTCTACTTCAATGGGGTAGGGACGTCCAAAGGATTCCGGATTGCAAGGACCATACTGCTTTTGACTGGATTTCAATATAATATAATCAAATTCATGAAAACGCTGTCATTTAAGATATGTTTAAAATTGTATTTGTGGATTCATCTTGTAGTTGGCCACCAGGTTTGCACATCTCAGGAGGGATTTTGTTCCACTCCTCTTTGCAGATCTTCTCCAAGTCATTAAGATTTCGAGCCTGACGTTTGGCAACTCGAACCTTCAGCTCCCTCCACAGATTTTCTATGGGATTAAGGTCTGGAGACTGGCTAGGCCACTCCAGGACCTTGATGTGCTTCTTCTTGAGCCACTCCTTTGTTGCCTTGGCCGTGTGTTTTGGGTCATTGTCATGCTGGAATACCCATCCACGACCCATTTTCAATGCCCTGGCTGAGGGAAGGAGGTTCTCACCCAAGATTTGACGGTACATGGCCCCGTCCATTGTCCCTTTGATGCAGTGAAGTTGTCCTGTCCCCTTGGCAGAAAAACACCCCCAAAGCATAATGTTTCCACCTCCATGTTTGACGGTGGGGATGGTGTTCTTGGGTTCATAGGCAGCATTCCTCCTCCTCCAAACACGGAGAGTTGAGTTGATGCCAAAGAGCTCGATTTTGGTCTCATCTGACCACAACACTTTCACTCAGTTATCCTCTAAATCATTCAGATGTTAATTGCCAAACTTCAGAAGGGCCTGTATATGTGCTTTCTTGAGCAGGGGGACCTTGCGGGCGCTGCAGGATTTCAGTCCTTCACGGCGTAGTGTGTTACCAATTGTTTTCTTGGTGACTATGGTCCCAGCTGCCTTGAGATCATTGACAAGATCCTCCCATGTAGTTCTGGGTGGATTCCTCACCGTTCTCATGATCATTGCAACTCCACGAGGTGAGATCTTGCATGGAGCCCCAGGCCGAGGGAGATTGACAGTACTTTTGTGTTTCTTCCATTTGCAAATAAAAACTGTTGTCACCTTCTCACCAAGCTGCTTGGCGATGGTCTTGTAGCCCATTCCAGCCTTGTGTAGGTCTACAATCTTGTCCCTGACATCCTTGGAGAGCTCTTTGGTCTTGGCCATGGTGGAGAGTTTGGAATCTGATTGATTGATTGCTTCTGTGGACAGATGTCTTTTATACAGGTAACAAACTGAGATTAGGAGCACTCCCTTTAAGAGTGTGCTCCTAATCTCAGCTCGTTACCTGTATAAAAGACACCTGGTAGCTAGAAATCTTTCTCATTGAGAGGGGGTCAAATACTTATTTCTCTCATTAAAATGCAAATCAATTTATAACATTTTTGACATGGGTTTTTCTGGATTTTTTGTTGTTATTCTGTCTCTCACTGTTCAAATAAACCTACCATTAAAATTATAGGCTGATCATTTCTTTGTCAGTGGGCAAACGTACAAAATCAGCAGGGGATCAAATACTTTTATCCCTCACTGTATCTGAATATACTGTTGATTCATAAAATCTATTCATTGTTGTATTTGTCAAGGGCAGATCGTGCACTTTAAAGTAACTGTCCAGTGTTTCCAGATTTCTATGAAATATGATCTATAATTCATTAAATATTAGTGAAATAGTTTTTTCCTTCAATTTTTTATGTTATGTTAAAAAGCTGCTTTTCTGTGTTTGAATGGTGTGGGCGTACCCAACAACAGAATGGTGTGGGCGTACCCAACAACAGAATGGTGTGGGCGTACCCAACAACAGCATGCTGTGGGCGTACCCAACAACAGAATGGTGTGGGCATACCCAACAACAGAATGGTGTGGGCGTACCCAACAACAGAATGCTGTGGGCGTACCCAACAACAGAATGGTGTGGGCGTACCCCAACAACAGAATGCTGTGGGCGTATACCGGTCATTAAAAATATTAATGACAAGTAAACAACTTAATGGCCAGCTCAGCCAATGAGCCAATGAGAAGTCTCGGCCAAAATTGTGTCATCACATTATACGAGGAAATAGCAAGCATTTTTTAAACGGTCTGTTTGAGATACAAGTTTAAGGTGGGGTTTGAAGTGTGTTTTCTTTCTCTCAAATTTATGCTTTGGCCACAAAATATAAGTAAAGGATGAGTTGATAACATTATTTGGGTATGAGTTAACACAACATGAGCTTTTAAAAGTGAGATTTTTCACTGGACAGTCAGTTACTTTAAACACTGTCATTACAGCACCACTAGCACTACACCTTGTCTTCTAGGTAGATACAGTAACCTATTGTAGTTTAGTGTGTGACGAAGAGATTATCTCACTCATTATAATATACAGTGCAGCACTACACAGTTGATTACTGATCGGAGTGACTTTGATCAAAGATCAGGCTTTTCAGTGTGAGTAAAAGCATCAGTTTAGTAGGCAACTATCTTCACTGCCAGTCTGCCACCAAGCTTCTG